ATTATTATCATTATGTTTTTTTTTGTCTGCTTGTCTAGTTGTTTGTCATATTTCATTGCATCTACAATTATTTGTTAATGATCTGTCCAATTCGTATATTAAAGAATGCCGTCCTCATTCTTCACTTTCTCTATAAGACACGCAAGCTAATACTCGTATTTGTAAAATGCCTTTCCTCTTAACTTTACCCTGTTTCATCATATATTCGTCTGCCTTTATCAGAGTCCACCTATTCAACAGTCGGAAAACCACCTTCAGAAAAAAAAAAGTCGTCTAGATGTGCATGTGCACAAAGGGACGTCGTTGTCTTTTGCCATCTGCACGTTGTTTTCTTGCAATAAAATCGGACGTCCCTATCCTTTCTCTTTTCCCCCTCTCTCTATCCCTCTCTCTTTCTCTCTGTCCTTTGCTCATGATTCTTTTCTCCCACCCCTCTCTCTCTCTCTCTCTCTCCCTCTCTCTCTCTTCTAAGATACGTTGTTCTGTTCACAGTTATTAGGAATAAAATCGGATGTCCCTATCCTCTCTCTCTCTCTCTCTCTCTTTTTTTTTGTTCCTCTCTCTCTCTATCCCTCTCTCTCTCTCTCTCTCTCTCTCTCTCTGTCCTTTGCTCTCTATTCTTGTCTTCCCACCCCCCTCTCTCTCTCTCTTCTAAAACATTTTTTGTTATGTTCATAGTTATTAGGTCAATGCGTGTTATGAAGCGTGAATGCTGAACGATCCGCATCCGACTGGCTATTTTCGTTGCGTCCATCTAATGATCCTTGATATTATTTGCACAATAGCGTGACAACGTCAGATTTCTATAGAGAGCATGACTTGACACTTTCTGATCGTTGCAACCCATGTTTTTAGATTTGTTGGAACAAGAGTCAAGATAGGCTTTTTATGGGATCAAATGTTTCATTTTTATTTACGGGAAGTGTACCTATGAAGGTATTACTGCGAAAACGTTGTCATATTCTTTTAAGGCGTGTAAGTGAATGGCAATTTAATGAATAACAAAGTCCTTTTTTACGCATATTCACTGAGCTCTTTGTTATGATTTTTTGTTTTAATGTGATGCGTATTACAACTACATTATGGTATTTATAAAAACCCGCCGTTTACCGCGCTGCATCTGACCAAGGATTAAAGGTAGTGTATCCCATGAGCTGTAAAGGGACCATGAGCATTTGTCCACATCAATAACCTACTTCTTGTAATGGCCGAAGTTAAGTTTGATTGAATCTTTGTTTAATTAAACGAGCGCGCTCGCTACATTCGATTCGACAACTAACAGTCGTTATTTTCCCACAAAATAACATTTTCAAGCCCCTCTGTTTTGTGGGAAGTACTAAATTAGTTTTATCTTTCAAATGCCTTTAAGAGGAATTGTTGTAAAATGAGACCAAAACCGTGGTAAATGGGCGTTTATTTGTGAATAACGATTATTTATGAATAATTAGACGCGAAATACTAGACGCTGCATATTGACTGTGCACGCTCGTCCATATTATAAAAGAAATTACAGAAGGTTGAGTATCGAGGGAGAACGTTTCAGCCAATAGGAATATAGGATGCCCTATTTTTATCATGTTTAATATAGGTTGCAGAACATTTTGTTGCCATGAAAGCTGATAAAAAGCGGCCCGTTAACAATACAGAATTTACATTTCATTTTAGTATGATTAACGATGAGAAACTGAATTGATTGTAAGAAATTAGGGAATTAAACGGTTACAATTTAGAAATTTAACGCTCGTTGACATCTTTCTTGAATCTGTCCATGTTTGAAGCAGTAGGGGGTGGGGGGGGGGGGGAAGCTGAGACAGAGTTCCGTAATGGGGATGCCCCTGGTATGTAAGCAGATTGATGAAGCTCCGTACGAGACGTGGAGACTGCTTCACAAAAAAGTTGCTGCATTCCTACTGCGCTCGAACGGTATATTTTATGTTATGTACATGTATCGTGTAAATCAATATGCTACAGACAGCTAGTCCATATTACAATAGCAGTTGACGAAGGGCTATCCATTAGCCAAAACCCTCATAAAATTCAACTGAAAGGTCTCTGCAATAAAATTATAATTAATTTAATGGTCCATCGGGCAGAAAGATATTCATTATCACTGACGAATAATGAAAATGAACCTCATTGGTAAACGTGTGGAAGCACAGTTAATATACATGTACACACAAGCTAACCTAAGTATGACTATGTTATACTCTGAATGTGCTTCTGCTGTATAAACCATCCAACGTCTTGTGACATCAAAATGTAAACAGAAAATAAACACTGACTTGAATGTTATTTTTTTTTGAGGAGTGGGAGGGAGGGGGAGGGGGCGAATTTGTACAAAACGGACAATCAAAGTAAACAAAGCTTACAAAATTCACTTGAATATTCAACTCCATCCCTTTCAATTTCACTCATGTTGAAAGGTAATCTACCCATAAATGATTTTCTTTCAAATTTTATTTTTAAAGAAAGGTCGACCGTAACAAGGGACTATAACTAAAGTTACCACTAATATGAATATTCTTTTATTTCATTTTCACAAGAAATGTTTTTTTCGTATTTGTTATGTAATGACTTATACTCGATATAGCGAAACAGGAGGAATATGGAATGGATTTTGAGTTTGAACAACTGGACCACTGATCCGGCTGAATTATAACGTGTTCGTGTCATATATTACCATGTATATTATCCTCTTAATATGCAATTACCGTTTTTATATCATAACCCGATTCCACTTTAGAAAGAAACGCCTACCCAGGCCGGAGGGGAGGGGGCGGGGGTATGATCGTATGATAATGAATCGTTCAAGCTACCATCACAAGACTAGTATAAAATATATTTTACAAAAGTAACAGAAATGGAATCTCATTTCAAAGCAGAGAAAAAATATCCATTCTATCTCTAATCATCTAGTTATTTATTCATTATTTGAACGACCCGTGTGAAGTTTACAAAAATTGATGACACGTTTTGCTCCATTTTGCTTTGATTTGCCCCGTCTTAATTTACGAACTGTCAAGCTCTCATTTGGGTAAAGAGCAACGTGACCTCTCTCGACATGTACAGAGAAAAGAAAGGAAAATATGCCCAGAGACCTTTTTAAAAAAGAGAAGGGCATGGACAAAGCTGCCTACTTTCTGTATTTTCAATTAAAACTGAAAACAACACATACGAGCAATGATGGATCTAATACGATTCGATGGACTGTTAATCCTTAATTTGTCCCTTTGATTCTCATTATCTTTCTCCTTTAATTTCAATTTATTCATGGCGGGTTAAACTTGTTTTCAGGATTACGCCCTAATATTCTTTTCATGGAATAAGAGCCCAGGAGAGGGATATAGAGCTCCATTATGTATCTATTGCTATCCATCAATACCGCTCCTTTTTCGTCATGTCATTTTGTAAGCAAGGTAAATAAAGATGAATGAATAAAGGATAGAACAATATCATGATATACCACACAAAAACATCATTTCGCAAAATTGTGGTATTTTATATATAAAATAAATAGTGTCAATTTTTTCCCCTCTAGATCTTTATTCACCATACCGTCGTGTACAGATGCATACATTTTAAATGTACACATTGCATACTTACACATACGTTGCGAGAATAGAACACTAAACCACGATTTATACCACAACAAACATCCTTCCGCAGAACTTAGATATTTCTATATATAGAATATTACCTCCCCCCCCCCCCCGCTTGTATTGCCCCTTGTTCTTTATTCGCCGTGCATTGCGGTTTTAATGAGTGTTTCCACATTGTATTATTGGAAGCTAATATAGTAATAGTATATCCCTTTTGCTACACACACACGCACACGCACACTCACGCACACGCACACTGTCGGGGAAGAAATGTAATCAATTAGGCTGTGTGTTAAGTACTTATGAACTGTGGGCAATACATAGCATTACGGAATGATCTTGCCAACGAATTTTCAATTTTGAAATGAAGAATATTATAGTCATTATAATAAAAATCCACAAATTAAAATCAAACATCGAGGTACCTTCACAACAGTTGAGTTTCCTATCAACCAAACAATGACCTCCAATGAAATTCGGTAATAAACCTATATTGATTCAATATTTCATAAATTTTATGAATGTTTAATAGGAAACACCAAAAGTGTGTAACTACAAAATATTAGTTAATGTGTAAATTATCATTAAAATGTCTATATATTCTGTTTTCAAAATAGAAAAAACATCCGGAAATGTCATTCCGTAACGCTTGAAATTGGCCATGTCTAATTTTATTGATATGTGAGGGTTTATCTCTGATGTATTAAAATTAAATTAATTTCGGAAGTAGCAAACCAACATCATTTGTGAGAACTATTCAATCCTATGAGCTGGCTTCTGAGATATATTTCTGAGTCCGAACCTCGGCTACAGGTGGAGAAAAGGGGTTAACGATTAAATGAAGAAAGCAAAGGCAGTGCAAGTAAGATTGAGGGCGAGGGTGAAGATGTGAAGTTGGCATAATGATGATAATGGCGAAAGTAATTCGTGGGATAATATTGGTTGTTTGGTTCATTAATTTGTTTTATCTGACGGCTAATAAGACTTGTGTATGCTTGTAAAAAGATAATTAGAGGACCAACGGCTTTAAGTCCTCTTCGAGTGCCTTGGTAATGAGGATCAATACCTTACCAAAGGTGCACCGACTTGGTTTCGAACCCGGGACCTCTCGGTTACGACACTACTGCTATACCACTGAGCCACCGCACCTCATAATATAAAACACAAAACAACGATTGTAGTAAGAACATAAGAACATTGTTAAAACCGAAGTCTTGATGATGAGATTCAGATTCAATGCAAGTGGGCTATTTTATTTATTAACTTATACTTTAGATAGTAAAATTCAAGCAAATCATTGCAAAATGTTATCTTAACGATTAAAATGGAATGAACAATTATGAGCAAATTTGACACAAGATTACAAACTTCATTATCTCTCTTTATTCTCGTTCAGGCCCAAAGAAAGCTCACATTTTATAGTGGGACCTGAAAGCGTCGCTCTCCTCATCCAACATGCATTCGGCGTCATCGACCACGGAGCTCAATCCGCATCGCCTGCCTACCCCTGCTCAAACACCATGTCGACATCACAACAGTCACCTGCCCGGGTACCTGTCCGTACCAGGGCTCACAGCCAATGGCATCGGCTCCGATCTCTCACTCATATCGGGAGTTAGTAACATTCCCTTACAGGTGAGTAAAACGGTTCAGGGTATAATGTTTGTGAAGATAAAGTAACTGTATCGGAGCCTTTCTTTCCAGGCTTTATAAGATGATGACGTGAATCCTAATCAAATGATTGGTTGAAAGCGTACACGTGACCAGGCATTTATTTTGACTAACGCGTAATCGCGCGTAATTTGGGTAATGACCGGTCATTATCCAATGGTAATGACCGGTCATTATCAAAATCATGTTGGAAAACATCATTTTATAAAAACAAATAATACACATCATTTTTTTCGAGCATTAGTAAAATTACCCACACTTGGTACCTTCAAAACAGTCCAAACGCCCTCGGCTATCACCTCGGGCGTGTTAGACTGTTCCAAAGGTACCTTGTGTGGGTAATTCTCACTAATGCCCTCACTGATGTGTATTATTTGTATACTATTGCATGTCTGGAATGGACAACATTAATGTAGTCCTCACATGAAGTCGATGTCATTCTTAAGTGATAGCGTATCATGCACGATTCGTCCCTTGGGTGTGCATTTATTGATTATTAACATTAACATTTCCAGCCTTTCATGAAAATATAATAACAGTGATGACGGTGATAATTGTGAGGATAACAATAATATTGAGATTCAGAAATCGCTCTTTTCTGAGTAAACATAAAACTATGACTGGATTTAAGAAAAACTGTATTGGGGTAGACTTTAATAGCTTTTCTGAAATCAAAATGCGATTCTTACTATACAGGGCGTATCATAATAAAGGATATTGAAGTTTAATGACGATTTATATGAAAACTACTGATTTCATAATCAAGCATTTTATGTCTGTTGTAAAGAACAGAATGTCCTCTTTTTAATGACACCCCGATCATACTACTACTGTCACAGTTAACTGAATAACAAAGCATTGCTGTCCACCATGTGAAAGGTGCACTGTGACAAGTTAGCATTCACAGATAAATTCTAAAGATTAGTGCTTGTGTCAGCCCAGACATATTGAAATGCTGAACAATGAGTGGATTATGTGTCTAAGAAGGAAATGTTATCAAACTTGGCACAGTGCACCTTTCACATGGTGGACAGCAATGCTTTGTTATTCAGTCAACTGTGACAGTAGTAGTATGATCGGGGTGTCATTAAAAAGAGGACATTCTGTCCTTTACAACAGACATAAAATGCTTGATTATGAATCAGTAGTTTTCAAGGCTAAGGGAGCAAACCCTAACAGAAAACCATGCCACCGTGACAGCATTGAGGGCGATTGACGATACGGAACTCCCGACATCCTTCGACCAGTCACTGCAGGGTCTAGTGGTTCACACCCGTCCTGGTTTGTCCTCGCCGGTGTGAAACTGCCACCAGTTCCCCGAGAGAGTGCCGGTAGTAACTTGCAAGAGCTACCGGTACTTATCCACCTTTGCAAGCAGCCTTCATTATGCGCAACAGTATGAAACTTCATACCGGTTCGGTCGTCTTCCGGGTTAACAAGGACCGCGCTGTTAGATCAGGACTTCCGTCGACAGTGCCAAGTATGCTAGGAAGCAAACAACAACAACAAAAAGATGACACCAGCGGAATTACTACAATGACGTTTGGACAGTGGAATGTCAGGACACTCCTCGATCGGGAAGGAACTGGCAGGCCAGAGAGAAGGACTGCCCTTGTAGCCATGGAGCTGGAGAAGTACAAAATTGACATTGCTGCTCTGAGTGAAACACGTTTCTCCGAGTCAGGTAGGCTCGATGACATGGGCTACACATTCTTCTGGAGCGGCAAGCCGGACGGGGTACGACGAGAGGCTGGAGTGGGATTCGCCATCAGAAAAGAGATCTTAGCGAAGCTCACAGAAATGCCTAAAGCGGTGAATGATAGAATTATGACAATGACAGTACCACTGATGAAGAAGGGAAATGCTACTCTCATCAGTGTATACGCACCAACCATGACGAGTCCGGATGAAACAAAGGAGAACTTCTACAATCAGCTTAGACGAACGTTGCGGGACACCCCCCGGACTGACAAGCTGATATTGATGGGAGACTTCAATGCCCGGGTAGGACGAGACTATGAGAAATGGCAGTCGGTGTTAGGCAGGCACGGAATCGGTAAATGCAACACCAATGGTGAGCTACTTCTAGCGCTGTGCTCTGAGTTCGAACTCCTACTGACAAACACCGTGTTCAAGCAGAGGGAAGAACACAAAACCACCTGGATGCACCCTCGCTCTAAGCATTGGCACCTGATTGATTACATCATAACAAGACAACGAGACAGAATGGATGTTCACAGCACAAGAACTATGCGTGGAGCTAACTGCTTGACCGATCACCAGCTACTAAGATCAAAGATTGCATTTGCTTTACGTTCAAAGCGTAGGAAGCAAGGAGCTACTAAACTTGCAAAGCTGAACACAGACCGGCTACACGTCAACACACAACGGCTAAAGCTAGAGCAAGATATGGAGAAAGCTCTGGCGACTTGGGGAGTGCAAGAGGGAATGACAGTTGATCAGACCTGGGCATCACTCAGCAAAGTAGTATATGACACAGCGAGCAACACCCTCGGTAAACCAGAGCGAAAACACCAGGACTGGTTTGACCCAGAAGACTCCGAGCTTCTGATACTCATGAAGAAAAGGAATGAAACACACCAACGTGTATTACAGACTAGAAGCACCAGGTCAACCACCACCGCGTACAAGGAAGCCTGCAGACACTTGCAGAGGTACACACGGAAAATGAAAACCGCCTGGTGGGAGAAAAAGGCAGAGGACCTGCAGCGCTCCGCAGACAATAATGACATGAAGTCCTTCTACACTGGACTGAAAGAAGTCTGGGGCCCCCAGACTAGGAGTACAGTTCATCTCAAGTCCCTGGACGGTAACACAACCTTTTCAGACAACAAAAGGGTGCTTGAACGATGGTCGCAGCATTTTGAGACACTACTCAACCAGCCAGGAGATATCGAGCCTGCAGCGCGTGATAGGATCAACCAGCGACCTGTAGTTACTGCACTCGATGATATTCCAACACGAAAAGAGCTAAACCTGGCAATTGCCTCCTTGGGTGATGGCAAGGCACCCGGAGTGGATGGGATACCAAGCGAGATATGGAAGCACGGAGGAGCCACACTAACCAACAGTTTACTAATGCTGATACAACAAGCATGGGCAGAAGGCTCCATACCTCAGGAATGGAAGGATGCTAATATTGTCGCCATCTTCAAAAAAGGAGATAGAACTCAATGTGGAAACTACAGAGGAATATCGCTATTGTCAATAGCAGGGAAAGTTTTTGCCAGGATCCTTCTGAACAGATTGAATGCCCACATAGCACCAGATATATTGCCGGAGACGCAATGCGGATTTAGGAACAACCGCAGCACAGTAGATATGATCTTCTGCCTCAGACAACTACAGGAGAAGTGCATTGAGCACAACCGATCCCTCTATGTGGTTTTTGTCGATTTCACGAAAGCCTTTGACACTGTTGGTAGGACAGGTCTTTGGGAACTACTACGAAAGTACGGATGTCCCGAGAAGTTCACCGGAATGGTAGAGTCCTTACATACGGGTATGATGGCTAAAGTCAAGGAAGCAGGCGAAACATCCCATAGCTTCCCTGTAAGTAACGGTGTAAAACAAGGATGTGTGTTGGCCCCTACGCTGTTCTCCATCTTTCTCTCGGCGATGCTGGAGGAGGCCTTTGCGGACTTTGAGGAAGGCGTTTACATACAATCACGTCAAGACGCCGACCTATTCAATGTCGCACACTTCAAAGCTAAGACGAAGTCTACACAGATTCTCGTGAGGGAACTCCTCTTTGCAGATGACAGTGCTCTTGTTTCTCATACACCAGAGCAGATGCAACATGTTATAGATGTATTTTCATCAGCATCAAAGAAGTTCGGTCTACAAATAAACATCAAAAAGACTGAAGTACTATTCCAACCAGGTACAGACCACCGAGAGGAGGAGGAGATCCTAGTGGATGGGACAGCCCTAAACCAGGTAGATGACTTCACTTATCTCGGCAGCACTATATCCAAAGACGGACGCATCGACTCTGAGCTGGTGAAAAGAATGTCAAAGGCCAGCAGTGCCTTTGGAAGACTGCGAACCAGGCTATGGAACAACCATCATGTCTCAACAAGAGTGAAGTGCAAAATCTACAGGGCTATCGTCCTATCCACTCTCTTATACGGTGCGGAAAGCTGGACTCTCTACAAAAGTCAAGTAAAGAAACTTCACGCGTTCATGATGAGACACCTTCGAGCAATCATGAGAATCAGTTGGAAGGACAAGGTGACCAACAAAGAGGTACTAGAGCGAGCAAACCTTCCTTCTATGGAGGACCTGCTCATCAGGAAGAACCTACGATGGACAGGCCATGTCATCAGGATGCCCTCTGAGAGGTTACCAAAGCAAGTACTATTCTCGCAACTACCCGCTGGCGAAAGAGGGATTGGTCGTCCACGGCTTCGCTACAAGGACACGATCAAGAGGAACCTTAAGCGGAGGCAAATTGAAACCAAGACTTGGACAACTGCTGCAGGCCAGCGAGCTGTATGGAGAACAGCTGTAAAGTGAAAATGAAGGCGGTCATTGTCGCTTCGCGACAGACAGCTACTACTACTACTAGTTTTCATATAAATCGTCATTAAACTTCAATATCCTTTATTATGATACGCCCTGTATAATAACAATGATGATGGTGATAATGATAAAAAAAAAAAAACAATAATAATGCTCTTGAGGATAACAATACCATTAAGAACATGAATCGCTTTTCCTGAGTAAACATAAAACTATGACCAGATTTAAGAAAACTGTATTGGGGTAGAATAGTAGCTTTTCTAACATCAAAATGCGATTCTGACGACTTATTCTGACGATAACGGTAAAAGAAAAGATTGGATTTGTGATAACCGATGCAAGAGACGTGATCATTGTTTCTCCACCCTAGATACCTACTGTTCAGATATCTGCGAATGGTTGTTTATCTCATCTTAATCTTTTTAATGCGATTTTTTCAGCTCTTCAGCGAAGGGCAACGCATCACCGTCAAGGAACGGGAATTTCTCGAGGCTGCCGAGAAGGGAGATAAAGCCACCATCGTTCGCTGCGTCCAGGGAGAGAATCCGGTTAACGTGAATGTCAGCAACCTTCTCGGGCGCAGCGCATTGCAGATGGCGGTAGATAATGAAAATCTGGAAATTGTTGAACTACTGCTGGCTCAGCCTGATGTGGAGATAGGCGATGCTCTACTACAGGTAAATATGAATAAATATATATCATATATATCGTATCATAAACACACACATATATATGTACATGTATATATATATATATATATACCTTACAGCGTCATTATACGGACTTAATATGTAGTGACATAAGTAGTCATTAAATGAAACCAAAGCCTTCGTACTGTTACTTTTATTGTAAATTTTAAAAGATTTGAATAAAATCAGTGAAAATTTGAACAAAATCGGGCAAGGAATAAGAAAGTTAGAGCATTTTGAAATGACTAGTCACTAGAGGGCGGTATTCAATTTGATGACATCATCTGTGAACAACCCTCCATGCCTTTTGTACATCCAATTTCACAATTTTTTTGTTTTCTTCGTATTTATTTGTGTTCTTGATCCGGCTTCATAACATGTGAAGTAGAATATCATTTTGCATTCTATATCTTGCTTTCAGGGGAGTACATTATCTCAATCACAAGAAAGAAGGAAAAACATGAAATTTGATGTACAAAAGGCATGGAGAGTTGTCCATAGATGATGTCATCAAATTGAATACCGCCCTCTAGTGACTAGTCATTTCAAAAAGCTCTTACTTCCTTATTCCTTGCCCGATTTTGTTCAAATTTTCACTGATATTTTTCAAATATCTTTAACTTTACAATAAAAATAACTTAGTATGAAGGTTTTGGTTTCCTTTAAAGATTTTTTTGCGGCCAACATCAAATTCTGTAAGACTTTGCAGGAATTATGAACATGTCATGTATGTCCTATCTGTGAAATTCAAACGTTAGCAGTGTCCTAGTATTCAATTTATGCAAGGAAATTCGTTTTCTTTCTAGACCTCCCTGCCAGACACTATTGAGTGAGTGACTGACATCTTTTTTTCTTTGGTAATAACATACATAAAATGAGCTATAACACGTATTATGAGCATTTGTCTACATCAATAACCCACAACTTGTAATGGCCAAAAGTAAACTGATTGAGCAGCACAAAACGTACGACCATTAGGTACAAGGGTCTGGAAATCAGACTATTACTCAGGTGATTGCAATCACTAACGGTCGTTATTTCCCCATAAGTATTGTCTTTCAAATGCCGTTGCAATTTAACCTTTTCATATTTTTGACCTACAAATAATGGGACATAGTACCTTTAAGTAGACATTTAACGATTGAACAATAGAATAACTGCCCCTCTACGTATGTTTGCAGGCAGAGGACACTTAAAAGCCTCCCAATAAACAATAGGGTAAATCATTAGTCTTTAGTTTAATTAGTTATATTGTTTTTTATTTAGGGTAAGGGTAATATACCAGTTTTTATGATGTACGGTTAGTGTACCATTTGGGGTCATATATATAGATATCCTGTTTATACAATATGAAGGGTTACATATATATATCGCACAAAATAATTAAATTAACGCATAGATACATAAATAATGAATTAGCAAATAAATGAAGAAATAAATAAAATAAACAAAATATATGAATAAAATAATGCATGAAACAATTATAATAATGAATAAGTAAAAAATAATAATCATGAGCAAATTAATAATGATAATGAATTAACAAATAAATAACTAAATAAATGTTTAACCCTCTAATCACATATCCAAAATGGATTACATTTTGGCCTAAATTGCTGACAAGTTTAACCCTAATCAGATTTTTAAATTTATTTTTGGGGGAGGGTCAATTCACCCTTTCCAAAGATCCCAGTCTTTAAAAAGCTGATCGACAAACCGAATACAACATCATTCACCCGTATGTAGAGTACAAATGCATACTACTGGCTTACTACAGGCTGAAATCCACTAACAGATGCTTTTTTGAAATATTGTTGATGATTATGTTCAATATACGATAGATGAAGTTCAGTCTGTTTGTTTTGTCTGTTTTGTTGGCTATCGCCCTCTTCGATGTCCCTCTTCCTTTCATCGTAGCTCACAATAGCAAGATATTTAGTATAAGCATGACCATTACACAGGGGCGGATCTAGCTTTTTGCTAAGGGGGGGGGTTGACCAATAATGACGATGCGGAGCATCGTCCACGAGCCGCGAAGCGGCGAACCGATTTTTTTTTGGGTGTTTATTTGAACCCCGTAAGTGATGTTTTCCTGGCATCTATTAACACAATGGAGACCATAAAAAGCAGTGCATGATAACGTCTTTTTAAATCAAGTAACAGTTAAATACACAGTTATATCCAGAGTTATCATGTGTTTGGTTAAGTTACCAGATGAGTTGAATATCTTCTCACAATATTTGCACTTGAAAGGGTTTCTCTCCAGCGTGCGTTCTTTTTTCTTTTTTTTTTTTTTTTTCCTTTCCCCCCCTTTTTTTTTGGTTTGTTTTTTGGGCCGCCCAAGGGAGGGGTTTAAACCCCCTAAACCCCCCCCCCCCGTAGATCCGCGCCTGTTTCCCCGCGAAGCGTGGGCGCTGGATGTGTTTTATTTACTCAAATTGTAGTATTACAACACGTCCGTATTACACCCCCATGTATGGTAATTTACCCTGTATGCCAACTTTTTTGCATGATTCAAACATACCTTCCAGTAAAAAAAAGATGCGAGACTGGATTGCCGCAACTTCTTTGCCCTGTTTGCTTCCATATTGCTTGTCACTACACTCAGACCAGACTGATAAAAAAGTGAGCAACTTGAACAAGTAATCCAGGAAATGAGCAGCCCAGCTCAGCGTGCGTTGCCAGGTTAAATCTTCACAAAATCCCCACCCAAACGACACTTAAAATATCCCCAAAGTTGCCAAATTTTGACAGAAAATCCCCAAATTCGTTTTTCATAAAACTCAATATTATTTTCATTCGCAAATATTTATTTTTCATCCCCAAAGACTTCAACAATCCCCCAATTTTTTTTTTTTTTTTTAATGTGGGGATTTTGGGGATGAGAATCGGCAACGCTGGCCTAGCTTGTCACTTCGGCGGTGGCCCGTGTCCTCAAAAAAGCTGATGGGGGGGGGGGGCAAGGGACTCTGTGACATTTGTTCGCCCAACCCCCCCCCCCCTCCCCCCAAAAAGAAATAATAATAATAATAATAATAATAATAATAATAATAATAATAATAATAATAATAATAATAATAATAATAATAAATGAAATAAATACATAGAAATAGAATAAAATAAAATTACAAGTTTTAAAAAAAAGATAAGATTTTAAAAAATGGTCCCCGGATTTTTTTTTTTTTTTTTTGGGGGGGGGGGTTGCAACCCCCCCAACCCCCCTCTAGATCCGCTTCTGTTACAAATCCCTTGTTTGGTTTTGGTTTTATCGCTCCTGATTGTCAGTTTCATTTCATCCTCTCAATCGCCATTCTATCCTCTCTCTTTTGTTGTCTTCGCTTATTTCTTAACATCAAAAATCGACACTGAAGTTTGCTTGCAAACTAAACCGAATTAAGCCGCAAAACGAAATATTTTTGGTCATCGTTAGGCAGAATAACGTATTACGTATGTGTGATCCACATATGGCGGTTCAAATCCATGCTATAGGCAATGAATACTTTAGGATATAACCTGGCAAATTTGTTATTCCATACAAGCTTGTAATGGTAATTTATTCAGTAAAGGGAGTGTTACGGCTTCAGTGAAAGACGCTGATATTAATCTTGGACTTAATGAATATTATTATTGCAAAGTTAAATCTCTCAAGTTATACTTTCTTTATGTTTTCCAATCGAGTCTATAAAATGCGCCATTTTACGCAAGTGTGTTGCTCATCTAAACTAGACTTAGGTTTGCATAAATATGGGCGTTTCTAGACGTATATAGAGTGCTTTGCAACAATCATAAAAACAATACACAAAATGTAGAAAGAATTTCATCTAAAAAAGTTTTATTATGTCTGTAAGTGGAAATTCAGTGTTATTTTTGCGGGAATTTTGCAGTTCCAAAAAGTACACGAGACCGACATAAGAAAGTACATAAAAGTATAAAATTCATGAGGACACTTTAAAAAAAAAAGAGGAGAGAAAGGTGTGTGGAACGTAAATATAACGTAAGGAGTGATAGAAGGAGATGATTTTTGTTATGTTAGTATGGTGATAATAATAACTAGAATATACAGCAAGAGCTGATAATTCCTTATTGATGACAAACGAGTCTTATAGGCGTGAGTTATCCATCTTCGAAGCGAATGTTTACGACGTATGGAGCTTAAGGGATGAGTGCCGAAGGTATTTGCTATCATGGAAACAAATCTCGTTAGAAGATATCGGCTCCAACAAAATATCTCCGTAATGCATTGCCCGCCGGTAAAACTCATTTACGATACACGCCAATAACAATTCATTGCGCGATATGATCTTTACCAAAATCACGCTCTTTATTGACTCACTTTCATGAGCATGTATGGAATGGCGATGATATTGACAGGAACTGTCGGCAAGTTCGTTGATAGTTGAACACAATTTTTCATTTCCTCAATCATCATCTTCTCAAGGAAGGAGGGAAATCCAAAGAATCGATTTTATAAGAAATCATCGCTAGCGGGGTACTTGATGGATCCATGTGAACATTGAGGGTGTTACTAAACATAGGTATTTGCTTGTGCAGTGACTATTGTTTGATCACTCTGCGGATTGGGTCTGGAATATTGACGGATTAGATGTTCAAATGCTCTTTTCTCTAAGCAATATTACTTTCTCATTTTGGTGCAGGCGATACGCGAAGGTGTCTACCGCATGGTGGAAATGATGGTGAACCATCCAAGTATTTCCCGCCAAATGTTGGGAGAAGGTTGGGCTTCGGCCAACAAGTCGCGGCACCAGGAGAGCTCGGACTACTCGCCGGACATCTCGCCGGTCATCTTGGCCGCACACTGCAACCAGTTTGAGATCCTACAACTTCTCCTGACTCGAGGCGCCACCATATATAAGCCGCACCCCTGCGTCTGCGCTTGCGCAGTGTGTGAGGAGAAACAGAAGCAAGATAGTTTGCGGTACTCACTTGACCGTATCAATACGTACCGCGCCCTCGCCAGTCCGGCCTGGATCTCGTTGACCAGTTGTGATCCCGTTCTCACTGCCTTTAAGTTAAGCTGGGAGCTTCAACGTCTAGCAATGAGAGAGAATGAATTCAAGGACATCTATGTGACCCTCAGTGGACAGGCAAAAGGTAAGATTATCTGATAATAATTTAAAATCTTTTATATCGCTCATATCCACCACCTAATAAGATATTCAATGCTGTATCATCGATAGGCACAACTTCCCCCAGAAAACAATCGTAATTTACACATGCTGGAATTAATATGCTGCAAACGACATACATCGAATGAAATATTGATGAATATAACGTTCATATTTGTATTGTAACTTGCTCCTGATGCATGATGAATATGAATAATTTAATGAGGTTGTGAGTGTATGCGATATGCGATATGAAACGAATAATTCCACCATTCTCTCCATATAACATGCATGTTTGTATGCATGTATATATTCTAGTTTTTAGTTCTCTATGTTCTTCCCTATCATTTTTATCTGCACATATTTTTTTCTTTCTGAAATGTTATTAAAAGACTCAACTGCAGCACCGCTTGTCTTTTGTGGGATTCAGTAAAACAGTCTTCTTTATAGTCTCTTTAGATAACCGTTAGCATAATTAAAATACAGTTGAATAATACATAAATAAGGTACCGGTATAGAACTGTGATTATGAGTCATATGTTTAAACTTGATTCTATTTTCCCTCCCGACTAATTTTTCCCCTCCTCTTCCACCTTTTATCCTATCATTCATATAACTTGATTTGATTTTGATTTGATTTGATTTTCTTCTGCATTCATGAAGTATACAGTTTTTCGATAACGATAATAATATAAAGTACAATAAGTATTTTTCTGACAAAGAATCATAATTAAGCAAATACATATATATATATATATATATATATATATTTGTTTGTTTTACAATTCAATTCAAAAGACTTTATTTCCATTAAAAAGCGAACAAATATATACATGTGATGAAGTACAGACAGTTCAAAAATACAAATCCTGAGCATTATGTTAAGTTAATTTAAACAAACTGTGAAAATAAGTAGAAGGAAAAGAGAGCACCTGTAGGAAGCTTATGCTAGCTTGTTGATTCAGGCGTCCAAATGGATAAAATAATTAAACAGATATAAATGAATTGTTCTTTTCAAAAACGAAATGATAAACAGTCATATTTTTCCTCAAACATTATAAAACATTATACAATTATTTGCCGTTGACATGATTCTCTGTTTTGTAGTTTTTGTTACCATGGTAACGGGTATCCCCAGTCACTTTTATCTGTTATGCTTTTCAGGGAAAATGTCTGCTTATTGTATATTTACTTTTAAAAATCTTATCTATGCAACGAAGAAGAGATTAATGTCATTTTGAATTGATTTGAATTGACTCAAAAAATAGTAATAACAATGAGAATAACACAGTAAATACACACTTACATAACAATAGTTATTAACATTATTGCAACAAAAAAGACGGACATGCAAAAGAATAATTTGATTCATTTTAACCAAAATCAGCCTTTAAGTATACATGAACCAAAAAAAAGTACGAGGAGAAGTGAATAGATCAAAATATGCACTGGAACAAATTAAAAGTAGATGTATATTATCTTCATTGTAAAATAATTCGGAAGCAGCTAAAGACGACAGATACGATATGGTACGAAATTTAAAAAAATAAAAATAAGAAAGAAACCCACCCCCCCCCCCCCCCCTTAACAGTTTTTTTCCCTGATATATCGTCGTTGCTAAAATAATGCGTGATCTCGGGTACTTACAAATGAATCATTTAATTAACTATGTTCTCAAATTTTGACCAGTAAACAATAATACCTGCTTGTTCGCAAAGAGTGAGCATTTGTTGAAAATGCAAAGGAATAAACATGAAATGTTCTAAACATAGCATTACATAAAGTCTCGAAGAAATTTGGATCCCATGTCTCCGTTTAAAATGTCACACAAAAGATAAATACTCCCTAGAAGAGAAGGTCATACTAGTCACAAGCCTTGCCATGGACATCGCTTTAAAAATTGTGTGGGTGTGACACCCTCAATCATGCAATATCTATGTCGGGAAATATCAAATTGGTGTGAACTACTATCAAACAAAATAATGCATAACTCATATTGGCAAATGTTATGTTTTTAGGAACTTAGAGACATTATTTTTCTAATTGAGTTCTCATTAAGGTACTCATAAAGGTTCTCATTAAGGTTTGTCCGCCCCCCCCCCCCCCCCCTCACGTCAAGCACGTCGTCTGAACCAGGGCGGGAGGACTTGACAATAAATTGTATAACCATGAGTGAAATTATGAAGCGCGAAAAAATATAGAAAGTGAGTTATGGAAAGCTATCATCTTGACTGGCTGTCTTTTACTACCAATATGATGCAAACTCATTATTATTATTATATCGTGCGTAATATCTATTTCCCAAAATCCTTTTTACAAAGTGGGTTAGATTGATTTTCCTCCACTAAATCTCGGTGAAAAGGCACGCTTTTACAAGGAAAACTGTAAACTATTCATTGCCAAAGGATCTTGCTAAAATTGCAAATATTGATTTGAAAGGTTATTCTTTAGAATGAACTATTATCTACTACCTACTGTCCAATAGAAACCGCTAAATAATAATAATAATAATAATATATGCTGCCATTATCCATACCATCTTGTTCTCTTTACATTTGCTAGAAAATGAATGTTGCCAACTCCTTCTACAATATTAGGTACCATACCCAATTGTTGCAATATGTATGGAAATCATCATGATCTTAAAGAAAGTTGAACAACCTTAAAATTGAAGGCCTGTGTAGAGCCTACATTTCTTTATTGTCCTGTCTTTCATGATGTAGATATGAGGGTTGGACAAAGCAACGAATAGATTTCCTGCTTTTCGAGAATTATTCCCTGGGAAAATTACCTCAGACGACTCGTACTGTGGACTATTCTTTTCTTAGATCAATTTCATCTTTGTTAATATTCTTTCAATTGTAGGGGATATTTGACCGTGTGGTAGTGGTGGAGTGGTGTAAAGTATAGGTGTCCGGGAGAAATTGCCGAGTCTGGATGGGTTGGATCTTGGCTAGTAATTATTCAAGGGTATATGTCTTTTATAGCTCACTCTGAATGGGGTAAGTGGGCAAAAGACATTATACAGGAACTGGATAACTAGTCTAGGCGGAATTTTCATGTCAGGTTTAAGAAGGAAAACGAATCATTTATCATCGAAAACACGTCTTTCGGATGCTGACGTTAAAGGTCGATCCCAGACGTAAATAATCATATCTGATTGATACACGTCTGTAAAAACCCAATTACACACACACACACGCGAACACAGTCGTATGGAACAATGTACAAAGTCAACTGGCGGTTGATGTCCGTTGCCCGAGTGTGATTTCTAATTCCCAAACTCTGCGAGTAGGCAACAATTCGACACTTTTTAGAGTAACAATGGCAAGATATTAACCTGCAAATGCTACTCTCCACCCAGGTGCTAAGTGGGAACCCGGTAGGATGCGACCGTCATTGTTGGTCAAACAGTTCTTGAGCGTCATGTAACGCCTGGCTGGAATGCTCCCCAGGGAGTGGAGATTGTGCACACATTGTGTGCGGGCAAGCACTGAATCCATTGACCGGGGTAATTTTAATACCGGGGTATATTCTTAAAGTGCTTAGAGACATTTTGTATTAAGCGCTATATAAAAATTAAATATTATTTATTATTATTATTATTTCATCATAAAAATATACTTTAAAAGATGGACAATTACATATGATATGGACATGTTGGACCACCGGTTCACTGCACGAATATGAGATAATAACTGCCCACATATTGGAAATGTTCACTCTCGGAGTGCAGCACCTAGCTCACCATCCCTGCCCCTGCACTCCTCCGGGTGATAACTAATCAGATATCCCAAGAGAATCGTAGTCATAAGTCGCTATACATGATGAATATTCTATAGCGCAACTTTCACTGCACATTCTGAAGGTGATTACCATCAGGAAGGTATGGATATACAGGGTGGCCCAAAAAAGAACGCAACAGCTCTCGTCAACACCGCTCATTGTATGGGACGCCAACACGCGCAAATTGCCTGTTGCTTCAAACCGGCTGAATCCGGTTGTAAAAGTACATGTAGAGCAAATTTGTAGAATCGTAGAATCAAAACGCTTTGCTCCAAATTACTCAAAAAACTTTTAACCCCTGATATATAAACCCATTATATCGTGTCTATGAAAATTAGAGATCTTAGGTTTTGCGTTCTTTTGGGGTCACCCTGTAGATTGATCAATAAAGAGAATTTATTGTAATTTATGGAAATCACGAAGGCAGCGAAACTGATGATAATTATCTCTAGCACTTTACATAATTATCTAGTCGTTTCATTGGAAGGAGTATCTAAAGCATCTATATTGCTCGTGCTGGAGAAATTCATCCATCATGCATGCCGTGTTGGCCTGGATGGAAGCAACATATTTTAGAGTAGAATTAATACAGTAGAATTAATTCTGTTGCCCATTAAAAGAGTCGGCGCAACGGCGCTAAGTGGTAGAGCAGTGGTCTCGTAACCGGGATGTTCCGGCTTCGAAACAAAGTCGATGCGCTAGTGCCCTTTGGTAAGGGATTGATCCTCATTGCAAAGTCCCTCGGAGAGGACTTAGAGCTGTCATTCCCGTGGTTGCTTACTTACGAGCATACACATGCTTTCTTAGCAGTCAGATAAAACAAACAAACAAGAGTGCATTTAAGGTGTTATACCTTTCTTTTAGATGATGTACATTCCTTTCACTGACAGTCATTAAAGGCATCGTTTAACAATGTTAAATCTGAGATGCATGCACGACCTTACGTGCTATCAGTGTCTGTGATATGGTGTAATATGGAAGCTCTAAAATAAATGATCAAGAAGTGCCTAAAAAAAGCAAAAGTCTTTGAGTGACCGGTTTTACCATACATATACGGTTTTCCCCTAATAGACTGTAGTGTTATGAAAACCGTTAAGAAAACACAAAATTTGGTTTCGATTTCCAATCATAAATATTTTGATAATCAGACAGGCGATCGGCTTGTAAAAGTCATGGGGTCTCTGACTGACCTAAAGGTTTATTATCATTGCAGCATGAGCTAAATCCAGGATTTTGTTTCAGAATCTTAGACAAAGTTACCGGATCCCTTTAAGGTGCATCAAGTGGTGTATCCAGGGGGCACATACGGGAAAGGGTGTTTCCCCATAATACCGATATGTAGGTACTGTGAAGGCAGTTTGTTTTCCTAATCGAATTATTGGCATATTCCCTGGGCTACAAATCCACGTTTCAGGTGTCATATTAGGAGTCACTTCCTCTTGAATTTATTCCACTCTAAATTACTGTGAAATCCACTCAAAAACAGTAGTTGCATAATTATTTTGAGAGTAAAAATTATTCCAGTATTTAGTTTGCGTGGATTTTCACTCCAACCGAAGTGATCCCTATTATATCTCGCCCAAAAGGTGAATTTCCACTACGTGAATTTAGAGGGTCCATTTGTATTACGATAGAGCACGTGTCTCTGCAGGCCCTGTCTGACGCCTTTCCATAATAAATATTGTCTTCTGAAATGGAACGATTCAAGAATGTCCTCAAGAGTTTTAAGCGACGCTTAATTACGTCCTTTGTTTCTATAGCAAGACTGAAGGAAGGCAGACGCTCTTTATTTTCAAATGAAACTGAATCTCATAACTAATCCAAGTGTTATTGCCTAGAGCATTCCCCCTTGGCTTGAAACCTTAATACACTCTAATCAGACTGGTACAGACCGAACAAAAACTGCGCTACCCCCAAATAGCGGGAAATCAGTCTGTTTGGAGTCTGTGTGAAGTCGATATTAGCGACTGAATACTTTAATGCTATTATGACGGATAATAATAATGATGATAATAAGGCCTAAACAAAAGATGTTGTATTGCCCTTTTTATTGGTTTTTAGAAGAAAAAAATGTATTAAAGCATTCAAAACTGAGAAATATCATTCGAAAGAAGAAGTGAAAAAAAGGAATATCCGACCGACCGACCCATGTTTTGGCACCTAAAGGGCAATACAACATTTAATTTTTTAATTTTTTAGGCCTAATGGCCATTTGTAACGCGTCATATCTGTCAACATGACACTCCTGGCGTAGGTAATGAGAAAATGATGTTGTAACTACAGTACAGTCTTGGCATAAATATAATAAATAGCAAATTAGAGTTGTATGCATTACGTGTAGTTGGAGCATTGCAAATCATGTTTTAACTTATTTGCAATCGATATATACACTTAGGATGTTTCCGCTTGTTTGAAAAATATGTGTGTGTATAGCACCGACAGCAGTGATCAGTTGTGAAAATTTACACTTAAATGAAGGTTCCTGGAATTTCATAGCATGTAAATGTCACATATATGTGCATTGCATCAGTAGATAGTGTGCATTCACACATTGGCCTGCAACAGTACATGATTTCCATTTGACTGAACCGCAAATTACATCCGGGTGGTCGCGTTACCCTACCTTTTTCGAAAACATACCCATTTATTCATGAAATGTCGGGGTAATGTTTGTGAAATAAACCCCTCTCATCTACGATGATCTGGTCCAATTTACCCGAAAATCCTACGGCAAATATACAAAAGGTCGCGTCCTTAACGGGCAGCATCACATCATCTTCCGCTTTCATTTCACGAAAGGTCGTGTAACGCGACCACCCCACCGGACGCGATGACCCGATGGTTCGAAGTAAGCCGGTTCGCAGGTGAAAATAGCACCTGTACGAAATATAATAACATATCTATAATGTCCCATGATGTTTCACGTTCCTGTTACAATGGGAGCATATCAGCCCCTCTCCTCCTCAAGAGATTGGGTTCCAATAGAGTAGTTGACAGGACAACTATCAAAGCTATTGGAATATTATTATTTGGGGAATTAACCCTGACAAGTAACTTTGCTTTTGTCCCTTCCCCCCTTTCGCATTCTGATTCATCATCTTATTTCCCCTTAGTCTCTTACTCATTTTTTCTTTGTATTGTATAGTGTACATTATTTTGTGTTTGCATATTTTTTTAAACTGGAAATGTGGAAAATTAAATTATATGAAATAACATTTTCTGTGAAAGATTTCTTAGGCTTATTTGCTTTACAAATGTTTTAAAGATTGTTTCATTATATTTTTTTCTTCAACATTATTGTGTAATTAAAGGTACAAAATGAGGACTGATTAATTGTTTCATTAAGGAGTTGAATTTATTCATTAAAATTTTTACAGAAATTATTCCGTTATAATAACAGATGAAGAAAAAGTTATGATTTCATAATAAATGCTTTGGTACAATTGTGCAAACGAAAATCAAGTAGATTAAATTAATTATTTGAAGTGCCGAAGAAATTTCTTACGTTCTCGTTGTCCTCTCGTTCGAGCAGCATATGCCGTCGATCTTCTTGAGCAATGCCGGAGCTCGGAGGAGGTCATCGCCCTACTCGACAAGCAGAGCATGGAAGATGACGACGACGAGGGGTATGGGGCGGATGAGATGAACAGTGGCAAGCTCACTCTATCAAGACTCAAACTAGCTCTAAAATATGACCAGAAACAGGTTTGTATCAAGGTATAAGGCCTTAAAAAAGATGTTGTACTGCCCTTTAGGTGCCAAAACATGGGTCGGTCGGTTGGTCGGAAAATCTTTTTTTTTTAAATAATTCTTTTCTTTCTTCTTTTTTCCCTCTCCTCTTTAGGCTGATATTTTTCAGTTTTGAATGCTTTAATATTTGTTTTCTCAAAAAAAAAGATATTTTTTTATATTTTTAAAGCCGGCTGTAGATTTCAAGATTTTGGGGTCGGTTGCAAAGGGCAATACAACATCTTTTTTTATTAGGCCTAATGTATAGCATTGAGATATTTAGTTAAAATGTAGATATCAAATCGCCACTCATTTGAAAACAGGTCAATGTAGTCTTTTTCAAAATTAATTATAAATATATTTTGCTCCGAAAGTCTGTGTGGAACGAGGATTTCCACATAATTATGCTCACCATTCCTATTGGTTGTTATGATTGGGTAGACCTACCTGATAAAGGGTCTAAGGTTATCAACTTATAATAGGCCTGACATTATTTTAACCCAATAAACTACGACATCCCCAACAAAGGAAACGTAAACGTTATCATTACCTCCATTGTGAATTTAAGTATAGGCTTGCAACGAACCTTGCTAGTTTTTTAACCAACATGATTAAAGTTTATGGTCGCTTACCGACCATGCAAACTACTAGATAATGTGTGTACGGTAAGCGACTATTGCTGTACTCATCACCCGAACTCCACCAAAAAATGAAACAAAGGCAATTTAAAAGCTTTGTCCTTCACCTACCGAGATGTGTAAACATTACGATGACGTATTACGTACTTCGAACAGGAATTAAAATTGCATTAGAGTTAACTTCTCGAAAGTCTTGGCGATCGCATTTAAATCGAATTTGTCTTGAGATGCTCCAAAATTAACGCTTCTCCAAAGCATCTTTTAGTTGTCGAATACGGATTAGACTTAAATTTTAAGGTAATTCTCCCCAAACAAAAATATATAAATAAATAAAAGTAAATGAATTAATACATGAAAGTAAATAAATAATTGAAGGTAAATAAAAAAGTAATAAATACACATAAAATAATACGATACATACGTGTAAAATGAATATCACGATTGCGTTTATGTCAGACTTAATACATGCTCGTAATCTACCCAACATGGTTGAACGACACTCTATAGCTGTCGTAAAATAGCGATGAAACTGCTAAAGTAAAATATTATGGTCGCTTTCCATTTACGTTTCAATAGTTTGCGTGTTCGGTAAGCGCCCATTAAAGTAATCAATGAAAACTATTTAGTTGAGTGTCGGGGTTGAGTCTACTCAAACTGATTTTTCTTATACTGCCCTTACCTTCGTCTAGTTTGTGGCCCATCCGCACACCCAGCAGCTCCTAGCTTCTATCTGGTACGAAGGGCTCCCGGGCTGGAGAAGGCGGAACTGGTTCGTCAAGAGCTTAATCTGTTGCGCTCTAATCTGCCTCTTTCCTCTCATGGCGATCTACTACCTGATATTCCCTCGGACCCCGGTCGGCACACTGCTGAGGTCGCCCTTCATGAAGTTCTTGAACCATAGCGCGTCGTTCATCTTCTTTCTCTTCCTCCTGGTCATGGCATCATCATCTGTCAGTGCGACGTCAGACCGAGGTCGAGCACCCGACACCACAGAGGTCTTCATCCTCGTCTTCGTACTCGGTAAATATCTCAACATCGCTTGACCACTTTGGCGATGGCATATGGTACATTAATGATCCCCAAATATCGACTACGTACTATCACCTCCCTGCCTAAATCCAAGGCGCTGCATTATCCTACTGAGTATCTGATCATGATTCGCCTCGGAAAGACGAGTAGTGACTAGGTTTTAGCAATGTGGAATAGGTTTGTCTTTATATGGTTTTTGAAAGTGGAAAGCAAGTCACAAGAGCGATGTAACTGAGGAAGATTTTTCCATAAACCTTAGTGCAGAATCAGCTAGTGAATGAGCTATGGCCCAAGAGAGAACGTCTTCGAGGATTCTCAATAATAAGTAGATATTTACTGCCGATGGCAAATGTGCTTGAGGATTATAGGGGGTCAGCATGTCTGAAATGTTTATAGTGCAGATCCATGCTTTGCCTTTCATGTTAACGAAATAATCATTACACTCTAGGACAATATACCATTTTCGTAATGTAATCAAACCTTAGCGGTAGGCCATAGGTCTATTACTATGATCGCGAATTTTGAAAAATATCCCTTAATCCTGATCGTCAGTTTTCTTTGTCATTAGTTAATCGTCAACAGATATATCTATCATCATCATTTTATCCTACGAATGACGTAAGCATGGTGTATTAAAACAGTTTTTTATATTTATGATCGTTATGATATTCGTTGCAGGTATGATATGGGCCGAATGCAAACAGCTTTGGGAAGAAGGCTTGAGAGCCTACATAAGACAGTGGTGGAACTGGCTGGACTTCATAATGCTCTCATTATACCTCTGTACATTCAGGTAAAACAAATTGGTCAAAATAAATGGAAACAAAAATCAACATATGGCATAGAAAATAGCCCGTAGCATCTCCAATTTAATGTACAAACATTATCCAAACAAACACGATCTTCGTTGTATTAAAATGTGATCATGTTGTAAGGAAATATTGGATCGAAACTCAGTAGAATAAAATTATCTCGCAGTTTGAGAAAACCATCTTCGGGAAAACTGCTTGATTGCACTTTCCTTTCAAATTTCGTTTTCTTTTCTTTTCTTCTCCTGCTTATCCGGTAGTTTACGTCTGGTGGCAGCTATCCAGCTCAGCCGAGGGGTGTATAATGACGGCTTGATACGAACCCAATGGAGTACTTCCGACCCTACCCTAGTCTCTGAAGGTGTCTTTGCCATCGCTAACGTGTTCAGCTTCGCTAGAATCATCTACCTCTTTCAGGTATAATACCTATCTATCACGTCGCCAAACGACTGCACATCGGCTTACTTTGTATCATCGGTCATCGCGTCGGGTCGGGTGGTCGCGTTACCTGACCTTTTGTGTAAACATGCTCCTTTATTCACGAAATATCGGGGGGGGGTGGGTAATGTTTGTAAAATAATCCCCTCTCATCTACAAATGGTCTGGTCCAATTCACCCGACACTATGTGGAAACCCTACGGCAAATCTACGGAAAGTCGCGTCCTTGACGTGCAACTTCACAAGATCTTCCGCTTCCGTTTTACGAAAGGACGTACGTGTAAATGTAACGCCGTCATCCGACCTAACGTGATTACTCGATGATTCGAAGTAAGCCCTCCACTAGAATCTAAACCGGCCGATTCTTGGCAATTCGCGGGGGTAGGGGGTAACGTAATGTTTTGTTCGGTCTGTTTTCGGTTTGTTGTCGGTCTTGTCTGCATGACTGAGATATAACGTAGCTCTATTCACTGTGCCTACTATGCTGTTGGCGGATCATGCCAGGGAGCGGTTCAACAAGTCCGAAGGAAAAAAATATCTGACAAGCAAATAGACCTACATGGGGAAAATTCAAATTTTCATTGCCTTTTTAATGTCTAATATTGGTTTTGCAACCCCCTGGATTTGGTACATGTACTATTGTAAATGTTGATGTATTTAAGAACGGGTATCGACTATTGATTAATGACAAAGCAATTTCTGCCTTCTTACCTTCATACATGAGACACGCTAAAAGAGAAAGTTGAGTTCTGGGGAGAGGTGTAAAAATTATTTGTGAGCGTTATCATTTTTATTATGTAAGTGTGGAAGATCATCAGAGAAAACTTGTTCCAGGCGCGGATCTACGGGGGGGGGTTTAGGGGGTTTAAACCCCCCCCCCCCCCCTTGGGCGGCCCAAAAAACAAAAAAAAAAAAAGGAAAAAAAAAAAGAAAGAAAAAAAAGAAAAAAAGAAAGAAAAAAGAACGCACGCTGGAGAGAAACCCTTTCAAGTGCAAATATTGTGAGAAGATATTCAACTCATCTGGTAACTTAACCAAACACATGATAACTCTGGATATAACTGTGTATTTAACTGTTACTTGATTTAAAAAGACGTTATCATGCACTGCTTTTTATGGTCTCCATTGTGTTAATAGATGCCAGGAAAACATCACTTACGGGGTTGAAATAAACACCCCAAAAAAAATCGGATCGCCGCTTCGCGGCTTGTGGACGATGCTCCGCATCGTCATTATTGGTCAACCCCCCCCTTAGCAAAAAGCTAGATCCGCCCCTGTGTTCCCTGAAAAGCATGGCTCTTCAAACGCCTTCATATTCCAAATATGACAAGTAACAGCTTAAAAATGAGGCTCACATTTTTATACCACAAGTTTGTGTAGCCCAATGTACATCTTTCTGTGTACAGTGCTGGTTAGTTCACCAAGACTGGGTCAAATATTTATCATTTTGATGATCCCAGAACTTGCAGTACACACCAATTCTTAATTGCTACGTGATCTACTTTTTCTAATCGATTCTAAACCATTTCTTTCACAATGCATCGCATGACCAGAACTCAAGTTAAAGGTGAAGAAATAAGTCCTCACATTGCCGAGTCAACCAAATATATATGGTTCTATTTTCGTCAGCCCTAACATTTTTTCTATATTTTCCTCTCTCGACACAAGAGGGTATAACATTAAAAAAGGTGGCTGAACTGTGATTTCATTCTTAAAAACAATATTTTTTTTACAATTACGTGGCGGCGGTGATTTTGGACCCTTGAATCCCGGAAAGCAGATAGGATCTGGTCTAAATGGACATCCACCACTTATATCTTGTTTTTAATTCCTAGGCCAATCCCTACCTGGGACCACTACAGATCTCGCTGGGTTGTATGTTGATAGACATCGCTAAGTTTCTACTCATCTTCTTCCTCGTGCTTTGTTCATTCGCCTGCGGTCTCAACAAACTCTATTCAGACTACCTTACTAGTTTTAGAGGCAGTTGTAAGGACGGCGCAGAAGAAAAGTACGGCTCAGAAGCGAAGTACTGTTCAGCGGTAGACAAAGACTTTGATGGGTAAGAGACGCATATTTATAAGGGTGAATCTTGAAAATAAATCAATTGCCCGGTCCTACATAATGATGATTTTGATGTGCACGTGGCAAATTTTTAATGAAAGTAGAACAACTTAAAATGTATTTCAAAGTGCTGAAAAGTACCAAAATGTGCTTGGAAGTGCATAAATAAATAGTTGGATTTGGATGTCTGAAATGAAATACAATGCGTTTACAATGATAACAATTTATCTACAATAAGAAACAAGGATTCATAAAATAGACTGTAATATAAAGATAGGAAAACAATATGAGAACGATATTAAAGCATCATACAATATACAAAACCAGAACTTGTATTTACATCAAAGAGATAGTTACAAGTACTTTATTTTTAAATTGTATCAACTGATAAGAGTCAAGTTGGGGGGAAAAGAAGATTGAGAAATCGAAATTTACAAGAAACAAGACATATTTAAGATTCTCTTATAACACACTAATTGCTTTATAAGGCATCATGTAATACTAGTATGGTATAACCACTTGATCACAAGCTTTTATTGTTATTCATTTAATATCAAAAAGTACATTTACAAAATTTACATTTTTGCGTACATTTTATGCATATGTTGCTGAAAGACAAGAAATCTCAGTACAATTTTATGCTACATGAGATCATCATCATCCTGATACGATGCGAGAAAAAAAGACAAATCTCGAAAGTGGTTTCGTAAATTGTGCTCTAGAATAAGTGGAAAGTTAGCGTTTCTAACTAAATCATTTAAGACCCTGTTAAAGACCTATCTTTGTGTAAATTGTTAATTTTGTTCCAGCTGTTTAGTGACTACTTTGGTTATAGTATCATGTACATATTTAATGTTTAATTTGGTTTTCATTTAATTTTCATGTTTAAATTTGTATTACCTGAATGTACAATATATTACATGTAAGCTATATAGGAATTTATACAGTAGGCTTGCGGGTGCACCATGTGAGAGAGAGGGAGGATTGAGGGGTTCTGAAAAGGATTCTCGGTAATCTTTCTTGAGGTTTTTTTTCTTGAAGACTATACCAACAGTCATTTTCAGGACTACAAAAAAAAAATCTCAAGTAAGATTACATAGAGTCCTTTTCAGGACCCCTCAATCCTCCCTCTCTCTCACATGGTGCACCCGCAAGCCTACTGCATATCTACATCACCATGCAAGTCGACACATACAAGCAGTATATAGGAATTGCGTATCATTATTGTTGTTTTTTAATTAATTATTTTAATTTATCAGGCATAAATGTTCATTTCTATTCCGCCTTTTCACTATTTCCTTCTTTTCTAAGCGAATAGGACTTTCTTCGTGTTAGTGATATGCGCTATACAAATAACGTTCATTATTATTATTATTTCACTTCTTTACAGACTCCCGAGAACTTTGCTGACTCTGTTGTGGGCCCTTTTTGGTTTGGTTCAGAATACGGCACCGAAGCTCGACAAAGAAAACGCAAATAATCAGTTCTTTGTAGAACAGGTAGGAGAGTTGTTGTTCCTCGTCTATCATCTCATGTCCATCATCGTTCTTCTGAACATGCTAATCGCCATGATGAGCAGCTCCTTTCAAATTATCGAGGTGAGGAAAGAAATAAAGTCAAAGTTAAAAATTTTTCTGATTCGCATATAACTCCTATTGTAATAGACTTGTGTTTCATTCACCTGATTCTCAATGATGAGGTTCAAGGTTCAAATCGACCGGGTGCGTAAGAGTATTTGCTCTACATTTGTCTTCCTTTGACCAAAGTAGCCTACCACAAGAATGGTTAGATTCATGCGTTGTGTGCCATAATGGCAGCTAGTCTAGGACCAATTAAACATTAGACAAAGAATACTATGCATTACACAAGATACCAATATTCTTATGACAATAATCCTTTCACAAATGACACCAGCAAATTCTTTAAAATATTTATAGATTCAACATGTTGCCTTCAATAGTATTACTTACCGATACCGATGTTGATACAATGATTTCCAAGTGTGGGTCCAAAGCGGGCATGCACATGAGGCATGCACACCTCTGTAGGTCAAGACAATAATTGACGTTTTTCTCTTAACAAACGGCATTTTGTCCCTATCATCAGAGCACTATCGCAAGGGGGACGCATATTCTCCTGTAGTTATACATACAAACGTCTTATATTCAGAAAATGGACCATAGTTCTCTATATTTCGTGTTACAATAATATACTCTATATCTTTTATTTTTAAATATTCAGGACCACGCGGATCGGGAATGGAAGTTCGCGCGGTCCAAGCTCTGGATGAGTTACTTCGACGAAGGGTCTACACTGCCCCCACCGTTCAACTTGATCATCAGTCCTAAGTCTATACTGTATGCCACCATGGCATGCAAGAGGATCTTCTCATCTAGGGTCATTAAGAGCAAGCACAAGCCCAAACCAAGGCGAGGCTGTTCTATGAATGACTCAATGAAGGTTAGTACTTAAATGACCCCCCCCCCCCCCCAAAAAAAAAAAAAAAAAAAAAAATGAATAAATAGATAAATAAACAAACAAATGAATATATAAGCAATAATAAATAAAGCAATAAATGAATGTAAATAATGAATGAAAATATAAAATACACCCCAAAACAGACAACTAAACAAACAAATATAACATTTATTTCCACTTGCCCCCCCCCCCCTCCCCTCATTTCATAATAACATTTTTAAATTACTGATATAACGTGTGGGCCTAAACTTAAATTGCTGTTTTATTTTTACTGGATATTAAGCAGATGCATGTTAAGATGAGTTCCCTTTGCCTGGGATTTCGACTATTTCTTGCACCTGAACTTCAGGTCTTCAAGACGCAGTAACGATGTCATTATCCTTCTGACTATACAACTTTCTTTCTAGCTGTTTATCATTTAGACAACAGGATGCAACCACAAAGATAATTAAAACACCTTCATGATGTTCAATGTATGAAAACTCAGTTTACACCGTCTGGCAGAATGTGGTACACACTGTGGATCTGTGGCTAAACAATGCCTTGATTATTCGGGGATACTGAGTCACAGTATGAAACAGAGCGACACAGCGTGGTCACAGAGTGTGTACAATTTAGTATGACCACACAGTAAATTTGGAAGTCATTCACAGTGTTCACTATAATAATGATGACTCTGTCCACACCGTCTGACAGAATGTGACACACTGTGTCGACACATTGCTTTGTGACCTCATAGTGAAAACACAATGAACACACTGTGGTCAAAGTGTGAACACATTGTATTGTGAACACACAGTAAATTTGGAAGTCTTTCAGACTCTGTTCACACTGTGTCCACACATTGCATTGTGACCTAATAGTGAAAACACAATGGATCATACTGTGGTCACAGAGTGTACACAATTTAGTATGGCCACATAGTAGATTTGGAAGTCTTTCATAGTTTTCATTATTATAATGACTCTGTTCACATGCAGTGTCTGGCAGAATGTAACACACTGTGGTCAAAACGTTAACACATTGTATTGTGAACACACAAGAAACGCTTAAAAATATCCATAATATCAACAATGTGAACACGCTGTATTCTTAGTTTCCATCGTGTTATAAAAGTTGGACGTTAATTTCTTTCCCGTAGAAGATCTTTGTGACCTATCTCTGTCTTACCATAACTATCGAATGAATCTATCTCTAATTAGATCTGGGGGTGTTTCACAAAGATCCTAAGTTTAATTTATCTCTAAGTTGGACTAAACAATTATGGAAAGCCGTTAGCATCATTGAAAATATTTTGTAAACGTTATTTTAAAAGGCATTAATGTTGATTCAAATCATTCATATTTTGTGTTATCTTGGGAGATTTCATGTTCTTGATGTGAAGTTTATGAAAAGTCTAAAATACTTGAATTTTGCTTTTGAATGTATTTCCTTATAAGGCTACAAATGGCTCTCCATAATATCTAAGTCCAACTTAGAGTTAAGTTCGACTTAGAATCTTTGTGAAACACCACCCAGTACTAATATATTTCTTTTCCCCTCGCTTTCTGTTCCAGAATGTGGATGGTTCAATAGGGCCGAACAACACACCTGAATATCGCTATCAAGACGTTATGAAACGGTTGGTGAATCGATATATACACCAGTGTAAAGCAGCACGCAAAGCAGACGGTGTGAACGAAGATGATCTCAATGAAATCAAGCAAGACATTTCTAGTTTGAGGTTGGTATTTCCTTTCTTCCTCTCTTTTTCTTTTCTCTCTTTCTTTCTTTCTTTCTTTTCAAATGGGGCACGGTATAATCTGATATCTAAAAAGGTATTATGATACAGGCTCATCAATTTCATTATTATGTAGGACCGTACTCTGTTGCCCATTTTGATATGAAGAACACCTTAATATTTTGGGCAAAATTTTAACCACATAAGAATTGACAACAACAAAAACATATTTATGCATACGAATGTAATGTTGACATTTTTTCTGCCCACTTAGAGTACATATACACGTACCTACACTTTTTTTTCTATACTTCTTTTAAAGACTTCTCAACAATTATTAAAGTGACATACAACGTACGGGTCCATGACGACAGTGATCTAGAACTTTTAACACTTCCTTAAAAGAGAAAGTATATAATTAATAAAGGTGTTTTTTTTTGTCTTCTAAACATTTTGCAAAAACATACTGGAAACCAGCATTAACCCCCATGTTACTTTCGTCTACTTAAGATATGAACTTCGTGAGGATCGGAAGAAAGAAGAAGCCCGTGGGAGCTCCAACATGCACAACATCCGACGAGATATCATCCGTATTGTACGAAGCACAAGCTCAACAACCGAGCAGACTAGTACAACCCAAGATGGCCGGTCTCAACCCGGGAGTACGGCCAGCACCGAATCGCTCCACAGTCTGAGTCGGGATACGAGTAGCACAAGTACGAGTACGTTACGGCCGATTCTGCTTGGGAGCACGCAGGGTAGTGCGTTCAGACGATTCGATAGTGCTGGTGGACGTGGTAGTAGCAATGCAAATCAAGGCACTCTCAACAGATCTTATGCACAAGATGATAGCGGACTAGAAGAATTGGTGTCACGTGCCGATCTTGAAACAATGAAAAGAGACATTTTACAAGGGATACAAGTGGAAGTGCAGCAGTGTTTGCGAGATGTTCTTCTAACGCATAGACATCGCCCGTCCATCGACGGACCAACGTCACCTCCTCCCCCAGTACCTCCCCCGCCTCTTGATGTCGAATTCACGGATTTACCTCCAAACGATGAACATTATTTTGCATTCAGGAATGCAGCATTTGAATACGATGAAGGGATGAAAGCAATTAAGAATCCGACTTTAACTCAACTCTGAAAGAAGCTCCACGAGGAACTCAATGACTTGAATCAACAATGATTGAAAAGCGGGTCTGATAGTAACAGAATGAACATTCACTTTGTATTGTTTTTTACTAGATTAATAGTTTTGACATTTGCCATTTTTCATTAACGAACGACAAAAAACATTACAAATACAAGTGTAAACGAACAATTTAGGCCAGCTTACTATGATTAAAGAAAACTTAACTGTCATGTACATAGATGAAAAGGAGGCCTTTCTTCTTCAGAGCATCTGGATGGACAGTCCTGAAATCTGTAGGCCTATTCTTAATTATTATAAAGCAGTGTGTGAGAGTGCGTTTGTAAGGGTCTTTATATGATTCGAAATGGACCAATACCCAAGGATCATCATTCAAATGGTCAAAGTATCAGATCACTTTAACCGTTTCACCTCCATGGCTTCACCAACGATCAACTGTCATCTACTGGCCCAAGAAATAGATCAAAAGAAACCCGGAGTATAGAAGACTTGGACAGTTTTGAAACTTGAAAGGAAGGATGTTAAAGAGTCTAGCAAGGAAAAGAGTGGACGGATTTGGATGGAGAAATGATGTCATCAATATTACATCTTTACATTCTGTAATAGTAATGTATAAATAAAACATGGTTTATGCAAGACGAGTCTTTATAAAACCCATTATAGGGTGTTTGTAATAACGTTAAGTCACGTAGTTTGTCATTTCAATATCACTTTCACGCAACACTAGCCTTTATGAGTGCTTTGTTTTTTAAACAGTGATTTGATTTTTGCAGTATAAAACCTAGAAAGTATTCAATTTTACAACAAAATGTGCAGATCTTCAAATAAAATTTCATTGGGGCTTGTGATAATTTAAAGCACAATTTGAGAAGGGGCCCCAGAACATGTCTTTCCCTTTTCTTAGGCCTACAGCAAACAGCTAGGATACAATCAAAAGATTATTATAAAAAGGGTCCAAATAGCTTAACACCCTTTCCCCTCCAACATTTCTTTGTGCAATTTATATTATAAACATGTTGGCAAACCAAAGATTTTGAAAGTTTAAACAAAAATTATATTATAAGTGTTGTTAACTTAAGACAGCCCTTTTGAGTTATGCCGGCTTATTATAAAATCTTACGACTTTGTTTGTTTAATTTACCGACTAACCTGTCTGCATACTAAGTTTAACACCCCCTCTTCCGCTTCGAATGGTCTTAGCACCCCTCCCCCCCCCCCCCCCCCCCCATGATAAAAAGTACAACAAAACAAATGTGTCTTGAGACCCAAAGTACATCAGAATAAGAAGAAAGTATGGCTCATCACCAAGCTAGCTGCTATTAATGGTCTACGTGCAGTGAATGAAGCTGTAAATTTGTATCCAGTCTGGCCACCCCTGCCCTAAAAAATAATTTTCTCGAGTTCAGGGTTGAAGAGGCTGATATTTAGTGCAGTAATGTATTAATGCAGCTGAAGGGCATTTAGCTCATGGGTATGAATGTATGTATAAATGTATGTATGATTCTGGCTTAGAGGCTGATATGTTGAAGGTATGGATAATACCAATTAAAGTACCCCCCCCCCCCACCCACAGCTGTCTGTCTGTCCATATCTGTCTCTCTCTCTCTCTCTCTCTCTTAGTATCACCTTTCTTTCTATCACATATTACCTCTCCTCTGTCTATCTGTGTGTCTCTGTCTCTCTTTCTTTCTTTCTATCATCCAATTCTTTCTCCTTGTCTATGTCTATGTCTATGTCTTTTTTTTCCTTCTCTCTCCCCTTGTTTTCTCATCTCGTTTCTCTTTCTCAAAAAATCCATGCTTTATGTCTCAGTCGCATTTTCTCTAAGGCTAGGATACGGCGGCCGTGAGCCCCCGAAATCGAGAGATACATGAGGTCAGTGGCGTACGCAGGATTTTTTCAAGGGGGGGGGGGGGGTTAAAATCGGGTCCAAAATTTCGCAACAACTCAGCGCCGGTCAAAAAGTCGCTCAGTGGGGGGGGGGGGGGGGTTAGGGATTTTTTAGGGGGTTTACACACATAAAATTACCAAAGGGGGGTTTAACCCCCCAAACACCCCCCCTGTGTACGCGCCTGCATGAGGTTGCCGCAGAGGTTAGGGCGTATCCCTATCGGTTATATACATGCCGTAGGGATCGTCGTGGGATTATGGCACGGAGTTATAACCTTTTTTTTCTTCATTTCTAGGTTCGCCGTAGCATCAGTCTTGCCGCACGGTCACCGTATGGTCTCTCTGCGGCTACCGTGCGTCTACCTTGGTATTTGTCCAAAAACCTACGGCCGCCGCAGGGACGCCTTAAGGCGACTGTGCGTCATCACTTCAAAGGCCGTACGGCAGCCGCAGGTTTTAATGTCCCCACAAATTCAAAATATGCCGTGCGGCTACCTTAAAATATGTGACTGCTACAGTATGTGACCGTGAGATTCGAATGCTGCAGCGGCCCTATATCTTGGCCGTAGATAGACCCCACGTCCGCAGCGGCAAATGTGACTGAGGCATAAATCTCTTCCTTTTCCTCATTTTCATTCTCTTTTTGTCTTCTCTCTTCTCTTTCGGCCTGATGTATTCCACGCACAAGGACATTAGAAAGCCTTGTTCAGATATGGCGAGGCTAACTGCGGCAGATTTGTTTTATAATGACGTACCTGTTATACGCTTCACATATCTGTATCTTATAACACGCAACACAGAGCTCAGTGAATAAGCAGAGGAACTTTGTTGTGCTCAGTTTCCATTTATTTACGCGTTAAAAAATAAACCTTTTGTGGTTTTACCACATATCTGAATGAGCCTGTGCTCAGCATCACTTTACTAAAAAGACATTTTCGTGTGTATGGGGGTGTGACCATAGTTCGCTATCTCAAAAAATCGGTAAGATTTTGAAAATCTGCTACCCGTGATGGAAAGAGGAACCTAAAATTACCAGAGACGAAATTTTCTATGGAATTGGACATGAAATTATGAGAGAAAAAAAATTCATTTGGGTCCGTTCCGAAAGAATATAAACTTACCAACAACGGTTTGGGAATCTTTATTTTGAGAGCAGATGTCCTCAAAATTGTAAATAAAAAGTGGTACCAACTGATTGTATGATATTTTTACTTACACAATATGCAATTATATTATATTTGATGGATCGATTTTTATTTGTTGATAATCGGCTGTAAACCCCCGTGCATGAAGTCAGGTCTCGTTATTTTTATGAGTTTTTACGCGAGTTGCAACTCGCATGCCGATCCGACATCGAATTTTAGATCGCAATATCTCCGGAATCCATTGAGGATCAATTTTCTAGTAACACCAATGAATTTGTAGTTTAAAACTTTGCCGTCCATTTGGTAATGATTGAAATCAATCAATTTGTTTAGAATGTCAGAAATCATGGATCGAATATCACGTTTTCTGGTATTTAAAAAAAATCTCCGCGAAAACTTTGGTCACCCCCCTCATACAATCGGGCAGGGGCAGCGATTTCTTTTCATGACCGGGGGGGGGGGACGAAATGTGAGGGACAATAATGGGTTTTTTGGGGGGCAGAAAAAAATCCGCATCACTACCACTCTTACACGTTACGCAGGCCCTGGGAACGTTTTTCAAAGTGGGGGGGGGGGCTAAAGTATTTACAATCAGGTAGAGCAAAGCAAAGCAAAGCGGAGTGTACATTGGCGTGGGGTCCAGGGGCTAATCCCCGGCGGGTGTCAAGGGGCGGAGCCTAATGAAGCTCAGGAGTTTTCGGCATTTAATTACGGTCAGATGAGCATATTTTGATACCTTATTTGTGACACTGGCATGCAGGTCAATTACTGGGGTGGAGTCCAGAGGGCGGAGCCCCCAGAAGCTCAGAGGTTTTAGGCATTAAATTACGATCAGATGAGCATCAAGGCGCCGCCTTAGGGCCCTTGGTGGGTTCCAGGGGGCAGGGCACCCGGAAGGTCAGGGAAAAACCATGCCATTTCTACAACATTTGTAAATCACTGGTATCAAATTAGAAATAAACCACGTTTGAATTTCATTTTGGGGGAACTGCCCCCAACCCCCCTCCCCGTCCCCCATCAGTACGCAAATGCGAGGGAGCATAGTGAATGAGAGGGGTGAAGGTGATGAGGTGGCTACCCCCTCACAGGTTTTTGAAGTTTTGTTGTATTACAAAATTACATTCCTAAGCAAAGCTATAGTATAAACGTTAGCAATATACCATTTTTCACTCTTCAATTTTCTCGGTATTTACTCGTTCATTTTGAAGGATATTATGCGAGGGAGCGTAGCTACTGAGTGAGAAGATTTTTGGCATTTTTATTTGTTTAAACGCTGCTCTCTTGGGCCCTCCAGAGCCTAAAAGTGTGTTGCATTCTTTAGTCAGTATTTGCTATACATTTTTTTGTGTGCATTTTTTCAAATTTTGAGGGGAGGACGATCCCCTCCTAAAAAAATCAAGGGGGGACGTGTCCTCCCCGTCCCCCCGGGATCGCCGCCCCTGCAATCGGGAATGTTTTGGCAAGGAATTCATAAAGCACAAAACTAATTTTCAAAGGCTACTCCTGCACATACATTTATGTAGAGCAAGAAGAGAGAAAACATATTGAAATTGTGTCTTTATTGTTGGGATTATAAGGGAAACTTATTCGTATGTCATCACTGATTAAATCTTGTTTTTTTGCCTTAATAGTTACACATTGCCTTTAAGTCAGTTTGATCGCGTTTGATATGTGCTGAATATATTTTTCATGTGCCACGATTATATGACACTATAATTCCCTGTCTTTACAATATGTGTTGCATATATGATGCAACGTTATTGATATATAATGTAATGGTTCCGTGCACACAGTTTTCTATGCCAGTCAGGGAAAGAAAAACAAAAATTTCGGGGGCTACTTTTTAAGCTTGCCTGCATCAAAATAACACTCTAAAATTTGTTTTGCATTGAACACTATGCAAATTTACAGGGGCTCTTTTGGGCATTTCAGGGGCAAATTCGCCATGAGCCCCCATGTATTTTTTTCACTGATTATTGCCAGTGCGTTTTACAGTTCACTGTGAGTGTATTTAAACTGCAAAAAATATTTGCAGAAGAAATATTTGAAGCTCATAGTTATCTACACTACAGTATAGCAGCATAGACCCCTTACATCGAGAGAAAAACTTGTTTTGGTGATTGGTCAGAATTATTAAAGCATTCAATTTGATCATTTGGTAAATTCATTCGATGATTCGATCAATCTGTATGCCTGCACGCATGGGTGTCGATCCCGGGGGGGATGGGGGGGATATATCCCCCCCAATATTTCAGGTGGGGGGGATGGCCTGTACAATCATCCCCCCCAATAATTCACCATAAAATTATTTTTTTAAATGAAGAGAAAAATTAATGATGAGAGTCCGATGAGAGTAGTTAATTGTTATTACTCGCAAGATGACCATCAATATACACATTTTGCTATCTCATTTTCATAATACATACATTATATACGAAGTTAATAAGACAACCGTATATGAGACAAGAATAAATTGAATTCTCGCTCATACGGCTTCATCAGGAATTGATGAATTTATTCAATTTGTTCAATCAACAGCATATCATAGAAATGCAGTGCGCCAAATGCAAAGACGCAGCATCAAAAGCAACGAGCTAAATGTTAAGCGCGAAGCACAAAAGTAGCAATCTGCAATGCACATCAGACAATCCTGGACAGTGTAAACATAGATGAACTCTGTGACGATTTCGTGATGAGATCGGAGACAAAGAGAAAGATTTTCGGACATTAGTATGACTTATAAAATAGTTCACTAGTTGTTATGTTGTTTCCGTTCACCCTTTTTAAAATTCACGTCATTGTATCTTTATTTTTATTTTTTTCACTCATTTTATTTCCTGATATTTCCTAAAACATTTTTCATTTTTGGAGAAAGATTATTATGTCACAACTTATTTTCAGTTGGGAAACTGAATTCAGACAAGGATTAATATAGAGAACAGTACAATGAATCGTCTTCTTTCTCTAATAATTTAGCGAACAGGGCAAAGCTGTTAGGGGGGCAACTGAATTCAGACGTGGATTAAGAGTAATAATCAAATGAAACGTCAAAGTACACGATACAACTAATCGTCTTCTTTTACTAATAATTTAATAAAACGTGAAAGCTTCCGCGCTACGCGCGGAATGGGCGAAAGTGAATACAGACAAGGATAAAGAGTAATAATTTATTGAAACATTAAAGCTTCCGCGCTTCGCGCGGTAGGGGGGAAACTGAATTCATGAAGGACACGATACAACAAATCGTCTTCTTTCTCTAATAATGTAATAAAATGTGAAAGCTTCCGCGCTTCGCGCAGGATTGGGTAAAAATGAATTCAGACAAGGATTAAGAGTCGAGAATGGTACATAGAATCGTCTTCTTTCTTTAATAATCTAATGAAACGTCAGAGCTTCCGCGCTACGCGCGGGGGAAGGGGAACTTGATTCAAACAAGGATTAAGAGTCGAGAATGGTACATCGAATCGTCTTCTTTCTTTAATAATCTAATGAAACGTCAGAGCTTCCGCGCTACGCGCGGGGGAAGGGGAGCTTGATTCAAACAAGGAATAAGAGTCGAGAATGGTACATAGAATCGTCTTCTTTCTTTAATAATCTAATGAAACGTCAGAGCTACCGCGCTACGCGCGGAGGAAGGAGAATTTAATTCAAACAAGGATTAAGAGTCGAGAACGGTCCAACGAATCGTCTTCTTTCTCTAATAATTTAGTGAAACGTCAAAGCTTCCTCGCTTTGCGGGGGGGGGGGGACTCCCCCTCCCTGCACCCAACCCCCTAGGAACCGCGCTTCGTGTGCTAACTACCGCCCCCCCTTAAATTAAATCCTGGCTACGCGCTTGGGAGGGGTGCAACTTGCCACACGCTTCTACCACTTTGGTTGCTTTGATCCATTGCCGAAAATATTTTGGCACCTATCATCCCCCCAACCACGGATACAAATCGACACCCTTGCCTGCACGCATGGGCTGAAAGCATTGGTCTTGCTTTGGAAATGCATTAACCCATGTCAGCTCACCCCTTCGATAGGTTCTTAAACTGTTCATCGCATGGTAGTGGGTCTCAACATGGTTACAGTACACTAATCTATTGAATATTCATAATGTTAAGTATATGATGGAAACACGGCAAGTTATCTTACTATCATTAGATTCCCGGGAGCATAATTAATTACCATAAGCAAGATAACTTTTATATGTATTTCTGACAGATTTGTCCATGCTCCCTTTGGGAACATCCATATAATATCCGAGTCAGAGTCGATCTAAAACTGCACGAGAGTTAACTATGAACTCTGCATACACTACACAAATAATCTCCCTGTGCGATTTATCATGGTATAGAGATGGGTGTGGAGTATGACTATTACTGTACATGTGTATTTTGACAGATGTATAACTTCTAGTATACAGCTTATAATTATGGACCTGAATGTATAATACATGTACTTTTATTGCTTAAGGACATGTTGAATGCGACATCAAATAAGTTACAAAATAGTAACTGTGATCGATTTAAAATTTGCATTTGAACAGTATACTGACATGTACATGTGTAAATTTGATTGAGATGAAGAAAAACAAAAACAACTTTACCAGGTCAAGTATTCAACTATTGTATAAGTGCAACAGGTGAAAATAATGGATTATATTTTATCCTTTGTTTCAATAAGAGGACTTCATTCAACATTTTATGATAAGAGACCTCTTTTCATGGTTTATGCTTACACCCAAGTTAAAGATAAACTTGAGTACTGGTAATGTGATTGCATTGTGAAAGAAAAGGTGTGGAATGGATCAGAAAAGTTGATCATATAGCATGTAAGTAATGGTGTGTAATGCAAGGTTCTAGAGTCATCAAAATCATCATAAATTTGGCAGAGTCTTGGTAAAGTAACAATCACTTACACAGATAGATGTATATGGGACAACACACATGGTGTCGGGGCTAGTACTACCCTGCTTTCCTTATCTTTCTATGCTCAATCTTCAGCCAGTATACATTTTCTTCCAAAATTGTTTGGGACATGACATTTGTTTGTAATCTTGAACATTCAGTGTAAGTTTCGTTAGATTCTGTGAGAATTCATTTTCTTTTTTTTTACCAGAACTCAAGTTTATCTTTAAGAGATGAAAAATAGGGGGATTCATTTTAAGGGTTCCTCATTTATTTTTCTATTCCATAATTTTTCTGAAAAGTCATCTAGTTTATTTCTTGAACACAAAACATATAGATCTACATGAACAGAGAGCAGGGGGGGGGGGGGATATCATGAAGACAGGATCTGAATGTTTATTACGAAGTGCATTTTTTTGTTACTGTAAACACAAATTGTATTCAGAATTGGTGAAGCTTTCAAATGATTTATGACAAATACATGTGTTAATTCTTTATATATATATATTACTTTGTGCAAATATGTATCAATAAATCACATATAGACTGCAAAAATTGCTTTCACTGTTGGCATTTATTTGTGTTATTCTCTTTCATTTCACACAATAAACATTGCAAAATATAGCTAATCAAAGTCAACTTCCAGAGTACAGAATAATGGATCATTTCAATTTGTAACTTATCGTATCTTTGTTTTAAAGGTAAAGACCAGTATTGGAAACGCCCCAATTTCAAAAAATGAAATGGAAGCTCTCATAACCAATCATGTAAAAGAATATGTTTTGACTAATACATGATGATAACAAATTTGCCGGGAAACCGCCTACTAATTCATATATTTGGTAAATTTGTTTCTCTCATGGTTTGTGAGAGATATAGGGTAGTCCCATATACATCTTTCTGTGTATAGTGCTTATAACTTTACGAAGAATGGGCCAAATTTCTTATCATTTTGATGATTCCAGAACCTTGCAGATGCTAGATGCTAGATGCTAGATGATCAACCTTTCCTGATCGATTCCACAACGTTTCTTTCACAATGCAATCGCTTGACCATAACTGGTCTTTACCTTTAATGGAGGAAAGAGTCTATCAAATATTTCAAATTTTGACCATAGTCACAGAAAATGGATAAAGATCCAGACATCGCTAGACCATTTCTTCCAACAAAGGTGTCTCTCCCCCCCTCCCCCTCCCCCCCCTCCCCCCTCCCCCCCCCCAAAAAAAAAATAAATAAATAAAATAAAATAAATAAAAATAAAAAATTATTGCAACACAATTTCATATTTTCAATTTTTCATTCTCCCTTTTTATACATTTATTAAAGAAGGGCTCTTTAGACAGTTGTAGTAACTCCAGGTCATCAATCAATTACCTGACATATAGGTTGGGAGTGGAAGGGAGTGACACACTGCCCTAGTGATGGCTAGCCCTGCAGTGAAGGATGAGCTTATAAAAAAAGCTTTAGATCTTAAAGAAAGGGTTAAGTGCATATATACCTGCAATATGACTTCTACACACTACACACACTCAACATATCCCATTCTGCAATCATAAATACAAGTACTATCACAAGTTTTTTGTAAAATGTTTCCATTATTGAATAATACAATCTCTTTTGATACTCATTCGGAAGATTCGGCTTGGTGTATGCTGCCCCAGAAGCTGATAAAGTTTGGCAATCAAAACTGCACTTAAAACATATCTATCTCTTGCTTTGTATTTTTTACTTTCTCGCCTTTTTGTACGTGTGAAGAGTCCTTTAAAAAAATATATAATGTGCTACACAACGGCTATACAGTAGGCTTGCAGATGCACCCTCAAGAAAGATTACCGAGTGTCCTTTTCAGGACTCCTCAATCCTCCCTCTCTCTCAGATGGTGCAACCGCAAGCCTACTGTATATCTACATCACCATGCAAGCCGATACTTACAAGCAGCATCTATACAAGGGCTATTTGATCATTATCATCATCATCATTATTATTATTACTATTTTCATTAATATTATCATTAATATTATTGAATTATAATTACTATCATTATTATTTTTGTTATGTGAGGATATCATAAATTCATAATCTTGTGCTTAGACCGTTTATATTCTGTAAATGTCATAGGGTCCTACAAGATCAATTATGTATCGGTCACTTAATATCCAGATTTTAAACAACTCGTGTCAATTTTTAAATGCTAAAACAAACTCATCCATCACTGCAGTGTATCTTACAGTCACATAAGCTAAGAGATTTATTACATAACTTATAATGAACTTACATGTACATTTACGACCATCAGGTTTCCCGCAACGCGCATACCCTTCACCAACTTCAGAAGAGAAATTCATAATCATAAACTCTTCAACCAAACCAAATTGGATGATATCCAATTATTTGTGGAGTCATTCTTTGACTTATTCAGAATGGGAAGATAAACTAGCAGAATTCTTTGCTCCATGCAAGACTTGTGCTCTCATTATTTGGGAATTCTTTCCACTCGGGTAAACCCTCTGTGACACATGCACATAGAAGCTCACAAAAGTGTGTTTTTAAACATAGGGCCAAAATTGTCCACAATGAATGGAGATAAGGGAGACATGATATCAAAGAAAAACAGAAGAAAACTGTAAGTTTCATCAAACTCAGCCCCATATTAAAATAGATATGCTTTTATAGATAATGTCTTTTGGCACATTTTTGAATGATTGGCAAGACTCCAACATGAAAACGATAGGTAAACACTCTCATCTTCAAAATTATGAAGAATCCTTTGTCTGTCCTAAGGAGGTCTTTGAGTTTGGGAAGGACTTCTTATGGCATTTTTACCCATGGATCCAACTTGATATTTTTAGGGTCTGCGTGCAAGGGCCTGCTGCTAAATTTTGGAATTCGGGGGATCTGCAGTTAGAATTTGGGGGCTCACTTGCACCAGGCACACAGTAGAGTGAAGCATTGCTTTACCGTATCTAATACACACAAGACTAGTACAATAAATATGGACCAATCAGATTCATGGCTTTACTCTAATAGGCCATTTTTGTAAATTGTAACCAAATCTATGCATGTGCCATTGTGAAGCAACTGAATACAAAGTATTCCATTTACCTGATACCCAAATAAATGTATCTCAATAGTCAGAATTGAAATTACATACATTAGGTGTTGCTAGGTAGGACAAACATTATGGCTTGCCCTACCTAACAACATGTAATATATTAAATTTGCATTCTGGCTATTGAAATACAATTATTTGTAACAGGTAAATGAAATAATTTGCATCGAGACACTTAGGTATAAGTTGGGTTACATTACGAAAATGGCCTATTGTAAACATTTTTTTCAGCTTCATACTGATAAGAAATTGCACTGATTGAGCATACTAACGCAGACAAGTCTATCAAATTAAAAACCAGAATCTCCATTATATTTGAATGAATATGGGCTAGGACCACTTTGTATATAAGCGTACTCGATATACATGTATATGTTCAGATAAATTTGATCAAGCTTTTAATATATATGGAAATATTACGTAGTACCAAAATAAATCTTTGATATAAACCATTTCTTAAAATATTACATTTTGAGACAAGTGACAACATAATATTATCCCTCTATTACTTTTATAATCAAATATCACATTCATTTTGATGACTACTCCTTGATAGTAATAGAAGATACTGACAGATATTTCTTCTTCTTTTCTATATCATATCTGCACCAGAAATTCTCGTCTGCTTACATACCGTTGACTGTGCGTGCATCAACCCACGGTGCGTTAATCTTCATTTCAAAAAGCCTGCACTTTTCAGGAAGAAGAAGATGGGCTTATTGATTGTGCTTTGCTTGTTTCTTGTGAATGCCAACTTGAGCTGCTGAGTTTACTTCTGGGAGGCATTTCACAAAACTTGTCATTAGTGACAAATGACAGTTTTTGTTATAAGCTACTGAAATCCTTGCTTCTGATTGGCGATCAGCAGATTTGTCACTGGTTTTCGTCATTTGTCATTGAAAAAGGGGTTTGTGAAACAGGCCCCTGGTTGAGTAGTCCATGTCATGTTTTTCCCAAATCTGTTGGTATATCATCTTCTGACAGGCACTTATGCTGATGCTTGAAGTAATCTCGAACAAGTCCTTTAGCATGCTTCTTCACTGTTAACAAAAGTTTGAGAGAGGCTTTGAACAGTCACTACTTTAGAAATATGAAGATTCATAAGATTTAAAGGGATTGAGTAACTTTGTCTCAGATTATGAAACAAAATTCTGGATTTAGCTCATGCTGCAATGATAATTATAAATCTTTAGGTCAGTCAGGAACCCCATGACTTTTACAAGCTGGTTGCCCGTCTGGTTATCAAAATATTCATGATTGAATTTTTTTTTTAAAGTCTGTTTTCCTAACGGTTTTCATAACACTACAGTCTATTGGTCACTTTAAGATTTTTAATTTTTTGAGGCACTTCATGATCATTTTGAAGTGCAATTTGTTTAGTGCTTCAATATTACACCATATCACAGACACTGATAACACGTAGGGCCATACATCTCAGATTTAACATTGTTAAACGATGCTTTTAATTATATTATACATGAGAAGGGGTCATAACACTCTTTCTGTTTTTTCTCGAGAATCAGCCCTCTTATGGAGTATAATGAAGGATTTACCAACTGGATAATTCCATAAATTCTTCAATTTCTATGCATATTTTTGTCAAAAAATAGCTGTTAAAATCACAGTATCTACCAAACATAGCAACAACTTAGTGCAACCGGCATTAACCCTGATATTTCGTCCCATCTGGGCATTCAAATAAAAATAAAGAAAAGTTATTAAAAATGTCTACCTTTAAGAATAGGTATATACCAATGAAACAATATGTCATAACACCAAATCTATGACTGTGACAGACACTGTGGACCACTTTAAATTAAAGCCCCTCTGCGCTAGTTTGGCCAGGAGGGATGAGTCCTCCATGCATGGTCACTGACAGGCGGTTATCTCATCAAATCGGCTCTCAATTAACATAAGAAAAAGGGGACCATGGGGGACCAATGGTCACCGATTAGCCATTGTTTGCTATATAGAAGGCACAAGTGTCTATAAGTAGTGCAGTGCGGCTTTAAGAAATATTATACAGACACAAGACATTTTCGCAAAAATTTCGTACCTGTGACTTTGGTGACCAACTTGTTGCTTGTTAGCTGATGTGACAGACTTCTTGCTAGGGACTTGAATAGAAGCTGTAGAACAAAACATACAGGAACATTACACTCTTATCTTGTAAGTTGTTGAACAATAGTTAGATTCACAGGACATTGTGTTAACTTAAAGTTTAAGTTGTGGTTTTAAATTTCAAAGTTATCTTGCAGTTGCACTCATGTTTACGAAATTTTGGGTTAACTCAAAGTCACAAATCAAATGAAATGAATCATTGGAGACAATCATAATGATGACTTGTAAGAATCCATTTTCCTTTTAACAATAGTCCCGAATCGTAAATGTACATTTTATTGGTTAATTTAAGAAATAATGGAATCAAATCACTTTCACTCAAACAGCTAAATGTAACTTAAAACCGAGAATTTCCCCTCAACACCAATATACTAATTACTTGACAATTCAAAAATTTAAGTATGTTATTCCCATGCATACTGTATATATATATATATATATATAATTGTTTCAAACTTTTCTATAAATTACTACATAACTTTTCTTGTTATTATTTTTTGTGGTTTTGTTTGATTTTGTTTTTGGTTCCTGTTCATTTGATTGTAATTCTAATTGTTACTGTACAGTATATGTTATTGTAATTGTGACCCTGCCTCTTAATAATAATAATAATAATAGCTCACATTTATAATGCGCCTAATACTACGTTTCTAGGCGCGGAACATATTATTACCCCGGTCATCGGATCCAGGCTTACCCGCACACAAGGTATGCACATTCTCCACTCCCTGGGGAGCATTCCAGCCAGTCGCCATTTTACAAGCGCCACTTGCTAATCAAACCACATTAGCTTTCGCATCCTACCGGGTACCCATTTAACACCTGGGTGGAGAGTGGCAAATGTAGATCAATGTCTTGCCAAAGGACATTGGTGCCGCGGCGGGACTTGAACCGCGGACCTTGTGATCCACAGTCCGGTGACATATCCACTCGACCACGACACCTCTTAGCAGTTGATTGTTCTCTCCTTCTGGCAGAGGACCAGGCAGTCAGACCGCAGCGCGCGCGTTAATGAGGCTGAAAGCTGATTTTTATTCAGCGATATCTGGCGATCACATAACATTTACGTCTGCTGAATTTCCATGCGCTTTTCAGTGAGATTTGTAGGGGTGTACATGTAGCTGCGTTTTGGGTCGTTAACTTCATTCAACATGGCAGCATGCAACGGAAAGTCACTCTCGAGATTTTCAGCATCAGTTTGATATGTAATTTGCCATATTTCGCAATTTGTAAACAATAATTTTTCACAACTTTTATTGACGTTATTTTTGTAACATTTCAACTGCTGTTTTGACCCGGGAATTTCACTTTTGGTTCCTGACTTTGGGACAAAATAAATTTGTCCACTTTGAGATTCGTTCGAAAGATGAAAAGTCACTGATCAAAAATATGTCAAAACCTAATTGACGCAAAATCATGTTCTTTTTATAATCATAGTAATTAAGACCCTAAAAACCCGGAAATTACCAATTTGTTCTTTTTATGATAGCGCGAAATTGTGTGATTTCATACTCGTGCACGCTCGCCGTCTGAGCAATGGCAATGCATAACTGATTATTAAACTCCAGGGAGCTCCGCCGCGCCATCGACTAGCCGAAAAAAAAATTAGAAAAATGATTAAAAAAGAATTATAGTATAAAAGAATCTTCTACATGGCAGGTGAAGTATTTGATCTCGGGTCCTTAGATTGTTGTCAAGACGGCTTACGCGCACGTGTATTACAGGCGCACGCCACAACGCATGGTTACCAAAATGCGGTAATCAGAATGTTAATAAACCAAAGCGAAACATATGTGACGTAGTTGACGTAGTTGACCAATCAGAACTCTCTATTATCACATCGGCAAAATTTACTACTTTTTTTAATTATTCATGAACATGAGCGTGATCTTTTTTGGTTCCTGACTTTGGGACAGCGTAAAATATAATAATTTTGATATCATTGTAAAGAAAAATATTTATGCTTTATGCTGATTATTACATCTTCTTGACGCAAGAATGATTTCTATGTGAAAATCAGCCCTACTCTTTAGATAGATTTATCGTCGAAAAACCTCATTTTCAAGGCGAAATATCTGTTTCCAAAATATATCTAACATGATTGTCATATAAGTATATAGAGAGTGCAACTTCTTATCTTTAAAATAAGACCCATTTCATGAGAAATGAACAATTATAAAGGCAAAAATTGCCGATCGGCAAGACCGTCTGCACTACTCATTACGTATGCAAGACACGTACATTCTTGCATACGTGCTGAATAAAATAGAGGGTTTTCGCACCGGCTGCGGTCTGACTGCAGGGGGATGTTTCACAAAGATCCTAAGTTGAACTTATCTCTAAGTTGGACTCAACAATTATGGAAAGCCACTTGCATCTTTAAAAATATTTTGTAAAAGATATTTTAAACGGCATAAAATGTTGTTTCAAATCATTCATATTTTCTATCATCAAGGAGATTTCATGTGCTGAATGTGGAATTTATGAAAAGTCTAAAATACTTAATTTTTTGCTTTTGAATATAGTTCATTTCAAGGCTACAAATGGCTCTTCATAATGTCTAAGTCCAACTTAGAGTTTAGTTTGACTTAGGATCTTTGTGAAACACCACCCTGGATAATTTCTGTGTAACTTCTTTGATTTTTCTTCCACTGAAATAAAGATCACATATACAATAAGACCCACCTTGGAAGCAAATTTGCCCTCTTTGTAGTGCGGAGTTAGATATTTGACCACGGCATCGGCAACAATTTTGTGAAATCCTTTAGACATCTTTTCCTCCTGACGCTTGTCCTCCAGCGAAGTGCCCGGAGCTCTCTCATTGTCTTCTACCTTTGGGTCAAAGGTCACATGCTTTCTTGGGCTACCAGTGAGGGCGCTGCTGTCATTGTAATTTGATCTTTTGTTGATGAGTGATGACTTGATCTGAATACCACATGAAAACAATGGTAGGGAAAGGAAAGGAAGAAGAAAATAATGTAGCTATCAATCTTTATGAGTCACAAGCAGATATGAAATATATGCTCGATAATGCAATTACTTTGGTTCCGTCTAATCCAAGGTCGAAACTGCTAAAGGTTCTTCGCCCTTCTAGTTGGATATTTTTTCATCAAGTCTGAAGGCTACCATTTCATCGCACAGTAAAAAACATTGTTCATGGTGAGGGAAAACTCTCTGTGGATGGTACATGCAGGCACGGTATGTGATTTCATCTGCGACATTCTCTCATTTTCAATCCTATTATACCTATTTTCCTTTTTTCAGTTAGTTTTATTTCTTTTCTATCCAGATCCTCACTCAAATTTCTCCTTTTTCTTCTCTAAACACATTGATCTTTGATATCACATAAAATAATTGGATCAGACACTGATTGTTATCATTTGAAACCTTCCAGCCATTCATTAAACTTCTCTTGTCAGAACCTGACATTGTGTATCTGAACATGTTCTTCTTTCTACTGGCAATGACCTAAGATTTCCATTGGCCTTATGCCAGTGGCATCTCTAAGCCAGGAGAGGTAATCCATTCATTGTATGCATTATTATTGTTTAATTTACAGCTTGCCTGTATTACATGCTTGTTTTTTCTCAAAGTTGAACACTACTCTTCAGCTCTATAGCCATATAGTGATTCTAAGAAAATATATGTACAAGTTACATTATAAGCCGTCCACATTTTCAAGAACTTACCTCTCTTTCTCTAGACGGTGTGCCCACACCTACTCTACTACTACAGTCAGCTGCATTGCCTGGTGGGCTGTTGTCACTTGTAGCTTGATGTGATCCTTCAAGCCCATTTTGAAGAACCAAGGAAGACTGGTAATTGCCTGGTAACTGTTCTTCATCTTTCACTAATACAGGATTGTCACTCAGAGATGGGAGCATTTCTTCTTTCTCCTCAACATCATGCACATCTCCTTTTGTTGATAACAATGTCTCCTCTTTGAGGTGGTATTCGGACGGAATGTCCCTGTGAGCGCAAGATGCGTCCTGGCTTCTTCCAGGCGAGTCACTGTCTGTAGTGCTTTCTCTATAGCCGATGCTAGTACTAAATCCACTCATTTCACCTAATTGTTCCAATGTCCGTACAGCTTTGGTAGAATCTGATCCGTTACCAGCTAATAAAGACATCTTGTTGTCAAGTACCTGGTCACCTTGGTGCATCTGTTCACTATGTCTTTCAGTTCTATGTTCTACCAAGTTTGTGCTTGCTTCCATCTTTATCTTTTCAACAGACAACCTAGTAGATTCTCTTTCATTGCTTCTCTCTTTCTGATCTATCATTGTCACGATGCCTGCATCGTCTTTTTCTGTTTCTTCATCAGATGCGTTGTACTCCTCGACATCAAACTCCTCCCCCTCCAAGAAGCTGCATCCCAGGTTATCATCGCAGTCTCCATCCTCAAAACCTTCCATGCCCTCCTCCATCCCTTCTTCCTCGGTGGAGGTGCCGTCTCCTCCAACATCACCATTCCACGGGCCTTCCACCCCCTCCTCCACACCATCACTCTTAACCTCCCATCTTCTCCCATCTTCATCGTCCCTGGATGTCATCTCCATTTTCATTGGTCCATCTGAGTGCACGAGAGAAGATGCCTTCACAAATCCTCCACTCGATTTAAATGTGGCAAATATTCCCCCTTTCTTGCTACCACCACTTCCCTTGGTAGACCCTAACTTAAGAGTTGTTTGTTTTGAGTTGTCTCGTCCCTTCAGGGGTTCTTGTGCAGCAAGCAGAGACGAAGCGGTGCAGAACCCAGATAAACTTGGTAATCTTGGACCATTAGATGTACTGCTTGAAGACACCTATAATGTACATGTAGAAAAAGAAAAGTTCTCTTTACCAATGGCTTACTTAAACTGAGTGGCTCCTATGTAAAACCAATGCGGAATATGCGATCAGCCACCAAAAAACCATCTAAAAGTCACATAGTGTGATTATTAGTGCTCCATTAAGGTGCATGTTGTCAGGATGGTCAAATTTGTTATTGTTATAGTATTTCCTAAAACAGTATACTTTCTTCTATGTATTTCAAATTTTGAAGCTCTAAATAATCCATAAGCGGTATTTTGGGCAGTTTTTTTAAAACCTTTGTTTGTCTGAACTTGACTTGGTTGTAATGACTACTACTGGTCCCCTCCATGTTTAACTTAAAAATGACTACAATAGAGTAAGCTGTTAAATTGGTATTTGGTCAAAATAAAGAACAGGATGTAATTAATTGGTTTGCCGAGTTTGGAGACATCTAGTTACTCTTTGGTGGTTTTATGGAGCCCGGTCACATATGAGAAGAGTTAGAACTTTCAGTGTAAACACACACTGATCATATATACCTCAGCACGAAAACCTGTCAAAATTTAAAATTCCATTACCTGAACGACCAACATCTGTTTATAAATTATTTCAAAGTAGGTCTTGCAATGGACTGGGTATTATTATTTTTTAATCCACCCTACTTTACATACATTAAATGATTAGTGTGGAGAAATCAATTAAAAAATACACTCCTCTACAAAAAAAATCAACAATATAGATAATTAAAATATATCTATCTAGATACTTTGGTGGTAAGCGCTTTATGAGCACTGTTTTTATTATTAGGTGGTCTATTGTTTTCATCAGAATTTTCTTTCTTTATTTCTTTATTTTTATTTCTTCCACTTTTTTGTTCCGACGATAACTCAAGATCCGTCCAGTCAATTTCTTTCAATTTTGGCACAGTCATAGGTCATTGCCATAAGACGTGACAGGAACCTTTTCAAGGTCATCAAGTCTTCATGACGTCATCCAGGCGCCATTTTGTGTTTTTTTTGGAAAATTTCAAATGATCATAACTTCATAACTGAAAGTCATTTCTCATTCATATTTACCATGATCAAGGTCAATATCAGTCCAGTCAATTTCAGGTCAAAAAATGCGCGCGTGCGCGTACGTCCGCGCGTCAGTGCGCGCGCAAATTTCAAAATGCTCCAAATCGCCTCAAATTCATTTTGGATACGTTTCAGGCCATTTTAAGCATTTCATAAAAATCACGCAAAACACGCATTTTTGCGCGTTTTCGTTCGTAGCGGCCAAACGAAGAATAATTTTCTAGTACGTCTTTTTGACGAGGGTATTCCTTATCTTTTTCCGAACAATTTGATACCATGTTTAGCTTTCCATGACCATTATTGACGGAATTAGCGTCCGTTTAAAATACATGTCCGTACGCGCGTGATCTTGTAATACATAGCATATATGGGCAAAAACATGCCTATACAAAATCCATTATAGCTCTTTAGGAAGTCCACAAAACCCCCAATTTTTTCTCATATTTGGATAGAATATGAGTTGGAAATATGATTTTAGGTCTCATTTGGCCATTATATATATCGTGACATCATCACCATGGCCTTGGAACTCAAAAAACGAATTTGCATATGATGACGTCATCATATATATGGAAAAATTGATTGTATCTCTGTAAATTTTAAATAATTTACTTCCAAACTTAGATATGTTGTAGCTGAGACAATTCTCTACAAGATCAGTGTCCATTGTTTTTCATTTTGATGACGTCATCATGGTGAAAATTTCAATTAAAGGCGACATGTCAGAATTTTCTTCATTTGCGTGTATTGTCTATGGAAGGTGAATTTCGTTCACATCGTGAATCTACATGGCATTAATCTTTGAGCACTATCTCGCTTATTCGTGCTCTATTTTATCCCAAATTTTGGTATGTTATAGCTGAGACAATGGGCTACAAAACCGGTGTACTTTGTTTTTTGATCAGATGTTGGGATCATGTCGGAATTTTCAATTGAAAGTTGAAATTGCACATTTTCTAGAACTTTGAAGGATTTTCTTGATCATTATTAGGTGGTCTGTCTTAGACTACCTATTGTTTTCGTCAGAATTTTCTTTCTTTATTTCTTTATTTTTATTTCTTCCACTTTTTTGTTCCGACGATAACTCAAGATCCGTCCAGTCAATTTCTTTCAATTTTGGCACAGTCATAGGTCATTGCCATAAGACGTGACAGGAACCTTTTCAAGGTCATCAAGTCTTCATGACGTCATCCAGGCGCCATTTTGTGTTTTTTTTGGAAAATTTCAAATGATCATAACTTCATAACTGAAAGTCATTTCTCATTCATATTTACCATGATCAAGGTCAATATCAGTCCGGTCAATTTCAGGTCAAAAAATGCGCGCGCAAAAAATAAAAATGCTTCAAATCGTCTCAAATTCATTTTGCATACGTTGTAGGCCATTTTAAGCATTTTGCCAAAAAACGCGCACACGCGCATGGGCGGGCGTTTTTGCGTGTCCTGGCATTTGGCAACATGAAATCGCCAATTTTTTTCCGTCATCATATCTGACACATTCTCTCAAGCATTTTGATACATTGTTCACCTTTTTCTGCCCATTAATAACGGAATGAGCGTCCGTTTAAGATAATGTCCGTGCGTGCGAGCTCTTGTAATACATAGCATATATGGGCAAAAACATCCCATTTTAAAAATCGAAATAGCTCTTCAGATAGTCCATTGACCCCCAATTTTTATATCATGGTTGGAAAAAGCATGAGTTGGACATATGATTTCATACCACCCTGACTCGTACAAAGTGAAACAAAGTCTTAATATTGGCATCTAAACTCCAAAAAATGTATTTTGTTGATGACGTCATTTTTGTCATTGTTTAATTGAGATTATCTCACGTATCGGTGATCGATTTTCACCCAGATTTTAATATGTTGTAGCTGAGATAATTTTCTATCAGAAATTTGTCATATATTATCATTTAGATGACGTCATCATAGTATAATATTCGATTAAAGGCGGCAATGCATAATTTGTCATATTTGCGTGTTATGTCTATGGGAGGTCACTTTTTTCAAAACATGAATCTGCATGACAATGTGTTTTGACCAGTGTCTCGGTTGTTATTCAAAACAGTTTTCAACCAAATCTTAATATGTTGTAGCTGAGACTATACGCTATCTAAATATTTCCTCATTTTTTCAATCAGATGTCAGGATCATGCTCATACTCATCATCGTCATCATCATCATCAATATCATCATCATCATCATCATCATCATCATCATCATCAATGTCACCATCATCATCATCACCATCATGGTCTGAAGATGATAATCATCAACATCATCATGATCATGATCATTATCATCATCATCATTAACATTATCGTTTTTATCATCATATAACATTATCATTATCATCATCATCACCTTTACTATCATGACCATCACCATGTTCATCATGATCATCATTGTTTACATGTCTATATAACTTCTCCCATTCTCAAATCTATCATAAGACTTAGACAGACCACCTTATTCGTCTTCGTGACGAATTAAATTTCTAGTTTATTATTATTATTATTTCTATATTCACTTGTTTACTGTTTTAAGTGTGCTTATGATTTATGTTTTGTTTTGTGCTTCAATTGCATTCTGTATGTGCTGTTTCATTACTATGATTGTAAGGGGAATCGCTAGTTTTTGTGCAAATCATTGGCTTTTCAATGCATGTGATTTCCCAAACACAATTTAACTATATATCATATCTCTCTATTTTATGAAATGAATACATAGAATTGAGTTATTACAATTATTAACATAAAGTATTGAAGATGATGGTTTTTTTTATATTACCTTTGGTGGAATCCCTCCTTTCATTGTATCCTCTTCATCTGCAGCGGAAATAAAAAGATCATGAAGCCTGCCCTCTTTTGTCTTCTTATTGATTTCTCCAACCTATCCAAAAGAAAGAAATAATTGTTTTTTCTTCTTCAAATTAGCTTTTGCACCCATTAGCATGTTCAAAGCTAAAAATGAGTTCTGTTAGTTGGTGTGTGTTTAAAAAAAAAACTGCTTCAATTTTGTTCAAACATATACATCAAATTGGTTGTTTGTTTGAAATAGTATTGTGTTCATTTTACCTGTCTTTAATCATTTTATCATTATTCCAGTATGTGAAAAATTGATATACCCCAATTTTTTTTTTTTTTAAAGAATGTGACATATTAAAGCTTACATCTAAAAGTATTCATTAAAGGCCCTAATAAATATAACCAGTCCACCTTTCATTTTTGAGTGACAAAAAAAAATAACATCAAATTTACAAGAGTATGATGAATAATTTAGTTGTTAATATACAGTATATATAACAGTATACACTCATAACAGTCTGAAAGTCTAGGGTTTCAGACAGCAGCGGATAAGGAGTGAAGAGAAGGCGGGACCACAAGATTGACATACAAGTAATTCTGTATTTATGTTACCTGACCAAAGACTTTGGCCTTGTAGAGATTACATGTCTTAGCTGCCTGGATTGCACTGTGCTCTGCTGATATTGCACATCGTTGGGCTTTGTCCTCACTGAAAGGAAAACAAAATATTACAAAACAATCTTAAAGCGGGACTGCACTACTTGTAGCTACTTGTGCCCTCTATATAGCAAACAATGCCTAAGCAGTACCTGTTGGTGCCCCGTGATCCCCTTTTTCTTATGTTAATGAGATAACCACCTGTCAGTGACCACACATGGAGGTCTAATCCCTCCTTGCCAAACTAGTGCAGACAGGCTTTAAGCCCCCCAAAGTGTTGGGAGCCCCCAAAATTTCAATTAAATTGTATCATGATTTGAAAGAAGATCTCATCTAAGACACATTTCTGCAAGAATTTTTAAAACAAATGTGTTTGAAGTTGAATACTAATGAAAGAATACACAAATTTAGGTTTTCTGCATTCAACAGAAAACCCAAATTTGTATTTTTTAAATCAATATTTGTCTTCAAACACATTTTTTGAGGAAAAATCTTTGCAGAAGTGGGTCTTAAATGACATCCTCTTTCACATTATGATACTTTAAGTGAAATTTTGACATCAAATTTTTTCACATTACGATACTTTTAAGTGAAACTTTGCCATCAAATTGTTGGCGCATTTAGGGTTACCTACACTTTAGAGGGGCTTTAACTATCAAAATAAGCAAGTGATTCAGAATAATAAAACAATCTTATCTAAATATGAAATCAATAGGTTATGAATAAATATCTCCCTTTGCAAAAGCACAAAATATTACACTCATGTGGTTGATAATTGAGGCTTGGTGCAGTAGAAATAGAAGTATCTTGGTAGAAATTTGTAAAAGGCACAAGTGTGTAGATCTACAAAGAATTCGCTGAGATCATGGAGCAATAAAAATAAAAATCCTATTTTGGCATTTTTGAGATAAATCAATCCAGATAAACAGAACTTAAATTCTTTCATACACACACATATATCTTCTTCTTTTTAAAGGAATTACACAACTTTTTGTTGATGGTCTTTTTACTTCCAGCATTATTTAGAGGACAATTAAACTTACTTTGAGGTGAGTCCATTTGACTCATCAGAGAAGGCAGCTCTGATGTTTTCTCTCAAAGCCTTGTCGAGTAGCTGCATGCAGTACTCTCTCACCTGAGAAAATGAGAATATAATAATAATAATAACTTCTACTCATATAGCGCTTTTCATAAAAGATTTATATCAAAGCACTTTACAATATTGATGCAAGTAAAACTAAACAGAGAAATGTCAAGAGAACAAAATTGAATTTATCAAACATGAGATAACAAGGTAAGGTAACAATTTAAGGACGAGGTTGAATATGTCTTTTCCATTAGATTGGTTTTAAATTAGATGTTGGAAATGTGATCCCATCTTCCCTCATTTATGCACATTTCTGTAAAAACAAGTTCTGAACGACACAGTCCATTATCATTTTAGCAAAGTTGTGAACTGTCCTCCCAATAACTCACCAGCTTGTCTTACTACCCCCACAACGATTACCCTTCCCCCTCCCACTCCCCCCCCCCCCCTCCCACACCTAAGACGAAATTGGGGTTACATTAAATGTCAATGGGTAAATGTCATTGGATTTAATTGTCCAAGTTGGAAGTTGTCCCAGGGACACTGTGGACAAGGTTACTTGGAAGGAATCCACCTTGAAGGGGGGGGGGGGTGGGGGGTCTATACATGTATCTGTCAAAGGGTAGTCTCTAGGAATAATGTCCGTGGGTCAATTGAATCTATTCAACAGCATAAATGAATGCAGATTTCAACCAAGCTCTTATAACTAAAACAAGCAAGCATAATCAGATAGCACTATCACTGAAGTATCATAATTTAAGGATTTAATTATATGGTTCTTCAAAATATTCAATAGTTATATAATATTGACTGGCCTTGAGGGGTATATCAGAAATATTGACCAAGCTCAGATCATATTGCCCCGAGTCGAAAGACGAGGGCAATATGGTCTTAGCGCGGTCAATATTTCTGATATCCCCCGAAAGTAAAGCCAGTCAATATTTTTATTGTTATCCAAATCAGACATCTAGAGCAAATACAGACATCCACCATGACAATCTCAAGAACTGAACAAACTTTGTCAAACCAACACTGTGCATCCAGTGCTTGACAAAATTTTCGATACACTGCAAACAGTGTGTATTTGGTGTGATTATTACGTCACAATAGAGTGCGCGCAAAGTGCGCAGGTTCTCGTACGCATAATAGATGCGCAATGAAAATGCGACGCGGTCAATACAAGATGCCTGGATGCGAGACCGTGGAAAATACCAAGGTATATTTTCACTCGTCTCTACACGCAAAGTCAATACGCGCAGGGAGACCAAGGAAAATACAAAGAATATACCCCTCCGTTCCCACTGCTAGTGAAAACTAGGGCAATACGGTTTTGTAAATGACCAGCTCAGATGTCTGATACGGGTAATAATGTACAATATACAAAAAAGGGGGATTTGAAGATGGCTCCTGATCAAGAATAAAGATATCCTAATAATTAGAAAAATGATTCTCATCTTAGTTTGACCAGATAGAACTGACATGAAATGAGGAATATATAATTTCTTTTACCTGAATGGTTAGCCCTGGAACTGTGTTGCTTTTAGGATTTTTCAATTTACAATTAGGATCTAAATCAAAAGGAAACAAAAAGAAAATTAAAAATCACCAACACTTAATCATAATGCACATGATTTAAACGTTTCATTGAAATAATATTGTTGTCATCAGCTCAATATGAACAGTGCTGAAAATGGATTTACCTCATTACTTCATAAACAGCACACACTCAATGCAAAAATCTATGAAAAGCCCTCTACAGGACTATTTGAACAAGGTGAAACTGATTAGACAATACCCCAAAAGTACTGAAACGTTTTACTGGTAACTGAATCTTTGAGGATAGCATGATGGTTCTACAACCTTATAGCATACTATAGCTACTATCATAATATACTGTACTACGCTATGCTGTTTGAAATACTAGGTCTTACATAAACATGGATAACTTTCTTATTTGTTCTTTAATCTCTGTATAAGTCACATTAGGTCTGGTGGGTGAGTCAATATTCCTTTCATCCTCAATGCTGAAATAATTTAATTAGTACTTTTATTAAAGATTGGCACAATAGGTGCTCATTGCATTATTTGAAAAAACACCATGTTTACTACAACCTGAAAATGATTGCCCCAAAACTTGTTCTGCTAAACTTGATGCAGTGATCATCACAAGATGTTAGATATGAATGAGCAAGTTCAAGATAAATGGTTCATTTCATGTCCAATACATAAAAGGGTTCATAGATGTTATTGAAAATGTTATTTCATTGTAAAGAGTAAATCGATATGGACTGAATCATGTGCTTTGTGTTATACTTTTATTAAAGATTGGCACAATAGGTGCTCATTGCATTATTTGAAAAAACACCATGTTTACTACAACCTGAAAATGATTGCCCCAAAACTTGTTCTGCTAAACTTGATGCAGTGATCATCATAAGATGTTAGATATGAATGAGCAAGTTCAAGATAAATGGTTCATTTCATGTCCAATACATAAAAGGGTTCATAGATGTTATTGAAAATGTTATTTCATTGTAAAGAGTAAATCGATATGGACTGAATCATGTGCTTTGTGTTATACTCACCTATTTCCTCTGTCTGTCGTCTATCTGCTTTCATTTTCTTCTGAAAGAGATATAAATTGCAGCATTGAGTTATGGCATAGACAGAAATACACAACAGCCTTTACTTGGACTCTTTGGATATTTAAAATTGCATTCATTGTTAAACAAAGACAGAAAGAAATAATTGGGGCATATAAATATGTAGATTTTGATACACATGCGAATATGTGAGATCATATTCATCAAGTTTATTCCAATTTCCACTAGAACTAGCACAGACCATTCAATAACCTTTGACCTTTTCAGTACAGGACTCTAAAGTACAAGACGATAAAAAAAAGTTCATCCATCTATGAATGTACAGTAAATGTACAATTAAAAGATATTACAGATACCAACAATAGCTAGATTCCTCCGAACCAAAGTAGAATATTGATTCTCACATATTAACAACAACAACAAAACTAATTTGTAATACTGACTAAATACTGCTGTTAACTGATTAATTAGTAGTACAAGATAGTTGCAAATTATATAGCACCTTTTCCGCTGGATACAAAGCACTTTGGGATGCTATTCATGAGTCAGTGCTAGAGTTAGAATATAAACAAGTTACCAAGCAGTAACAGTATGAGTCCAACAAATACATGTGGTTTCATAATAGATATATGTCTCCAAACTCTGAATTTTTCTACTGTTGATGATGATTTTAAATGCGGAGGGGGCCTGTTTCAGAGTTTGGGAGCAGTAGAGGAGAAATTAATTACCCTTTTTCTCCTCCTGAATTCTGCTTGTACGACGTCTCTCAGGCCAGAGCTGTTATCATCATCGTCATCATCATCGGTGTTGAAGTCGTCATCGTCTGACCAGTCTCCTGGCTTTCTCTTCTTACCGACATATGTACTGTCAAATAGAACATAGCAAATAAGAATACTTAATTCCTTATAACAAATAAACAACAGTTTAAGATCCAAATTCACATATAGGCCACATGCAACAATGCAGGTTTTAAGGGGAAAAGAAACTTACATGTGAAGTTTGTTTATGTTAAAAAATGCACACATATTATGAACAAGGGATTGTTCATTACGACGATACACATTACATTTTTAAACTAACATTTTTACCACTTCTATTCTTGTATCATGTTTACTGGTATCTTATTCATTTAAAGTTTTAAAACTTTCATTTGAAGTACATTGTATCATTGCCACCATACCATATTCCAACTAGCAATACTGCTATCTTGTGGTATTCTGCCTCCATAGAAATTATGCATTTTCAATGTGAACTGTATCATGATCTAATATTGGTGGTGCAATTCTGTCATTTGTTCATTCAAACGGACAAATCTGTGCCATATACACTATACACTTCATTACTATAATACATTGAGGGAGTTGGTTTTATAAGATGACGTGGATCCTAGTCAAATGATTGGTTGAAAGCATACACGTGACCAGGCATTTATTTTGCCTAACGCGTAATTTGGATAATGACCGGTCATTATCCAATTCTAATGACCGGTCATTAGTAAAATGATGTTATAAAACAAAATCTTTAAAAAAAATAATACACATCATTTTGTTCGGGCATTAGTAAAATATCCCACACTCGGTACCTTCAAAACAGTCCAAACACTAGTGTTAGACTGTTCCAAAGGTACCTTGTGTGGCTAAATCTTACTAATGCCCTTACTGCTATGTATTATTTGTATATTACTCTACGTCTTTCCCATATGGTTTGTCTAATCATATTCATTACTATCCTTTCTTTAACTTTTTATTTTCATTGATATAATATCGATCTAATATACATTACTTACACATCTCTGCCATATCTCCCTCCACCATACAGATCATCATCATGAACATTAAGGGGGTTCTTCTCAATATACGTCCGTCCCATATGGTTTTTCTTCGCTGGTCCACCCATAATCCCACGTTGCATCTCGTCGATACGCTTCTTCACTACCTCCGGAGTCTTGCAGACATCACACATGCTGCCACACGAGGGCAGCTTGTCATCAAAGTACTTAGCGATGGATTCATGCCTGCATCTAGTAGGGCGAAAACAGGAAAAAATAATGCTTACAAGCACATGAGGGGCACAGAACAATAGCGACAATGGATAACAAGCTCTTCCCGGTTAAAATCAATAACTACAAATTTACTGTAAACAAATTGTGCACTGGTTTAAATGGTTTATTTCTTTAATTCAACATATTTGCAACAATATAAAAAAAAAGAATGCCTTTGAATTTCACCTCTGGCTCTGCTTAATGGAAGATTTAATTCAACTGTTTAATATTTTACAAAGAAGAGACATATCAATACAACTCAATTTATAGATGTGTTGATTGACACATCTTACAAATTCAAAACAGCACCTCTTTCATGCCAAAAAATGTTTCATGTATTTGCTTGAATTGTAAACAATTTGGATGATATGCCTAAAGATACGCCTGGCATGCATTTATTATAAAGCATTTTACTCCATGGATATATAGAAAATAACTAAATTACAGAGTGACATTATTCTACATTGCTTTCAGAAAGATTGGTACTGGAATGTAATACATCGCATCTATTTACACCACAGTTCATAACATGATGTCCCTTGGTGTTAGCCTATATAGACTTCAGTGAAATCATGACAGTTGGATTTGAAGTTACAAATGCAAACGGTTTAATCCAATCACAGAAAGTGTTGCGTGTGGACATGGGGCAAATCTCCATGCAATGCATGAACGCTTCACAAAAGTAGAGAAGCCATGATCACTATGAGACCTTTGATGTATGGAGGATCAATCTTCACTCCATAGAGAATGATTATTCAAAGGTGTATGCTTTACATTTGAACTTTCAATTTAATGATGCATACAAGAAAACATTACATTTTTAATACAAGGACTATTGGACATTGTGTTCCCTTCTCATATTGGTAAATTTGACTGTGACTACCGGTATGATGCCTTTTAGGACGATTGTCCATATTATATATGAACAAATATCATTATATCTAATTTTCTTTTTAAAATACTGAGGTATATTTGGGGCAACTACATTCCTGTACATACATGCCCTTGCAAATTGTAATACAGAAGAAAACATGTCTTTTCCGTCTTAAAATTTAGATAATTCATATTAAAATAGAGGTGAGGTGCACTACTCAAACTTATGCAGCTGCATGTACATGTTAGATTGATGATACAAAGCATACAAATATATTCATTTTACAACCTTCAAATATTCCCATTCTGATATTGGTTTAAAGTCTTGTATTTGTCCAATATTCTCAAACTTCGATGAATTAATCACAAATGAATATGACATACCCGTAAGAATTAATTACATCTTGGAATTTAAATAAAAGAGTTAAACTTACTTTGCCTCTTCACAAAACTTAACCAGTGCTTCAAAGCTTTGCATTGAAGCCTTGCTAGGTTTTCCAGGCGATGATGAAAACTTTCTCTTTCTCTGAAACAAAAAAAAGGTAAATGTTTTAAAGGTACTAGATCTACTTACATGTATTAGTGTTGTCAAATCTCTTCAACTTTACTCATGCCTTTTATAAAAGTACAATAGTAACCTTTCAAACATAAATAAATCTCACTTTATGTAATCCATGCCAGGGTTCTGCATTATAAAATGTACATCATTTTAAAAAGGCCTCTGCCGCAAACAAAGGATTCCGCATGAAGTGCTGCTTCGCGACATCATTTTCTCAAAATGGATCCTGACGGACGCTCTTCAAAGATGGCGACCGGCTTTCAAGGCAAGGAACACACCATTCACTGGCAGGGAGATACAATTTTGAGGGGGGGGGGGGGACAAGACCTTTGCTAAATGTCTGTGATTTACATCAAATAAATGGAAATTAAATCTTTATGAACCCTTTTTCATTGAACTTCTGCTATCTCAAAGTTTGATAATGTGTATTTTTAATTCAGATATATATCTTATTTTCATGTATTGCTAGTCATGTATGAACGGACATACCCTTTGGGGTAGTGGAATAATCCACACTCGTAGACACTGGGCTTTTGCCTTTGGGTTTGTCTATTAGGCAAAAGAGGTGTTGAGAAATGGTAAGTCATTTATTCAAATGTGTAATCATTTCTCTCTGTATTAAAACAAAAATCATATTTCTTATTTGCACAAAAATTGCAGTACTAAAAATCTGCAAGTCTTTCATTCTATATTTGAGTTTGAAATTCCTGTCTCAAAATGAAATGTATTATAGCACGAGACTACCGTAAATCTCCCTGTATAAGGCACACTTTTTGCCGCCAAAAAAATTTGAAAGTCGGGGTGCTATGCCTGGCAATGTCACCCAGCTCAGTAATCAGTGTGTTGACTCACCACTCGGAAACTACAACAACACTCAAATTTGTCCGTCATCTTGGTTTGAAAGTAATCTTTCTAATAGATCTCAATGTAGTTTATAATAATAATTCCTCAAATATTTTTTTCTATAACAAATGGTGTACCACAAGGTGCACCACTGGTACCATATGTACTCTTTTGTTTTTAATTTACATTAATGATCTTACACATTCTTCTAAAAACGACATTGTTACTATTATTTGTGACAAGTTCACAAGCACAAATCAGCGCCTTCAACTGCACCTCGATGTAAAATGAAGGTCCTTCCCCGCGTGGGTTTTCGGCAACAAAACAACAAACGATTTTTTTTTTTTTTTCCTTCCCCAAAATAGGGGTGCGCCTTATACACAGGTGCGCCTTATACACAGAGATTTACGGTACACTTATCGATAGCTGGGCGAAGGGTGGGTAACTCTGGACAGCTGGCTAGGTGTTTTGTATTGTGCATTGTGTACTGTGTACATGTATGTGCGCTGTATACACCTGTTTATTCGCATATATCTCAGCAGGCAAACCTATGCACTCAACAGTTATACACACTGGAAGGTCATGCGCTGTTCATCAACATGAAATGACAACTTGTATGCCCATTTGCACATCCAAAACACCATTTTGAAAAATCATTGATTTTCTTGACTGCTACTTACACTACTGGAAAAACACAGAAAAAACGTTGATGTTTTCTCAAACCTTTTTTTGGTGAGTACCGGTAGTGTGTATTGTTCATCCAGACGTTACAGAAATAAATATCATATTTAGATAAGCTTATAATTACAGGCAATTAATGAAATGTAAAATTGTTACATAGAGAGTTAAAAGGGGATGAGAGAATGGGGTATCTTGTCTTCATTTGGCATGATTACTGGAATTAATTTCCCTTTTATTTTCAGCTTGTATTTCTTTAGTGAATGTATAAGGAAATTATATCAATGCGATCTTTGTTCACTGACAGAATCTTTGATTTCATAGGACCGTTCAATTAGTACTTTGTTTACAATGTACAGTTAGTAGATGTATTAATGTTCTACAGCACCGTTTCGGAATGAGTGAATTTACTCTCGCTATGAATTATTAACGTTTACCTTTTTGCTGTTCGCACAAGCCATCTCCCGTGTGATGAGGAAAGCTACCTGATTTCTCTCCTGTCTGGAGTAGTAGAGACGACATCGAGATGGAATGCCATCTCTTCCTGCGCGACCGGATTCCTGGTAGTAACCAGCCATAGACTTGGGAATGTTGTAGTGTGCCACAAATCTGCAAGAAAAGACGTTTGTTGACAGATTCAAGAAAGTCATACCTAATTTAGTAGCAAGCACCTGTTCAGAATATTTACCTGTAGAGAAAGACCATATTTATATTAATAGGTTTTTTTTAATTTTTTACTAGGAACCCTTATTGGAAATTTTATGGAACCTGAATATGTACAGGACACCTGCATATAAAAGAGGACTTCACAATCAGGCTTTATATTCTCCTGGAAATGTTGTAGAATTAACCTGTACTTTTGTATACCATACAGTCTTAATGTTGGGTTCTGATAAATGAAAATGACATTTTGTATGGCTTTTTCACAGATGCAGGGGTAAAGTGTGATGGTTTACTGTGCAAGGGTGTTTATCAAATGTACTGCCCTTTACATTTGTGTATTTTTCCAACACACAAACAAGTGAGTATATGTAAGACCCCTTTATTTGATGCAGCTCCTTTTTGTCATTCCTACTTGCCCTTCATTCATTACAAGAAATTCTGCTGCTGTATGGCATGTATGAATGAGCCTCTACAGATCTCAACAAGGTCTGCACTGAATATTCAAGACTATTTATGTAAATGAAGACTGCTAAACAAAATCTGAGGAGGTGAAATAGCAGTCGCTGTATAGGCAAGATAACGGACATACCTGACTGTAGCCTTGTCTACACCCATTCCAAAGCTGATGGTAGCTACGATGACTTTGACCTCGCCATTCATCCATTGCTCCTGGACCGACGTCCGATCAGCAGCCTTCATTCCCCCATGGTATGCTCTAGCTGTCAGTCCCTGCCGGCTCAGTCCCCCTGCAACAGTCACACAGGCATCCCTGGTTCTGCAGTAGACGATTCCACAGCCTGATGCATTCTGAAGGGTGAATAGAATATGTTTCAAATTCATTTAGATTGATAGCACATGTCCAGTCAAACCTTGTATGTTGAACAGCTCAACAGAGAAGCAGCTTGTCTCAAGAATTGCCAATATTAACTGTGTTCCCTGGGTGGCCTTTATATAATTATGCAGATATGTTTAACTATGTAGGCCTTTGTTCAGCAATGTACTGATATAACATGTACATCAAGGTAAGGTTATTTCAATTTTTGTACGCAGCCACATAATATAAGTCAAGTATAAAGGCAGTTAGACATTCTGTTTCCTTCGCTTATCAGCTATTTTCTTCTAAACTGCTTAAAGGCAATTTGCAAATCGGGTATACAAATATCTTATTATTATTATTATAGAGTGGTGAAGTGTGACGTCATCAAAAATCTATTTTTAGAATTTCTCATTTTTTTCTTCATTTTCCGAAAGAACATCAAAAACAATGTCCAAATGTCGAAAACCAATTGAATATGTTAAATATTGGCTGAGATATGACCATCTGAATAAAGATACTCCCCATAGGAACTCAGTGTTATATGCTCTGGCTCCTAACCATTAGGAGCCAGAGCATATAACACTGAATTCCTATGGGGAGTATCTTTATTCAGATGGTCATATCTCAGCCAATATTTAACATATTCAATTGGTTTTCGACATTTGGACATTGTTTTTTATGTTCTTTCGGAAAATGAAGAAAAAAATGAGAAATTCTAAAAATAGATTTTTATGACGTCACAGCTTCGGTACTCTATTATTATTATTAATAAGTCACTACATAACATTGTCTGAGATACCTATTTTCTTTATTCGATGTTGAAGTTTCAAATAAGCACTTTCTGCATCATTAAGCCTTTAGAATTCTTATGGTGCTGATTAATCATGGCACCATTCTGTCACTTTTCCCCTTCCAAATCTGATTCACTTACCCCGAGAGCCTCATCTTTCTGGAGCAGCTTCAGCCCAAAGTCTTTGAGATGCCCCAATGGATCCTCCAGGACATCCTTGTAAACCACATCATAGAAGAGATTCTCTCTGAAGCATCCTGCCCTGAACTCTGTCACAGGGGCTCTCATATGCAGCTGCTGGATGATATCCTTCCGGACATTGTCTGTGGCTGTTGCGGTGAGGGCAACGCAAGCGATGCTGGGATACTCCTTGTGGAGAGCCCCTAGCTTGAGGTAACAGGGTCGGAAGTCGTGACCCCACTGTGACACGCAGTGGGCTTCATCCACCACGATGCCATTGAAGAGCCCTCTGTTGTCGAGGTTCTTGAGGATTGTCATGAAGGTGGAGGTTGCTGCTGTTTCTGGAGTGATGTAGAGCATCTTGATCTTGGGTTTCTTGCTGTATAGGTCAGACATAACCATCTATAGGAGACAATTATAGTGACAATACATTGTGAGGTTACAGATAAAGGTGAGTTCTGGTAAAAAAAAAAATTAAAAAAAAAAAAATTCTCACAGAATCAAACAAAACTTGCACTGAATATTCAAGATTACAAATAAATGTCATTTGCCAAACAATTTTGGTAGAAAATGTACACTGTATACTGGCTGAGTAATGAGCATAGAAAGATTAGAAATCAAGGTTAGTAGCCCTGACACCATTTGTGTAGTCCCATATACATCTTTCTGTGTACAGTGCTTGTTACTTTACCAAGACTGGGCCAAATTTATACCTTTCTCTTAGCAGCAGGGATTTTAGAGTTGAGACTCTCTGCTCGGATGCCGAGTTCATCTAAGTGTGTGAGCTGGTCTTCTATGAGGGCAATGAGCGGTGAGATGACAAGAGTAACACCCTTCTTGCAGGTTGCAGGGAGTTGGTAGCAGAGGGACTTTCCAGCTCCTGTTGGCATCAATATGAAGACATCTTTCTTTGCTGAAAAGAGGAAAAGCACAGCATTGGTCACCATCATTAAACTTCTACATCTACTTCTATGGTAATACACATCAACACCCGTTCAGCATCTAGATGAAGGTAAAGCATAGAGTTGTTACATACAGCTCTATGCGGTACAGTTCCTGAAAAGGGAACTAAATTGTTTCAAGAGCCACCTTGAACTGCTCCAAAGAAGGCAGTTCAACGATGATCTGAGGTAGCTCGTCCCAGTCCCTAAGTGTCCTGGGGAAATAACTAAATTTGTAAGTGTCCATTGAAGAGCCTAGTCTCATATATCGTTGTAGTTCACTCCCTCGGTTTGATGTAATCCGGTATTGGTATCGCAATTTGGTTATTTGCTATCTTGTAGAATATTGACAACCGTGCCTGTTTTCTTCTTTCTTCAAGAGTAAATAGCCATAAATCATCATGGGGAACCAAGAGTCAAGCAACGTGTATTCAGATTATGAAAAGTCTTACAAACCCCTATATTTTGTTGTTTCTGTTTACAATATTCTGAGGGAAATGAAACGTTATTATTAGAGAAATGTCAGTAGTGGATACTAAATCCTGTGGCAAGTGTATTGAATTAATAGGTCCTAAAACTAAATATGCACCTTCATCTCTCTCTATCTCCCTTCTCTCTTGATACGTGATACTTTAAGGAGTTATCCCTTTTATCATCTCACATCGGGAAGCTATACTGGAATGGTAGGCAAGGCGAGTAGCTACAAAGTACAAGGAGCACCATGAAGTGCAGTAATGATGTGTAGACAAAGCACTTATCAATTTACAGTAAATGCTTGGCGTTATATCCTGACTGATGGATCCTGTTAAGTACCGGCGTAGTAGTACCTTGTACCTTGTACCTTGTGTTCGTCTCTTCCGAAAGGTCCGCTAGGAACTAAAACTGGAAGTATAACTTGGCGTGACGAGAGTATAGATTTGTGAATTTCAGGGGTTATGCTATTTGATTTAGTTTTGGGGTTGCAGATTTGAAGACTGTGCTGGATTTGATGTCAACGTTTAGTAGAAGTCAATGGTTGCATCAGGAATTATATTACTTCTCTCACAATCTACTGGTACTCTCTATTTTGTTTAAGTCAAAATCTGGATAGATAATCCGATGCCAAAGATATTTGGTAACAACAAATGTAATAAAGCCATGATTGTGGATTCTTTTACTTAGACCTAGATCTATTTATTTACTGATTTGTTCCCGCCTGATTACTGAATTTCAATGATAATATTAATAGACCCTACTATTAAAATTTAAAAGCATACACTGTACCCTAACTTAGATGCAATGAGTGTAGACTAGTGTTTACTTACTTACTTACTCACTTTCTATTCTTTACTTCATTAATTGAGGAGAGTTTAAGATAATATTTTTACTAGGGCCTATACCTATGGTGGTGTGACCAAAGTTCGCGCGTGACGTGACCTAAGTTCGCTATTTCAAAAAATCAGTAAGATTTCGAAAATCTGATATCACCAATGGAAAGAGGAACATAAAACTACTCGAACATGAAATTTTCTTTGGAATTGGGTACGAAATTGTGAAGATATAGACAAAAGATCGGCAAATTTTGCCATCTTTTGCGTCCGTTCCGAAAAATTATCAATTTACCGATAAAGGGTCAGAAATCTTCAATTTAAGAGCACATTTCCTCAAAATTGTAAGTAAAAAGTGGTACCAACTGATTGTGTGATATATTGCCTTGCAAATTATGATATTACCTTATTTTTGATGGATCACATTTTTTGGTAAATCAACTGTAAATCTAAATCCCCGTGCGTGAAGTTAGGTCTCTTTCTTTTTATGACTTTTTTAGATGCAGCGCGCACGCACGATCGAACATCGAATTTTTAGATCGCGATATCTCCGAAATCCTTCGACGATAAATTTTGTAGTTCCATCAATCTGTAGTAAAAAACTTTGCCGTCCATTTGGTAATAATTTAAATAAATAAATTTGTGTAGAATATGAGACATCATAGATCGAATATCACATTTTGTAAGCTGTTCTAAAATGTCCGCGAATTTTGGTCACCCCTTCATACATTATATTTTACATTTGCCACTGTCACCGTCACTGTGCTTTTGAGTGACTTCATGACTTGTCATGTTTGTGGACTAGGCATTGATTACCTTTAAACACTTCCTCTGTTCCCTTTTTCTGCAGTTCTGATTTAAAGGAAGCATATCCAAACACATCCTCCAGTTTGTCTTGAAGTGAAGAGAAAGAACTGGTCAATTTCGGATCAACTCTGCCCGTGTGTTTTGGTTTCTTTTTCTTAGATGAACATGATGAGATGCTCGATTCTGCATCTAAACTTGAAGTCGTCAGAAAATCTGTAATTTTAGCTCCTTGTGCTACCGTGCTCTTCTTTGAAACCTTCGGCATCTTGAAATGCTTATGTATGAATAAAGTTCAGCATTTTTTCATCAAGAATGATGAACACTATGCCTCGTTCCTTCAGAATTACTGGATCGTGTCTCACTTTGAACTCCGTCAGCTCAAATAGCGCAGCGTAAACACCGCAGATCGACGCCTGCCAATGCGGGGAATCGAGTTGTGCAGTACCGATGGTGAAAGTGCAGCAGCGCGCTAGCTGTTTTCAGCTGATTTCGCTCGACATGCACATACATGAAAGGTTAGAAATACGGACGTGGATATAGATATGTAGTCTTTTGTAAGGAAATTTTAGGGGAGAATACCAGACAAAATCAATGCTTGGTTTTGTATCTCGAAGTCATCTACGAATAAATCCCTCATGTCTATAGCTTTTACATAAAGTTTGAACATTAACTTGATAAAACTATAAAATAGTAACGTTTATCGTTTCCTAAAACAATATCACGGTAAATGAGGGACAATAAAATTAGAACAAAGACAACGTACAATTTGACTGAAGCCTAGCATAATGATTGACCCCCTCCCCACCCCTTCGAGATGCGTTATCTTTTTTCTGCGGCACAGATTGGGGTTAGGTGCGTGTTGAGCCTAAAAGTTTAGGGTTGGGGTTAGGGTTAGGGTTAGGGTTAAATCAAGACCCCTTAAAAAAAAATTTAAAAACCCAATCTGTGCCGCAGAAAAAAATGACGTCTCCAAGAGGATGGGTCAGGGTTAGGGCGTAGGCCTATGTGGTGGGGAGGAAAATACATTTGTTATAAATCACTCGTCTTGCAGTTTGTAGGTCTTTTTAACCGCTAATTAATTAAGAAAACATGTTTTTTGTTTTAAGTAAGCAATATGGGACAGAACCAGGCGCGTATGCAGGGGGGGGGGGTGTTTGGGGGGTTAACCCCCCCCTTTGGTATTTTTACGTGTGTAAACCCCCCTAAAAAATCCCTAAACCCCCCCCCCCCCCCCCAACGGAGCAAAATGTCAAATTTTCAAATTTCGAGACCAAAAAAAAAAAAAAAGTGTCCTCTTACCCCCCCCCCCCCCCCCCCCCCCGCTTATTCAGCCCCCCCCCCCCCACTGAGCGACTTTTCGGCTGGCTGAGTCGTTGCGATTTTTTTTGGCCTCCAAAAAAAAAAAAAAAGTGTCCGCTTACCCCCCCCCCCCCCCCCCCCCCCCCCCCCCCCCCCCCCCCCCCCCCACTGAGCGACTTTTTGGCCGGCGCGATTTTCAAATTTTCCTGAGTCGTTGCGATATTTTGAAAAAATCCTGCGTACGCCACTGGACAGAACTAATTATAATCATCACGCTTCTATTCTCTCAAATTTATTCTGCCGGTAACAATTATGCCGGTATCTGCCATATAGCGTCATGATCATGAACCGGAGATTTAAAAACTGAATTATTGTTCCTGAATAGACGTGTTTTTACGGTGTATGGCCAGGGGGGGGGGGGGAGGGAGGACTTGTAAAAACACGGTTAGTGAGCACAATTTTTTTTTTTTTTTTTTTGCCCATCTCCCCAAAAAGGTAAAATTAACGTGTTTTTACACGTTTTTTTCTCCCAAAGGGCACCTCTACCCTGGATCCGCCACTGTTCAAGCCCCCCGGTCTAGAACCACCCGAGCCTTGCGGGTGTTCAGTTAGGCAGCCTCTGAAGCAGAGAGCAAGATAATGGTGGAGGAGTAGCTGCATGTAGCTCTACCTGTACCGTTGCTTATCATCTTAGCTCTAGACACACACACAAAATATTTCAAACAAAAATAATTAAAACAGGGGCGGGGGCTAGTGGCGAAAGGAGGTGTATACCAGGCGCGGATCCAGGGGGGCCGAGCGTGCCTTGCCCCCCCCCCCCCCCCCGCCCCCAAAAAAGAGAGAGAGAGAGAGAGATAGAGAAGGAAAAGGAGAGAAAGGGAAAGAGGAGAGAAAGGGAAAGAAAGAAGATAAAGAAGAAAGGAAAAAGGGGGAAAAGAAGGAGATATAAAAAAAAAATTATATATGAGGGGGCCGAAAGGGCCTTGCCTCCCAGCTGTAGCTCTACCTGCACCGTTGCTCATCATCTTAGCTCTATAGACACACACACAAAATATTGGCAAACAAAAATAATTAAAACAGGGGGGGGGGGGCTACTGGCGAAAGGAGGTGTATACGAGGCGCGGATCCAGGGGGCCGAGTGGGCCTTGCCCCCCCCCCCATCGCCCAAAAAGAGAGAGAGAGAGAGAGAGAGAGAGAGAGAGAGAGAGAGAGAGAGAGGGAAGGAAAAGAAGAGAAAGGGAAAGAGGAGAGAAAGGGAAAGAAAGAAGAGGAATAAGAAAGGAAAAGGGGGGAAAAGAAGGAGATATGACGGGGCCGAAAGGGCCTTGCCTCCCAGCTGTTTCCTCCCCCCCCCCCCCCCAGTCAAAAAATAAGAGAGAAGGGAGGAAAGGGAAAGAAAAAGGGAAAAGAGGAGATAAAGGGAAGGGAAAAAAAGAGGAAAAAGAAAAGAAGGGAGATATCAGTTGCAATTTTCCGCCAACAATTTGTAGTTCGTGGGGAGGGCAAAAGGCCCTTGCCTCGCCACCCCCCCCCCCCCGAAAAAAAAGGGGGGGAGGAAAGGAAAGGGACATAGGAGAGCTAAAAGGGAACACAAAAGAGGAAGAAGAATTTGTTATTGCCACCCCCAGCAAACCTAAAAAAAGAGAGAAGAGAGGGAAGGAAAAGGAAAAGAGGAGAGAAAGGGAAAGGGAAAGAAAAAAAGAGAAAGAAGAAAGGTAGGGGAAATCAGATGCGATTTTTCTCGCCAACAAGGTGTAGATCGGGGGGGCACTGGCGTACTGATGGGAGGGGGGAGGGGGCGGGGTAACAGATGCTCCCAAATATAATTCAAACTTGGTTTATTTCTAATTCGATACCGGTGATTTACAAATGTTGCTGGAATGACATAATTTTCCGAGATTTTTCTCAATCTTTCGTAAATTATACTTTTTGTATGCGTTTGTTGGAAAATGGCAAATTCCTAACGAAAAAATAGTGACCTGCCAGTCTCACAAATAAGGTATCAAAATATGCTCATCTGACCTATGGAACCGACCAAGGGCCCTAAGGCTGACCCTTGTATGCTAATCTGACGGTAAATTAATGCTTAAAACCCTTGATCTTCTGGGGTCTCTGCCCCCTGGACCTCACGCCAATTAATGTCTTGCCAGTATCAAAATATGTTAATCTGACCGTAATTAAATGCCTAAAACCCCTGAGCTTCCGGGGCTCCGCCCCCTCGTCCCCACGCCAATTCGTGACCTGCCAGTGTCACAAATGGGGTATTAAAATATGCTCATGTGACCGTAATTTATTACCCAAATACCCTGAGCTTCCGGGGGCTCCGCCCCTGGACCCCACGCCAATTCGTGACGTGCCAGTGTCACGAAGAAGGTATCAAAATATGCTCATCTGACGGTAATTTAATGTATAAAACCCCTGAGCTTCTGGGGGATCCACCCCTTGACCCCCCGCCGAGGCTTCGCCCCTAGACTCACGCCAATTTACGCTACGCTCTCCCTGATCGTGAATACCACCCCCGCCCCCCCCCCCCCCCCTACTTAGAGAACCGTTTAGCGGGGCCTGCATTTAAGAGTGGGGTGATGCGTTTTTTTTTGTCTACCCACCCCCCACCCCCCAACCAAAAAAAAAAAAAAAACGTTTTTGCTCATTTCGCCACTGCCGGTGTTACCATTACGTACCAATTTTTGGCTTTCAATTTCGCCCCCCCCCCCTAAGAAATCCTGGATCCGCGCCTAGTGTATACATAAAGCTGCGCCTCTGACATTATCACAGTTAATTTCGCACTGTATACACAATCATAATAAGTATATAGCGGAGGCAAAAGTGGTTCCGCCTATGAAACAAATATCCTGAATTATCAGTTCCAGCTTGTATCTTTTCCTCTTGTTATTCTAACACGATCGCAACTGCTAAGTTCGGAAAACCTAAGGGCCTTATAGATTTCCGAAATTATAATTTTGCTAAGGCAATTTCAAATAGCCTTGTGCGCCACCTTTTTAAGTGTGCCAACATTACAATGAAGGGTTACTTAATCCGAAACGTGATTTGTTGAAATTGCCCTTGATTTTAATATACTATGGACTTGCTCTTCACTTTCGAAAATTGAGGATAGACTTTAACTGATGTTCAGATGATGTATAAACAAATGAAAGACTGGTTCTTATAGAGCATTTAATTGTGTTTGTTAACATATTTATTTCTCCTCTTTCGAGCTCACTCTGATCGTTCTCATTTACTGCTTATTTTACGATATGTATTTTCCCCTATTGTTTCAATGATATTCTAAACAATTTTCTTGGCTCATTTTCATATATATAAATTTGAAATTTCACAATGACTTAGACTTTGATGTTTCTACAACATAAAATGGAATTTATCTCAATCGCATTCTCGGCCTGATGACACCTTTATAAAAAGGAGTATACCTCATGTAATGTTAGTTTTTAAGGAAGAGAGAGAGAGAGAGAGAGAGAGAGAGAGAGAGAGAGAGAGAGAGAGAGAAGGGGCGGGGTAGGTGGTGCTACCACTGGATACGGTGGAGTGCCCCTCGATAAAAAACGGACATTCGCTTTCACCTTTTAAATTACAACATCCTTCAGTTGTAAATGCATTCTGATTCTGTTCTTTGCATTGTTAAAGGTTATTGATTGATGTAGTTTTCCTGATGTTATTGTGAAACATAATTGTTTAAAAGTCTTCCACACACGGAAAACAGAGTAGAGTCGACATTATTTTCCTCTTCCTCCCCTTCCTCCTCCTCCTCCTTTTCTTCTTCTCCTATTTCTTTTCTTCTTATACTTATCATTTCTATCATCAGTTTAATGTTGTTATTTAATACTATGCCATGTGTTTTTTAATAAACTGAAACTGAATATCATAATTATTATCTTTATTAAGTTTTTGTTCTTTTTCTTATCAGTCTGTAAATATTGTGTGCATGTCTGTCGGAGATCCCGCTGGAAATAAGCTCTCGAGCTTTCGTGGGTTATCCTGTTCAAGCTGTTATTCTTGTAGGCCTATATTGTAGCATGTTGGAAGCTTGGCGAATAAAAATCAATCAATCAATCAATCCATAGAGCAGGGCATGTGAGTTAAAGTCTCACCTCCCTGCATAGAGATAGTATATAGGATCTCTATGCTCTAAAATGTAGAGCGCCATCTATTGCTGGGCGTCAACCTCGAATTAAATTTATATTGAACGAGAAATTACGTATCGATGGTGAAGGGAAGCCATCGCATAGCCGCTAGCTTGACAGATGTTTTCAACATTATTGCATCCATTTATCAAGTAAACCGATCGACAGCTAGCTATTCCAATGCAGCATCTGATTCTGAAGGATATATTCAACTAATGGATGATTTTTTTGAAATCCTGGTAAGAGCACATTCAGTCTTCTTTCTAGAGCATGTCTTGAGAGAGTGAGAAAGAGAGAAGTTCGTTTGAATCCGGGAGACTGTCACTGAGTGAGAGTGTGTGTGTACAGTTCTTCTCCCCACCGCACAGCTAGCTAGCACAGCTCAGTCACAGCTGTTCACAGTGCACGCAGAGCTGAGCTGCTGAGTCCTCTTCTCACTCTCATCTCACTATCACTATCACTCAGTTCGGAATAGGTCTAAAAGAATGCAATCACATTCTAGACCGAGGGGGATGTAGATCTAGAAAAGATGATAACCTTGTGCACATGTTTAAACTGGAAGTTGGGAGGGGGAGGGGATTTTTTTAACAATATGGCAAGTGCAAGCACTTGACTTGTTCAATTTCTTCAAAAGAAAAGAGGAAGATTCAAGAATGAAATTGATGTGATGTGATTAGCCTGTGCTGGACAATCACTTGTTGACTGAATCATGTAACCATTTGTATTAATTTAGGAATAAGGCTAAGGGTACGTTCTTGCCAAATTTTTTAAAGCTAGAATCACATAGAAGGTCTATATCAAAACGCCGTTACTGCGGGAGATCGTTCAAGCGATTTCCCATCATCGCTGATTCTCGCTCATTTCAAGCCCAACCACATACCACTGTGCATCACATGGGGGAATTTGACCAGTATTTATAGGTCAACTTCCGAAATTCTGCGTGCGCTTTCTGAATTTGTTTGCGTTCAACTGTGGGCAAAAACAGAAGCAGGCCACGCGCGACGCGTAATGACGGACATGATTGAGATTTGAGATCTCCGTTTCGTTGAAGCAAATATTAGCATTACAAAAGCATCTTTTTCAGCGATTTATTTTTACGTTTTGAAACTTGTTTATTTTTACGACCGATGAAAAATCGCTGAAACGCAACTGTGTTTTAACCTAAACGTCTTTGAAAAACGTGATTCTAGGTTGAAAAACTGTCGCTTCAACACGCCCTAAGAGTATGGTCACTTGACCTACCGGTAATACCGGACACCCTGTAAATCTTCAGAAGTAAAATGATATGCATTTCAAAGGTCAACGTGTAATGACGAGTTGACCTACATGTAAGTAAATGCGCTGATTACCGAAGCGTAACGAGCGTACAGCAGCGCACATTTCTGCTTCACATGCATGTTAATGTACATGTACGCACAAAGAAAATTGCAATTGTTAACACAAAAATTTAGCATTATACAAGAGTTATAATCCTTAATGTGTTTCATTCTAGAATGAGAGCGCAGATGCAATAGTAATATGTAAGGTATTCTGCTCTCAAAGTTTAATGTCCAGAAAGTTCTTATTTATGCCATAAACATGGATTGGGTACCTATAGTTTTTTTTAATTTTTAACGGTGCTTTTTGGTCAAATTGCAGATATAGTGGGTGAACAGTGCAAACACCGTAGCTGAGTTCACAATTGTGCAATTTTTTTTAAAACATCACTTTATTGTTCAAACTTGCACAACAAAGGAGAAGATACAATAGCCCAGGACAATTCCATTTTACTGGGAAATGCAGGGCATTAAAAGTAAATGAAGTGTATAATGTTATATACCGTACATACATCGTCAAAACAAAAATTAACTAATTTTACAACATAGTGAAGACTGAGGAGTTATGGATATTTCTAGTTATTGATGAAATAAGAGGAGCTAAATATTGAAAATTGGTTTGATATATCAACTTAATAAATACGAAGCATACATAATGAGTATTATAAAAGTTTGATTTGAGTTAATGTTTAATACAAAGAGGATTTTGTCAGTGCCAGGCAATGAAAAGAGGCGAGCAATAGAAAGAAATATAAGACTGGTGACAAGGTGTATTTAAACCCAATTTGTGTGTGTGAGTAATTAATCCCTTACATACTTGAAATGCGAAGGGGAATTTTGGTTTCCCATTTATTGGCATTCTTTGAGTAGTAGATGACAAACGAAGAAATAATTCCGGTAGATAGTTTGGATAAATTCTGTCGAACTTGTTTCAAATTGACTGGTTTTCCAATTTCTTTCAACAGCTGCTTTAGCCTTGTCACATTATCTGGCAAAATATGACCTCCAGAGCCGATTTCCAGAGCCGATTTCCAAAGGAAGATACACCACAGAATATCCATTAGCCTCTATATCAGTAACTAACTGGCATATTTGTTCGATTTATATTCATACGTGTGCCTTAACTATATTCATTTCAAAGGGAACTGACAACTCAAGTATGAGGATTTTTTAAAAGTTTTTCCAAAAAACACAAATGTATGGGATGAGGTTGGTTTGGGTACTTGTGGAGATGCCTTTTTTTGTCCATCGCTCTATTTTTAGGTCTGTGTACATAATAGTGTCGCTAAGAGAGGCGATGCCTTCTTGAATAATTTCGGCAAGATACAAAAGTATGTTGTCATGGCGCCAAGTATAGCGTCCCTCGTCAAGTGACACAGGGCATGCGTTCAATACATGGTGTACTGTTTCTCTATTTTCACATTTTTTACAGTTTGCCGATGCCCTTTCACCCCATCAAGTAAGGTTTGCATTTGTACTAAGTGTATTTGAAAGCGAATTCATGAGACATCAAATATGTATAGTAGAAATATATGTTGAAAACTTTTCTTTCAAAGATTTTACCAAAAAAATCCAAACTACACTTAAACCTGTAGTTAAAGATTATATAGCATGTAACAGCATAACAATCGGACAGATCTTTATGGTACATGTTCGTGTAGTCCCATCTTTATGTGACTGGGCTAATTTTTTTTTATCATTTTGATGATCCCAGAACCTTGCAGTACACACCAATACTGTATGCTACTTGCTAGATGATCAACCTTTTCTGATCAATTCCACACTGTTCCTTGCGGAGTAGACTAGTTAAGAACTACACACACACTGAGCATAAAATCTACATGTATAGGAGCACAAAGCCCCAGTCCGACTTGTATTTCGTGCACGCCCTTTACCCAGGGTTTAATGTTATCCTTTATTTTCTTCATACTCCTTCTCAGTTTACATATATTGTATAGAATGCGAGGCAAAGTTTTTATTTTTTTATTTTTTCTAGCTACCTGTACATACAGGGGATTTGTACATTTTAAGAATGTAGGGGGAAAAATCAAAGTGAACCTAGAAATACATCTGATATCATAGTTCTAAGTCCTTAAATCTTGTTCGCATGAAGTTACAATTTACACAATGTTGACATCATAGGAATGTTCTTGTATCTTCATTAGGAAGTGATTGATATGGTTGCTTGTACTTTTTCCATTATTTGTTGTTGCTTTTTGTAAAAAAGTTGGGTTGTCAAACTTTATGACCCAATTGTACTATATCAAATGTAACATGTTTTTTTGGACAATAATTACAGGCTGGTCTGTGTATTGTAAAGAAAGAGGAAGAGCAATGTGAATGAGCATTCATGTTTTTTTTAATGTCTTTGTCATCTTAAAAGTTCTAAGGCTTGCTTGTTTGGAGCATAAGATATATAAGATATAGAAGAAGATTATTTTAATTGGCTGGCTAAAAGGTAATATGGAGCTCTTCAGAAGTTCAGCCTTTTGCAATGTAACCCAAGCAAAATAATTTGTAAGTTTTGTTGATATAAAAAAAATAATTGTCATACATGTATTTCTGCTTTGGTGGAAGCTTAATCCAAATAGTATGTGACTCCCAAGATAAATCAGAAAAACAAACACCTAATTTATTTAGAAAATGAAGATAATGGTAATGATTTACTCAATTGTGTTGTACAATGTTTTTTACAAAAAGATTTAAACAACTTTGAAGGCAACTTTACTTTTGTCTACATGTCCAGAAGCACAGAAAAAACAGAGACAACTTTCTTATTACACTGTAAACAATCATCATATAAAGCTGAATCTTTCCAACATTTGCTTTTTACAGATTTTTTTACCAGTTTTTCATTTTTCTATTTCTTCCAGGTCTAAGGATTGGATCTTCCTGCATGAACAACAGAAGATAATTGAATGAGCTCCAGATTGCTAGAAAGGGAAAGAAGTACATCCACTTTACCTATTAAGCACAAGTACTACCAGTTTAATGTAATTGATTTACTGAAAAAAGGGTTAAATTATGGCTTAACATACAGGTCATTCACACGGCATCCTGTCTGTAATTGCATAAGTTGGGGAGGAAACCACTGAGAAAATTATGAAAATTGTCTTCGTTTGACCCACACCCATCTGAAATTGCAGTCCGGGCTCATCAGCATAATTTATGGGGGTGCCGCTGATACTGTCCAATTGGTGATGGGCAATTGAATTTGTAGCGTGAGTAAGATTTCAATAGGATCACAATCAAAGTGATTCTTAATCAAATTTGGAGTACTCCTGCCAAGGAAGGTTGCGCGGTGGCGCTCAACCCCTGCCGACTAATTCCTTTCAACTTGGGCTACTGCCTCATCCTCGGATTCCAAGCAGTTTATATCATTTCCAGCGATACAGAGGCAAGGATCTAACACAATTACCGCTCCCCGGTGCATAAAACCTGCCAGGAATATTTTATCCACTTTGGCTAATATTACATCAAAAACGTTTTTCAGTATGAAGTTGGCATTAAGCGGACAATAAGACATTACAGATTAGGCAGTAACCGGAAATATCTCATGCTGGAGCTCGGTGGCAATTTGTGTTTCATCAATTTGTGCTCGGAGAGGATTGTGTTTTGAAAAGAGAGGAGTCTCACTGTGTATGACGCGATGAGAGAGATGCATTGCTCCTAAGACAAGCTCTCTTCAGTCCGGACTGACTGCTAATGGGTCATGTGGAGCGTTTGATTAGAGAGATGTAGCAATGTGCGCAGAAGGCTGTGATTACCGATGAATGATGACTGTGTATCTGACAATTCAATCCCGAGGGATCCAAGCTATCTGCTATTTACATGTACATGTATGTGACGTCAACCCGGGAGAGCGATACTTCGAGCTAAAAAACTGTTATGACGATTAAGAAATTAGCCATATAATTAAGTGCTTTTTGATTTATTAGTACTAGTAACGATAATCCTGTGTGACTGATTGTGGGACAAACTCTACTTCTGCATTTCACAATTTTCATCAATTAACTTGCTGATACCTGAAAGGCAATGCATCTGAGTAACTGAAGTGACTATTTGTCTCTGCTGATGATGAGAATCTTGTATTTGTCATGGAGCTTGACGGAGCCAGAGATACATTCCTTACCCGTCTCAACAAATCACTGGAGGTTGGATGGCAGTGCAAACTCAAACAAGATGGACGTCTCTACTATTTAAAGTAAGTTTTAAAATGTGAATTTGTGCCTTTTTATTTTAAAATATGAATTCGTGCCTTTTAATTTTAAAGCTTGTTTGCATGCATTGTAAATGTTTTCTCTATTTTTCTCAACATTAAAAAAAAACAAACATGTTAAGTCCAATAATGTGGTTATAATATCCAGTAAAAGAATAGAACGTTTGAGGAATGAGGATGGATTGATATTGATAACATTACATGTTTTTACCCTTTTACAAATAGGTACATGTAGGCCTATAATAAATGTATTAAAGTTTTCATTCAGAGCTATAGAAATTTTTGAATATGATAGCCTTACATACATGTAGGTTGTACTGATACAGATTTTCTACATTGACAGTGTACATTTTGTTAAAATCATCACGTACTGTAGTTGCACATTTTGCACAATATTTATTTGGCAGTGACTTCAAAGTTAGATGGATCTTCAAAGCATTTGACAGGAAGACTTTGTCTCATTCAGAAAACATCCTGGTTACTGGTTAGCCTACTGTGAATCATTGACTTTTTCTTAATTCTAGTTTCAAAAGGCCTGTCATCATCAGCTCGGGTTTTTCCCAAATTAGCCCGCTATTTTTACAAGCCCGATCTCAAAATAGCCAGCTAATTTGCGCCTCCATCAGCCCGCAGTTGCAATTTGTTGCAATCAGAAAATATCCTGAGAAATCTTTGTCTTGTTTCCAAAATAGCCTGCTATTTGTGGTTCGTCTTCAACAGCCCAAAGACCGAGGTTCGAGCTGATGAAGGCGCGATTTTGTAACTTCGGACTAATGTCCAGAATCACAAAATAGCGGGCTATTTGGCAAAGTCAAGCTGATGAGGACAGGCCTAAAGAGATTTTTTCCACCACCCACACTTGTCAGACAATCACCCAATCTGAAACACTGAAACATAAAGAAATCCCTTGTGCTAGGCTAGATCTTCTAGCTTTTATCTGAAATATCTTGTCCTTGAGTACCCGTACACTGAACATGCAAATTATAATTTTCTCTCACTGAGATTGGGTGTTGGGGGGGGGGGTGGCAATGTGAATTTTCCCTTTTTTTTCCTTTTTTAAACAAAATTCTCAAATTTTGTTAAAACTTAAATAATACAAGAATATATTCTGTTTTGTTATTATGTTGATTACTTGAATAATGCTATATTTTTGTTTGACATCTCAAGTATACAAATTGGAGCATGCCACCATTTGTAATATTGGAGCTCTGTCGATCTGAAATTGAACTCTGGAAAAATTGTTTAAAATTATTGTCAAAAAATGCCTCTTAAGGAAACTTCGATTTTTTAAATTTTAAATACGGAATAGTACACCCATTCCCATAGTATGTACAGCAGACTTTGAGTTACTTACAGAGTAGTTTTTACTCCATACTCTGTAGAGTCTGTACACTGACACCTAAAACAAAAAAATCACGATTACATTTATGGTACATTTATGTGATGCTCATGTAAAAGTATACATGTACCACTAAAAAATACTTGCATTATAGTGCTAAATACATGTACATTGTATAATGTCATTCCATGAATTATAGAGTAGTTTTGTGTCTGGAAGTGTAGACTATTAATCTCTCTCTATTCAAAGAGACCAGTGGCTAGGCTTTGTGGTGGAACTATTGTTCTGAGGTCTCAGTTCAAATCATTCAGTGAAGGATGCTATTGTCCTTTTGTTTGGAAGAAAACAAGAATGGCAGGAGGACTGGGAGGGAGGGGGATTGAAGAAGACTCATTCACTTCTGATTTTAAATAAATGAATTCTGTACTATCCGTTAGTGGCACAGTGGGATGACCTTAAAGAGAAATAAAAGACACCATTGTTGAGAGTTCATGTTAGACAAATGGTGGATAACTGTACAATGTAGTCCCTGTAGGGTTTTTGGAAAGAGGATTTAGAATGCCAGAGAGGAGTAAATTGATAATACCACCTCTGAATGAACAACCTATTGTGTGCAGTGATACAAAAGAATGTGTGGTTTTGACCTTTTAAACTTTGGTTTCTTGGGAAACCTACTTTTACATGTAGGCCTACATGTAGGTCAACATCCATTAAAAGTAGTCGATAAGGAGCTAGGCCTACAGTACATGTATATACTGTACAGTAACTGTCAAGAGGAAGGGTAACAAAGATATGATTTCTAAGAACAACAACAATAACAAGAAATACAGAAGTACTTTATGATATCACAAATCTATCTACACTGTACTGTATGTATGATTTTAATGTAAATCTGCTTTGTTTGGGAGGACCATTGATTTAATTGAGAAGGAACCATATTTTGTAGGCCTACATGCACTGATGAGAGTCATAATCATAATGACAGTAAGATACTGATATCACTATTCAGTCCCTACTGTACTGTTTGTGCTTTGGAGGTGTAAGGACAGAAATAGAATTAGACAATAATAAAATTCAAATCAGATACCAAATTATAAATAAACATAAACTTAATCAAAACTGCTGTTCAACAAATATGTTTTAAGTCTGTTTTTAAATTTGTCAAACTGTGACTGTCATATAATTGTGTTTTCTGCTTTCAGTGTATTCTGTTTCAGTGGAAGCAGAACAAAAAATATGAGAATTACAATTGACATTTTTATAAACAGATTAAGCCACAATGTAGAATCGAAGCTAAAATCCATTGATAGCTCATAAACCTTCAATTGTGTCTGAAATTACAGTTTGGATTATTAAAATCCATTCCTTACAATATGAAATCTTTCCAATTGATGCAAGCTGCAGAGTAATCAAAATGTCAGGGACATCTTCATTGACAACTCCTATTCAAGGAGTACTTGACAACCGTAATAAAACAACTCAGTATATTCTTTATTCAGTACATGTACAATCAAGTAGTTACTAACGTACAATGTAGATGAGTACAGTATGTACACAGCACGTTTCTTTCAAGTTGGTTGTCTTTTGATGGGAGATACAGGGGGTAAATCAAACAGATTTGTATTGTAGACTTTTAATGACTGGAGGAAGAGCTCTACCTTTTAATTAAAAGTAAAATTGGTCCCCTTTATAGTTTATAATGTACATCTTATGCTGTAAACAGATTCATGGGTTATCAGTGGTATACATACTGTACAAGGGCCATTTCTCTGGCAATGAGCCTGAAAAAACAGAAACTTTCGCATATTTTTTTCCTTCAAATCGTTAAGTATGATTATTGCATGTTGAGAAACTTGCATTTTGCTTTAAAAAAATAATTGTTGTTATTTGTGAGATTTTTTTGGGCATATGACTTTTGTATACTGTATCTGAACTTCTGGTCCCCATTCAAAAGTTGTATTTTTTCTGTAGCTTTACAATACTTTTTTTCCAGGTGCTGTACATTTGTAGGTAGGCCTACTGTACACTGTACTTGTACATTTTACATACACATCTACATGTAGCAGTTATGATGATAGATGTACATGTTACATGTACAGTACATGTATATTGGATTGAACAATTCCCTTTTTTACTTGCAGTCACAACAATGAAACATCTCACTGGATTCCCCCTTTGTCTAACTGGTCTCTGGTTGGGGATCTCCCATATGGATGGGAGACTGCTCGTGATAAGAATGGAAAAGAATACTATATCAAGTAAGTACCGGATATATCTTTGTTTTTATTTGACTTTGCTTTCCAGTTTCACATTAAGAATGGATATTCAAATGAATTGGGGATTTCTGTATCCTGTTAGTAATGAAGGAGCAGTTCTGGTAGTGTTGTGGTCTACCGGATACGTCACCGGACTGTGGATGACATGGTTCATGGTTCAAGTCCCACCATGGCACTAATCTCCTTTGGCAAGACATTAATCTACATTTGCCACTCTCCACCCATGTGTTTAAATAGGTATCGGTAGGAAGGAATCCCTTGAATGCTGTGAGCACTAAAAACGGTAGCCTATAGCAGAGTCAGGAAAATATTGGAGCACCTTGCCAGGTGGTGAATAAGTTTGTAATAAAAGTTTCCAATGCTACATTATTATTATTATTTATGTTTAGTCTGCTTAGTAGTTGAACTGTTTTTGTGTTGGTTTGCTGTTGTTTACATACAGAATCTTTGTACATGTACTGGTAAATGCAGGATGAGAAAACTATCTTTAATTGCCTGTTTACAGTCAATAGTACAATCACAGTGTAGATCAATACAATAGGACTCACTCCACTGCAGCAATAGGCAAATGAAAGCTATTAGAAAGTTCAACAACAATACAAGCTACATGTATGCAACAAACAAATTGCCCATGGGATCTCATAATTACTCATAAAACTACCATAACTACCATACATGTACCTGTAGTATACAAATAGTGAATGGCCATGAGTGCAATGGTACAAGATTTTGCACGAGGTGAAAGATAAGAGACGCTAAATTCAACGAGGCGCAGCTGAGTTGAATAGTGAGCGTCTCATCTTTCACCGAATGCAAAATCTTGTTCCATTGCACGAATAAAGGCCATTCACTATTTGTTTTAACCTCGGACGTTTATGGGCTTAAAACAGTTTTTCTGGGCCTAAATCTCAGCAATTTTTTGGTTTGTTTTTAATTCATTAAATTGCCAATAGTGAGCGCGCACTATTAAGCAGGCAGCAAACCATGCGCATACCATGCGCCACGCATACACAGATTTATGTTTATTTTGACGCGGAGTGCAATTTCGTTTGATCCTTTGGTACCATTGCACGGCAACGTCACTTACCTCACCATATACTTTGTACATCGTTAGTGACGTCAGCGTGCAATGGTGCGAAAAGATCAAACGGCATTGCATGGCTGGAGAATAATGCTGTTCAACAGTACTTAAAGCGCATGTCATGTGATCAATAAATGACCAATGAGGTTGCAAGAATCTTTGTAGGCGTTGTATAATCCTGTATACTGGTAACTTTTGTTTTGACATCAGGACCTACTGTACAGGTAGATCTATACAGGGAATCAATTAAATCAAATAAAAGTCATGCTGAATTACATTTACTGTATAACTGTCAAGGTACATGCCCAAATTAAATTTCCCACCTATGTAGAATAGTAAGAAGGAATATAATAGTTCTTTTCCATACATTCCTGTCAAACTAGCTTGCAACCAAGATTCAGAGTAAATACTGCTACTTTTGTAGATTTGTTTGTTTTCTTTGAAGAAGGCACAATGGCGTAACAATAGGATTCCCTTTCTTTGTAGTGTAAGGATTGTACTAGTTCTAGTACAGCCAACTATTGTACACATCCGTACATGTAGTACATGTACATGAATTGTAATCCTGAGATTCCAGGATTATATTAACCCATTGCATACATAAACAGGTTGGTTCCTGTGTAAAACCTATTGGAACAAGAGAATTCAGTAGCCAACAGGTAAAAGAGGGAGACATCCTGAGCCTTCATGAGCCTTCATGAAGGTATAATGTTATAACTGTGTCTTAATCTCAACCTTAAAGAGGCATGTTCCCCGTATTCCAGAGGGCGTTCAAAATACGTACCCGCTGGCGGACGGTGCTAGCTGCCTATTGACACCAACAGAATACGGCTCTTACGCAGATGGCATGTTCCGAATGCCCGGACAACACCGATTATCGCATACATGTGCCGAAGTAATGCCAATCGCAGTTCGGCTCTAAGATTCGGCTGCTGTTTCCGCCCACTTTCGTGACGTCGCGATCGTCAGCGATCAGCTGGCTTCGCGAAGGCAGGCCAGGCCGCGCGTACTTTGATTGACAGCTGTATGCAAATTAGAAGTCGATCTTCGGAACCAAGATGGCGATGACTAGAGCAGCGATAACTACACTGGCGGGAACGTGCCACTTTAATCCACTTAAATAGGAGTTAAAGTAATTATGTTTTCTTAAGAGGATGATTACATTAGTAATCCAAACACAATGCTTTGTGCACATGCATGTGGTACATTTTTTAATGGACAAGGACAAAGAAAATGACAATACAAAAGGCTTTTAAAGCCTATCTGCTCTAGTTTGCCATGAAGTATTAGACCTCCCTGCATGGTCACTGACAGGTGGTTATCTCATCAAATCAGCTCTCAATTAACATTTAAGAAAAGGGGGACCATGGGGGGATCAATGGTCACCACTTAGGCATTGTTTGTTGTGTACATGTAGAGGGCGCAAGTAGCTATACAGTATGTAAGTAGTGCAGTGGGGCTTAAAAGCAAATTTAGAACAGGATCTTGTCTTGTGATTGTGTCATCCTACAAGTAGAGTGCAATGAGGATCACAAATTACTAGTTTTTACATCATTTTTGAAAATACAAGGAAATATATGTAGCACTTTCTCTGCTTACAATGTAAATGTGTACAATGTATATAGTCCATGTATTTCATCTTCACCCCGCCCACTATACCCGCCCACTATTCTGTTACTTTCTTTTCTGTATATAAAATATATTAACGCCACGGTCATTCATTATTTGATATGGACACTTTCCTGTGTTTATCCAGTTATCACTTTTACTTTGATAAAGTACATGTTGAGCAATGAACTTGTATGTTTCTTCACTTTTTTGATAATTTGGCATATTAAAGCTTACACTGTACATCTAAAAGTATTCAACAAAGGCCCTTAAATATAAACTTTAGTACTGGTAATGCAATTGCATTGTGAAAGAAAAGGTGTGGAAAGGATCAGAAACAGTTGATCATGTAGCATGGAAGTATTGGTGTGCACTGCAAGGTTCTGGAGTCATCAAAATCATAATAAATTCGTCCGAGTCTTGGTAAAGTAACAAGCACTGTACACAGAAAGCTATATATGGGACAACACACATGGTGTCGGGGCTAGTACTACCTTGATTTCCTTGTCTTTCTATGCTCATTACTCAGCCAGTATACATTTTCTTCGAAAAATTGTTTGGCACATGTCATTTATTTGTAATCTTGAACATTCAGTGTAAGTTTTGTTTCATTCTGTGAGAATTAATTTTCTTTTTTTTACCAGAACTGGAGTTTATCTTTAACTCAACCTCTGTCCATGTTTTATTCTTGAGTTACGAAAAAGAAAACAAAAAAGACCCACCAAATTTATAACATGGGGTATGAATAAATCTGTTGCTACGTTGTACCTGTACCTGTATATGAAGGTACAGTAAATAACATAAATTATTCTCACTTGAGTGTGTACAGTAGAGCCTAGGCCTAAATGTATTGTAACACAAAAAATACAAGTATATTGTGAGTCGAAGGAGTAGTTCTATGGTCGTGAGTTGAAGGCCTGATAAATATTGAACATTTTCAGCTTGAAAGAATAATCTCTTTAGTTTGTATACAGACAGAGCAAAGCAAATTGAGAGATTACTTGGTGGGGGCTCTGGACAGTAGGCGATTATCATAATCCACACCCTACTAAATACTATAACAAGTATCAATTGTTCCCGCTGCTCCATGTCTTGAAAGAAAAAGAAGAATAGCATTGCTTGTGTCTGAATTCAAGTGTTAAAGCCTGAAACCAAAGAAGTCATCTTTTAGCCTGTTCGGACTAAAGGAAATTTATGTATAAAGAATCATTGTACAGTGAAAGACGCATGTACCGGTACACATATACTTACAGACTATAAAACAGCATCATATACATGTACTAGAAACTTTGTCTGAAGAAACTAATTTTGAAGAGGTGACTTGACATGACAGCTGGCCAATCACCAGTGTGCACTCACTAAGCCCCGCCCCATTTTTCTATACGATATGACATTCAGACTAGAGTTGGACCCTGACTTTTTATTGAGTTTCCATTTGAAACGACGCTCAAATATACGTTTTGTCATTCAATGTTTCTTTACAATATAACGTTCATACCAGAAAAATTCTGGAAGTCTGAACGTAGGGTAAATCTCTGCTTGACTGTACTATGACTTCTTTTTTCTCTGAAGGTGAATGGTTTCAATCAACATTGTACATTGTTTGAATGTGTGAATATGTAGTGCTACTTTTACTTATCACGTGTCAAGATTTGAGGGACATTTTGACTGATATTGCATGAAAACATGTTTGCTACATGTATATAGGCCTAGCTCTAAATCTACTATAAGCCCTGAAGGCTGAATGTCATATTGGTGTTGCAATGAAGCTAAGATTTTGTACCAAAAAGAAGAAGCCAAATTTAATAATAATGTGTGCTACTCTAGACAATTACTGTTTCACTAGTGTGGTTGTTGATAAAAGTAGTAGTACTTTTAAGAAAGTTTAAGAAAATGTTGAATTGGCTATATTAATTGTAATGCTGAATCATCATTCCATTGTCTATTTTATTATTTGTCCATACTGACTTATATTTCAAGATTGTCATGTGTGTCAATTCATGGAGAGACATTAGGCGGTGTCACACAGAAAAATCCCGACCCATCTTGAATAAACCAGATTTTAGAAATCTAGTTTTTTCATTTGAGTCGGTGACAGACAGGCTACGAATAATCCGGATAACTAAAATCCAGATTTTTGATGGGCCATTGCGCACGCGCCGTTTAGGTAGATAAGCATCGTGACATTACACGTTCAATCGAAAGTATGCGCCGTTTAGGTAGATAAGCATTGTGACATCATACGTTCAATCGAAAGTATATGCGCAGTTAAGGTAGATAAGCATTGTGACATCACACGTTTAACTGCGCGCATTTAAACGTGTGATGTCACAATGCTTATTAAAAGGGATTATTTCAACATTGGTGTCAGACAGAAAAATCCCTTCAAAAAAAACCTTGAAAAATCCTTTCAAGAGAGAATTATCTTGCTTCATATGAGGTTTTTTGAAGGGATTTTTGAAGGGATAATTGATGTCAGACAGCCAAAAAGAGGATAATTAAAAACCGGATAACTAAAATTCAGATTTTTGGCCTCTGTGTGACACCGCCTATTTTGATAGCTGACAATATAAAACATTGTCTGTTTGGAGTCAGAAGGCTTTAACTCACATGCCATATATCACACATACACATGTACATGTACATGTAGTACCTTCTGGCTCTGAAGTCTTGACAGATATATACAGTGTATTGCATTCATGAGAAAATCATGAAAAACAGTGAATGTTTACAAATGTTGAGTATGGTATTGACAATTTATTGGTCTGAATCTGAATGAATGTTCTTTTTAATTTTTTCTCCCATTTTTTAAACACATGAATTGAACCTACAGAGTACAGTACACATAATTCAAGCTACCAATACATGCCAGGGAATAATTTTCCTGGTATCGCATCGCAATTTGCTATGCATTTTTGCATGACTGCTATACAAAATATCTTTTACGTAGCAGTTTTCTTCCATAGAAATGTACAGAATTTCATTTGAAATATTTATCCATCGCCTGAAATTGCTAATCAAAAAATTTGAAGAAAATTATTCCCTGCATGCTCATATATACATGTACATGTACATGTAGTTCTTCAAATAATATTAATCACAGCTATGTATATATGTCTGTGAAACAGCTGGCAAACATGATTTCAAATGTCATGGTACATTTTTACCTGTACGTGTGCAGGCATATAATTGGAAAATTATACAATTCTGGTATGTACAAGGTTTTCATTATCCACCAGGTTATATGCCTGGAATATGCAGGTAATAATGAGCATATTTTGATATTTGTTATGTATGGCTGTTGACTTTGCATAATATCAAGTTCTCTCCCCCGATGAATACCTGCACGCTTGATAAACTAAGAGTTAATTTTCCCTGGTATTTTTTGGGGGGCTCATTTTCTCAGTTCAAGTTCAGTGTTCATTCATTGGGCATGGATAGTGAATGTAATTGATCCTATTGTAAATGTTCATCATCCATACTTGACTTTGAGTTCATCTCTTGTTCAGATCAAACACAATCTGTTATCTCGTGCAATAGTCATGGTGGGAATTTTCTTGAATATCCACTTCTCTCCATTTTGTTTTGTAACAAAGTGTGCTTTGTACTTTGTATGCATTTGTGAGAAAGGGAGTGGAGCTTCATCTGAAAAATGATTAAAAATCATCTTCAAAAAGTGATTAGATTGTATAATACCCACATTTTTCCATAATTAGTTTCTTTATACAATATTGTTTTCTAATCTGTACGCTCCCTTTGCTATATATATGAGGATTCTTTATAACATTTCCTTATATAAATACAAGTTGTGTTTAAAATTTGTTTAGTTTGATCAGCCTTCTAGTCTAAATTTTATTTTGTCTGTGCATGGTGTGAGATGCCTCTCCACACTGTCTCACCTGCTGGGGTGAAGCGACAGCCTTGGGTGTTAGAAGTTAAGGTCACCTGGCCAGCACCCCCCACAGAGTGTCAAAAAATGGGTTGCATATTCATGTGGAACCACCCTCGTGGTGTCGGTGTGTCCCAATCTGAAATGCCTGCATGTCAATTATTCAAGGGTGAAAAGTAGACAAGGAGTGGTATAGGACAAGAAGAAGAGAACAGCAGAGATAGTGAGAATGAGAAAGAGAGAGAGAAACAGACAGAGAGGTGGGGAGAGAAACAGAGAGAGAGATAGACAGAAAGTGAGTGGGAGAGAGGCAAACATGTTTAAGAGCCTTACATTACATATTTCAGTCAAAAGAAAAGATCATGAAAGCAAAAGTTTTGTAGAGAGAGAATGGGTGGGGATGTGCTTTGGACAAACAACTTTGATCTTGCCGAAAATCCATGAAGTAGCGTACATAATCCGGAAGATAAATTAACACGAAAAACATACATGCAGTTCTTGGGAAAATGGATGGGTCAGGAGTTTCATGTAAATTGCAATACCCTTGGGAGCCAGCAGAAGATCATGCACATGTCATGTAACCTTTAGTTTCCACTTTCCAAAGGAAAAAAAAAAGTGAAAGATATGACTTTCTTTCGTTAGATCATGGAAATTAGTAGGTCCATGGTTAGATACATACCATAAAGAAAGAAATTCTTTTCTTGCATGATAGAAACAGACAGACAAGTGTTGAAGAGAATAATAGACAGATAATTGAATAGAAATTTAAGAGGAAAAAGGCCAGCCAAAATGATGATTGCAGAAGGTAAAATGGCAAACAAAATATGTTACGGTACATGAATTTGTTAAAGTGATGGTGAGAAGCTACAGGGTGATCAAAATTACAGAACATAGTATGGAGTGATGGAGACAGTAATTTGTTAAATTGATAATTATTGACAGAGACAAAATAAAAACAAAACACTGTACATGTCTAGACTTTGAATGTGTTTTCTTTCAATATTCTAGAGCAAGTCTTGCTTTAGATCCATTGACTGCACCTTTGCCCCTCACAATAAAAGAAAAATAACATCCTTTTCTATCTTGGGTGCTCGTACAATACAAGGTGCTAGGAGAAAGATACCAGCCTTGACACTTGTTACACAAGCCTTTTATGTTATAACACGTTGACGTGAGAAATTTAAAAAGTCGCCTCTAAAATTTTGTAGGGACGTGCAGTCTCCATGTCATATTTCCCACCGTTCATTTGATTGTAATTGCATTATGGACCACTGTCACCACCCTTCCCGCTAAACATACACGTAGATGGAACATGCTCCAAAACCTGTGCAACAACTCCAACTCTAGTCACGAGGAGAAGGCTGTAATTATTTCTTGATGAGAAGGATCATATAATCTAATTATTGGTCATTAAAAGTAGAATGAGAGATAAGTGTGTTCTTGGAAGCGATGGATGCTGGGACCCAATTTTCACCGGATATGGATACTGCGTTCACGCAATGGATTTATATTCTGGAGTCGTTTGTGTTTGCTCTCTCAATCCTCTTGTTTGTAGATTTAAACTGGCAAGTGTGAACACCCATTTTCTACTTTTAAATTGTAGTACATAACATGAAATTAGTATAATCACTTTTTTCACTACTTGTTGTCTTGCCTGTGTAGCAAAAAGTGAGACATACATGTGTAGGCGCCGCTTTTCCGGTTTTGGATTATTTTTTCACAACTTAATATGAGAATTAATATATCAATTTTTGTTATTTGTTCATATTTTTTTAAAGTTATTGATCTTGGTACAAATAATAGTAAATAATTCTGATGATGATTCTTAGTCCATTTAAAATGCTGATTATATTCAGAGGATTTCATTTTTGGGGGCCTGCTAATGGGCCACCCTGCCTATAAATGTTCCAACTTCAATTTGTCATCATATCGAGTTGCGTAATGCAGGTGAGACCGCCGAGAGCGTTTCCCTTGCTTTTAAAATCTTATTTGTTTTTCCTCATGGAATTAATTACAGTTTATAAGAATATTGGATATACATGTATAGGGCCCATCCACCACGTAAGGTGCTCAAGCTGCTCCAATGTTACCCGGCTCTGCTAGGCCTGCTACCTTATCAGTGCTCACAGGATTCAAGGAATTCCTTCCTGCAGGTACCCATTTAACACCTGGGTGGAGAGAGGCGCAAATGTAGATTAATTCAAATGTCTTGCCAAAGGGCATTACTACTACAGCAGGACTCAAGCTGCGAACCACATATCATCAGTCCGACGACATATCCACTAGACCACGACACCTCTATACTGTACATGTATCAAATGAGTTTCTTCTTTGAATTTTCTCTTTCTTTTGAATGTCACCAATAAAATGAACAATAGTCTAATCAAACCTACATGGACATGTATACTGCATGTATTTTAGAGATCTATATTGTACATGTAGATAGTCTATTGTATTTCTCAAGTTAATGCATTAAATAGATTGTCTACAAGTATATATATAGAGTACTTCTTTTTTTATGGAAGGTTGATAAATTCTCCAGAAGAAGACTGAATTTGTTATATCTCATGATATTCATGTTTTGAATTTTCATTGTTTGGCTTTTGAATACCATATGTATTATAACCTATAGATGGATGCATACCAAGGACTTTCAAAGTAATTACCGGTAATATATCACATCTAATTTGGAATACTAGAACCTTGAAACCTTGAAAGTCCATTTCTCGAGATCCCTATTGTCTCGGTTTACAACATAGATTGGTATCAGTTAATGACAAAATGACTCTCGAGGCTTGAAGTATCTCAAATATCATGTAAAATAATCTAATGTAATCCACTGACCTTGTACAGTATGTAACCCACTCCTTCATACATACATACACATGTACATATGTTATGTTCTTTTATTTCTTTTTTAAAATTTAAATCATTGTATTGATTCAATTAGTATTTTTCTTAAATAAAAGTGGCGGGGGGGGGGGGAAGAAAATTCAAGAAATACATGTAGGATAAATTTTACAACATCTTAGTCACTTTTTTTGTTTTCTTCCATTGAAAAATTGTTTGTCTGATTCAAATTTGATAGTTCATGAAAATCATATGTAATGATGTGGGCATTGTAGAAATTGATTTGTATTTCTTTGGGTTAACTGAATCACATGTATCACTATTAAAATGGACAGTGAATGATAAGAATATTAAAGATGAAGGTCTGTTTCTATTTCAGATATGCAGTTTGGACACATACAGTGTACAATGTACATATGTGTCCCTGTTTAATCATCAGTTTAAATGTTACAGTAAGCAGCAGTATTAACATTTTGATGATCTTATCAATGATTCTTTGCCATTCTCACCCTGCAGCCACAGGACGTCCTCCACGACAAGAGAAGACCCCTTTGACCTGGAGGAAGCACCCCCTGAGCAGAGGGATGTGATCCTGGTCAGAGACACCGCCTTGGGTTTCGGTTTCATCGCAGGCAGCGAGAGACCGGTCGTCATACGATCCGTCACCGAAGGTATCTTAATTGTCTTCTGTAAAATTCACGTTACCGGTACTTAATTGTAAAAAATGAATGGGAGATCTGAAATATGGCTGGTGAATATGACTGAAAAAAATGTTGAAATAGATCCGGTAAGGGCACAGATCAAAGAAATCTGGAACTTAAAATGAAAGGAAGTACATTAAAGAGTGCGAAGTTTATATAAATCTAGAGCTCGAAGGGGGGAGGGGTGGGGGGATATTCTGCCCTTTTAAAGTTTAATAGATGCATTTTCAATTTACATCATTTGTTGCATTGGGGATACACAATTGCACATGTACCGGGGTATCCAATTTTCACTTTGATTAATGATGATACATGTATTAATATCTACATGTAACTATGCATGTATCCATCCAGGCGATGCTCACGGCACTTGTAAACTATAAGTACTATTACTTCACCCGCTTTCTGCATTACAGCTTATTTTATTTTATAATAGGGAAAAAGACACTTTCACTTATATAATGAAACAGAAAGAGATGGAGAGAGAAAAAGAGGGAGAGAGAAAGAGAAAGGGGCAGAGCGAGAGAATCAGCTTTGAAATTAATGTAAAATATTTCTTTCAAATTTGTAAGATCGAAAGTTGTTTGCTCAAACACATCCAAGCTGAAGCGATGAAAATATGATATACATGTACATACACAGATGTATTTGCCCACTGTAAACCTTGTCAAACATAACAAATATTGAACGAAACATAAAAGGGCAAACTTTCTCATACATTTGTTAGCATCGTTCTGTTGAGATTGTGTGGTTTATCAATATTCTGCTGTTAAATGAAATGGAAGCTGGCAGGTTTGATTTGATTGGATTATTGGAGAGTGCCACGCTTGTCAACCATTCAAGATTTATGCGTGCACTTTCATGCTGATTAGGCTTGTTTCATCAAGACATCTTATAAATACACATGTACATGCACATTATATCCGCTCTTTGATTCAGAGTCGTGCAAAAACGTACATGTACACTTGTTCTTCGTCCGTTGAAAGAGAATTATTCAATGCTTACTTTACATTTCTCATCGTATTTGCTTGTCTTCTGTTCATGATCACACTGCATGCTACTTGTGTTTGCTTTTTGATTCAGAAATTACCTGACTTGTATAAAAACATGAGTGATAGGAAAAAATCACTCTTTTCACGAAATGCATACCGTAAATACATATATGTTATTAAGAAATATCCCTAACATCAAATTCACATACAGTAAACACACCCATTGACATACGGATCAATATAGTTCGAGCAAGATTATGACATGTTCAAAATTGATTTGTTGTCACGACCACTCCCCAAAACTACAAACAGAGCCACATTTTCTTTGCTTAGATTACTCTGCAGCCTCATATAAATTTTCTACCATGTTAATGTTACAGGTTTCAGATAGTAATTTATTGTTTTTAACATACATGAATTTGGTTGATTCCTGGGGGGTGTTTCACAAAGATCCTAAGTAGAACTTAACTCTAAGTTGGACTTAAAAATTATGGACAGCCATTGGAGTCTTTAAATGAAATATATTCAAAAGCAGAAATTCAAGTATTTTAGACTTTTTATGAATTCCACATCCAGAACATGAAATCTCCTTGATGATAGACAATATGAATGATTTGAATAAACAATTAATGCCTTTCAAAATAACTTTTACAAAATATTTTCAAAGATGCTAATGGCCTTCCATAATTTTTAAGTCCAACTTAGAGATAAGTTCAACTTAGGATCTTTGTGAAACACCCCCCAGAACTCAAACTCACTAAAACATTGTTGAGACATAATGTGGTAAACCACAGTGTCGTACACTTCACATTCTGTATAAAATACAACATGTACGTGTACGTCTTAAAACACAGAGCTCAGTGAATGTGCTTGGGAGCTTTGTTGCGTTGCCATTTATTAACACGTTGTATAATAAGAAACTGCTACGTAATACCACTTCATATCTGAACAAATAAAGAGAAGGGTAATTAAAGGGATAGTTGAGTTCTGTTTTCAGACCGCAAATGCCTTCAAAGTGCATGGTTATTGCTCTTATTCTTATCTACAGTGTATGACATTTTATAGTGCCCTTTTAGAACCTAAAATTGCTATGAAGGTAATTTTAGACCCCAAAAAGTGTGAAATTTAGCCAATACGATCATACCAATTCAGCTCCCCTTTCAAAAAAACAGCTTTATCTTTAAGCAGTTTTTCTTTCACTCTCACATGCTCCATTCTTCTCTGAGCCATCTTTCTTTATCTACTTGTTTACATGCATTCTTCTTGGTTCGCAGGTGGACCCTCCATCGGTAAACTACTTCCTGGAGATGAGATTCTCAAGGTGAACGGAGAGGATGTGAGGAACAGCGATCGTCAGTACATCATTGATAAGATAAGGTGAGAAAATCAGAGATTCAAAAAGCTCTCCTAAATACCCTTCCCTCTTTCACTACAGGAGAAGAAAAAGAGATGACAAATAATTTGTGAGCGTGGAAGAACATGAGAAAAAAACTTTTCCCTGAAAAGCATGGCTCTTCAAATGCCTTCATATTCTAAATATGACATGTGATCTTGATTTTGCTTTAATACGCAGTGAAAACGGTGAATTCCGAAAATTGTTCCAGATTTTGATCATGTCCCTTTGAGTTTGTTTTAATAGCATTATTGTCATGTTGGGGGAGATTGTGCCTGTATCGTACCGTATATATACAGAGCGGTGTCTTCCTGGTTGGCTGCGCTCTAATATTTGCATGTTTGCCGGGTTGGAATTAATGTGAAAACATTTTCCACCTTTACATGTAGCAGAGAACAAATTTTCATCATGTTTCATTTCATTGTACTGTTTTTCATTTCCGATACCAGACTTGCCTTAGAACTCTACATCTCTTCATGTTCATATTCATATATTCCTTTGACTGAATGGAGGTGGCAGAGAAAGAAACGTACTTAGATGATTAGGGACACGTATTGATCTTGCTGGCATGTGGGAAAATAGGCCATACATAAATTCTCTCGCTGATGAAAAGATCTCTCATCATTCATATTTACCCTTCATAATGGTTCCGTGCGTTCGGTTCTTTTGTTGAGCTGAAGCAACAGGTGATGGGGACTTGGGAAAGCATTCAATCTTCAGTACGCTAGCTCTCGGCCGTTATAATCTGCTTGCGCTATGTCGTTTGCTCTCTTCCTCATTATTAGAACTTTGCACTTTGCTTTCTCTACATTATGTACATTTTGAAGAAAATCTATACATATTACCATGGCAACCATTGATTTCAGAAAAGGGAGTGGTGTATGAGTAATGGGTGCAATACGTTTCAATGAAACACCTGTATCTAAGTCCAAAGAGTTGGTGATTGGCAATATAGGGTGTGGCCCCTGTAGATCAATGAGATGCAAAATTACACATTAATTCTTTAATAATATTCACTGAGTCGTTTCATGGGTATGTAATCAACAGAAAGAACTTGTAGCAGTATGATCAAAATGACTTCTATGTAAAGTTCACAGTGTTTTGCTCAATTGTACTGGACAAGAATAAGGAAAATACTGCAAAGAAAAGGAAGTTAAGGAACATGTCGTCAGTACCTTTAATAATAGAATACATGTGTATTCTTTTCTTTTTAATACTTTTATTCTGTTTTAGAGGTGGCCTTTAAATGTGGTATTTAAAAGATTTTATTACAGCTACTGTACAGGATGTCAGAACAATAAAGCTCCATCTGCTAGTGTTTTTGCAAGTTGCGCAAGAGAATTATGATTCCTCATTAATGTCAAACTAATAACATTGAACATTGATATATGATGTACATTATTCAAACATATTTGTGGCTTACCTTTATTCAAAGACTTAATGGACTCGGTGACAGTGGACAGTATTTCTGAAAATGCTATGTCTTTTGTCATTTTAGCACTTGAGAGATATTCTACTTGTAAATGTCATAACATATCAAAATTAAGATGAGTCGTTGTTACATGACTTGACACACATGTACTTATTAAAGGTACATTTACATTTGTACATGTAGGTGGCTGCCAATGTGTGTAGATACAAGGGTAACAAAAGGGTACAAAATGCTTCGAATGCATGGATTTATATTTTTCTTTTCATGCTTGCATATTTTTAATTTTAATTTTATGTTTGTGTGTGTATATAAAAAGTCATGCACACATACATATATCTGCATCATACACACATTTGCTTCAGTCATCTTAGAAACGTTATTGCACAGTATCCACACTGGGTAACAGATAATTCTACTTATAGACCATCAGGATGAATGCTGGAGGATTATTCCATCATTTCCTAACATTTCTTAGATTTTCTTGAGGATTGGAAAAGGTCAAATTTGATAGGTTGACAGGAGGTTGTCTCTGAATCTTAAGACCATTATAGTCTTGCCTTGGAAGACAAAGGAGAATGAATTGATACGATTCTTCATCTCTCTCTCTGCACCCTCAGAAATTGAAATTGAACGTTTTTAAAACGCTTCAGGAGAAAGAAACCTGCCATCCCCTAGTGCCTAATGTTGTTAAATGTCAATTTCTCCCTTATTTCCTCCACCACAGATACTCCACTGATGAAATCGCTCTCTCCGTTATTCAGCCCTACATCGACAAGACGGGCCTGAAGTCGTCATTCCTCAGCGCGACAAAAAAGCAGAAACTGAAAGCCAAACCCCCTCGTGTACGCTTTGCTGACAGTGTCAACACATTTCCCTCCAATGCGGTAAGTGTTTTGTTATCACATCAAGCTATCTTACGGGAGGGGAGCTTCTGAAAACCAATCAGTCTGCGTGTCATGAGTTGTCTCTGGATAGCTGGCTCCTCAGATAAATCATAATTCCTCTTCAGCTCTCAGCTTCCAATGTTCAATTTGTCAAAGTCTAAGATTGGAGTGGGTATGAGCTGGTTTGTCCCTGGGTATTTCTTGTTATAAAACTCTTTGAGTCTCAATTTGTCATTAATTTCTCTTCACAAGAGTTTTTATTTCAACGCTATTGATTTATATGTATTGCATGTTTATTGTATTGCATTATGCAGTTGAGTCCTTCAGTTGAAGAATTACTTTGCACATACGGTACACACATCAGGGTTGATTATGACGCAGTTTGGAAGTTTCTGCTTGGTAAATATCTCTTCCCTAAACTATATGTTTTGCCTTTTAATTTATCACATTTTCAAGACTCATTAATCTTTGAAAATGTTCTTTATTTAATTTGAACCCAACATTCATGTAGTTGTGACATAGTGATTTACTTCATGATTTTGTATCTATAATAAATGCCATCTCTCTTCATGCTCTGTGAAGACAGTGTCTGTAGAGCTCAGTAGAACAGATGAAGTGATAAGTAAATAACACAAGAAATAGACACCTATTTTAAGGCAATGTACTGAACAAAGGAATTTTGTTATGTACAATCCTTTTCTTCATCCACCCACTCGTTATTGACAGGAATGCTACAAAACTAGACAATATATTATTCAGATATATCCGTCTTGTGTCGGAGAAAAGTTTGTAGACCATTTGTACATGTACACTGTATGTAACTTTACCATGCAATGTGACACTCATTATAGGATTAATGGTCTTTGTAATTATTTTCAATAACAATGATATTTTTAGTGTTCTGTTTGAGGGGGGGGGGGGAATAAACTTGTGTGCATGTACATTATGTATACAGGAAGGCTAGTATAATTATAAATGTTATTAAAGTTTGCCATTTGTCCATATTAAACAATGTATTTTCTGTTTTTAATGTCTGATAAATCGCTGGAGTTATTAATGCAAGAACATCAATATTCTGTGACATATTTATTTTCAATTTGTTTATGTTTGGAGCTTTGTTAGTCTGAGACTGGGCTAAATGTATCATACTTGATACATTGTTGTATTTATTAACATTTATTTCCTTCTCAACAGTATATATGAAACACAATATGTAACAATGATTTCAACATAGAAAACATACAGTAAGTAATTCAGATACGGAAGGAGGCGAAAACCCGAAAAGCATAGCTTGAGTTGGAAAAGTCCATAATAAGTTAACACAGTTACTGAGAGAACATTATGGATATTAATAGTCTTGTGATCAGTATCTTACTGCGATGGCTCCGGATTAGTCAGGCGCTTAAGTCTTCCATCTATTTCATGCACTTTGCATCTTATGAAAAGATGCTTTATAAATGAAACGTTATTATTATCTGTTAAGAGTTGACGTCATTGTTGTTCAGAGATTGGGTACAAACATGTTTTGCAATGTTATAGAAGGAACTTTTGTAATCATGCTCTACCATAAAGAGGTTGTTTTTATTGAGTTGTACATGACGGTGATACATGTACGGATCTAAAATACAATGCTGGGTGTTGTTGCGATTATGGTTGATGCAGGATTTATTTGGTTAGCCCATGTTGCATGAAAACACTTTTTGTAACAAGCCATAGGTGTATTCTTTCATATTTTTCATCGACATCATTCAAATGAATGCTATGTTTACACAAATTGCCTTTTATCAGGATCAGGCGATATTTCCAAGGTGAATTGGCTTATCAAAAGATGCACAATTGTATTGTGAGCAGTCATGCGTGTTTGCAGTCATGCGCCAATAGAAATTTAAGAAGTCGTGCTTTTTTGGGGGGGGGGCAATGGTGTGTACTTCCTTGGAAGCCTATAAAACATTTTGTAAACAAGCTAGCTGTATTAACGAGTTTGTTACATTGGCATTTTGAATAGGGTTCTGGGATTTGAAAAAAAAAACTATATTATAACAGAAAGACTCTATTTTCAAGGCAGTAAATGGAAATGGAACATGTATGCAATCACTTCATATCAACATACATGTACTTGTTTCAATAAAAATGTTTTAAAAAAAATACATGTTGGTCAATGTGAATATCTTTTTTTTTTAAATTGAAACCTTGGTATATCTACCATGTACATGTACATGTATTTGCATTTTCAATTATTATATCAAGTCAGAAGTCTTTAGAAAACATTTACATTGCCACAATTACAGAGATACATACTATACATGTAAGCCTTCATGAAAAGGAAACAGTTTTATATCATGTAAAAATTATGTTATTGATTTGAAATCTTAAGTAATCAGACTTAAATTTCCTGTTCTATTTAATACGGTATAGCTAATTATGATGAGACTGATAAACATTTTCTGTTATTTTGACAGCTTTTTTTTCCCTATCTTGTCATAATATGCTTCTAAAGGATTAACAAAATGATTGAGAAACATACACAAATCAGCAATGATGACTGTATATTCATTGCATCTTGTTATTATATAGTATCTTTAACAGCCTGCATGTAAAGACATCATGTATGTATACTCCGTTTGTGGATGTTACTTATTTGATTACAAATTGGGTCAATGTATTCTAGAGTACAGTTTGACAAAAGCTGTCATAAGTACAAGTTGGCCGATATCCAATTGAAACGCGGGTACATTTTGATATGTACACGTTTGAATGGGATGTCGGTTGAAGTTTGACAGTTTTGTGAAACGATGCCATGGATTTTATGTGAGTGGATTACCACACCAGTGATATGTACAGTACTGTGCACTTTCTAATACTGGGACTTGCATCCATTCATGTGAAGATGTCTTTCTCAAATGGAAGGATGATTATTCATGCCTTTCAGTAATCAATACCTTTCAAGAGGTAACCCTTATCTATCTTCTTTTCTCTCTAACAGCCCAAGATGCCACCAAGTCTGGTGTACTTACCAAACGTCCTCAAGGTTTATCTCGAGAACGGCCAAACCAAATCATTCAAGTATGATGACTCCACTACAGTCAAGGTATATCTGTATAATTATGTGCATATGAAAGGGAATTGATTACCCATTAGCTGCATTTACACTGCAAGCAAAAATCGTTGATTTTATCCACGTTCTGTGGTTCTTTGGAAGTTGCTAAGCAACTACGGGCAAACACAAGAAACCAAAATCGAAAAGTTAAAGGAAACCAAAACCTTCATACTAAGTTACTTTTATTGTAAAGTTTAAGATATTTGAAAAATATCAGTGACAATTTGAACAAAATCGGGCAAGGAATAAGGAAGTAAGAGCTTTTTGAAATGACTAGTCACTAGAGGGCGGTATTCAATTTGATGACATCATCTGTGGACAACTCTCCATGCCTTTTGTACATCAAATTTCATGTTTTTCCTTCTTTCTTGTGATTGAGATAATGTACTCCCCTGAAAGCAAGATTTGGAATGCAAAATGATATTCTACTTCACATGTTATGAAGTCGGATCAAGAACACAAATATCTACGAAGAAAACAACAAAATTGTGAAATTTTATGTACAAAAGGCATGGAGAGTTGTTCACAGATGATGTCATCAAATTGAATACCGCCCTCTAGTGACTAGTCATTTCAAAAAGCCATAACTTTCTTATTCCTTGCCCGATTTTGTTCAAATTTTCACTGATTTTATTCAAATCTTTTAAACTTTACAATAAAAGTAACTTAGTATGAAGGTTTTGGTTTCCTTTAACCTTTGGGCCCCCATCTTTAATATAAAGAGTTGACATCAATCGCAACTCATTTTCAATTGGTTTCAAACGCAAATACATGTATGTACATGTACATAAGAGATTGGGAGACTGCAAAATTGCGATTGATTGGAGGACTTGCGAGTAATTTGGATCAATCGCAACTCTTTATAAATTAGATTAGATTAAATTAAATTAACTTACTGTAAACACTGTTATTTTTTCGCGCTGAGCAACCCCAAAACATATTCGCTGGTTCTTAGATTTGCGTTGCATCAAATTCAGCCCGTTCAGAACATGCATAAGAAGTCATGTTTATATTTTCACGGGTTCTAGAATTCGTGAACACCGACTTTAGCGCGAAATCCGTGAAATTAATGTACTGCGAATATTTCTGCATTTATAGTAAGTAAAATCAAATGAAATTTAAAAAATTCACATAAAATTAAAAATAAATACCGTTTAAAAAAAGTATTATCGAAATTATTAAAAAAAGGACATTGATCTAATTGGTTTGTGAAATCACCAGTATATAAAGATCCAATGCTTGTTTTCATTTAAACTGTTTAAACACATCAATGACATAATGTACTGTGATAGAAAAAGATTCAATTTATCCATGCTTTTATGCTCTTTTTATGTTCATGTACAATTTTTCTCCAAAAGTATGAAAGTCTTAATATGATTCTGTTTATTTTCCTTCATTATTTGTGCTTGTATGCTACCATTCCCAGGAGGTGTTGGTGAATCTGAAGGAGAAGCTAGGACTGAAATGCCTGGAATACTTCTCATTGGTAGTAGAGGATGTACGAGTTCCATCCCAACATAAGTTCATCATCCTACAAGAACAGGAATCACTCAGACAGGTTAGTCCTCCATATTGTGCAGTTGATTTTATTTTATGTAACATACAGTATGTTATCAATTTAATTGTTACCTGACATGACTAGAGACTGTTTTCCATCCAATAACTTGACTTACTTGACTTAAGTGCACAGGACGGAGTGTCCCTGGGTGGTCTGCCTCCATTCACTTCTGTCCTGGGTTTGGTGTTGGGCAGCATCCAGGCTTAATTCATAGTCTTTGCAGATTTGAAAATAACAATAGAATTTTTTTAAACTCATCATATAATGATGATGGTGATTCCATTTTATGGCAGTTAAGGTTGGAAGAAGAATTTGAGCCAGAAAACTGCATGAGAAATTCATAGTAATACCATCTTCTACAATGAGATCCAAAAAGCTGGTATACATTCTACTTCTGCAGCAATTGCATAATGAATAATACTACAAATGGGTTAAACAAGACCATTTGTTCAGATGAAGAGCAGGCTTTTATAGTTGAGTGGAGGCAAGTTGGCTCAGTTTGTGAAGTGTCTGCCATTCAAACCAAAGATTGAGGTTTGAATCCAATCCAGGTGGATGACTGGAGCCTGCGGTGTTAACATGCCCCTCCCCTGCTTCATAGAAGCAGGATATGTTATAGGGGAAAACACTCTGTCCCTCAGGTAGGGCGTTAAATAGAGGTCCCTTGTATAGGAGAGTCGCTACCTTTGCACATTAAGAACACACTGCACTATTTGTATAAGAGTAGGGGGAAAAACCCAGTTTAGTGGTTCATCTTCACAACCCCAATCAATTATACCTGGAAGATAGACCCTAGGGTCACAGCGATTTGGTTCACTTCCCCCCTTTCAGGCACAGGCGATGCCAAATACTTAATAAGTGAAAGTCTACACATCAATGGCAAGTTTAATAACGTAAAGTATTCCACTTTTTATTAGGTTTAGAGCTTTTCTGATTTTGTATTCTTGCTCTAATTGTTCTTTGATTACTTGGTCGTTACCAGATTGCAGAGAGACCAGGTAGTCAGAACGTATAGTATTCCACTTTTCTATTTGGTTTAGAACTTTTCTGATTTTGTATTCTTGCTATAATTGCTCTTTGATTACTTGGTTGTTACCAGATTGCAGAGAGACCGGGTAGTCAGAACTGGAAGTGCCACTTGAGGATCACCTACATACCCTTTGATGCATATGATCTTCTTAATGAAGATGCTGATTATGTATTGTTGCTATAATTGCTCTTTGATTACTTGGTCGTTACCAGATTGCAGAGAGACCAGGTAGTCCGAACTGGAAGTGCCACTTGAGGATCACTTACATACCCTGTGATGTGTATGATCTTCTTAATGAAGATGCTGATTATGTATTGTTGCTATAATTGCTCTTTGATTACTTGGTCGTTACCAGATTGCAGAGAGACCAGGTAGTCAGAACTGGAAGTGCCACTTGAGGATCACCTACATACCCTGTGATGTGTATGATCATCTTAACGAAGATGCTGATTATGTATTGTTGCTATAATTGCTCTTTGATTACTTGGTCCTTACCAGATTGCAGAGAGACCGGGTAGTCAGAACTGGAAGTGCCACTTGAGGATCACCTACATACCCTCTGATGCGTATGATCTTCTTAATGAAGATGCTCAGGCCTTTGACTACTTCTACCAACAGGTCAGTCCATCTCAAGTCTACCTCAGACATTCTGAGACTCTATTGTTGAATGATATTAGCCAAAAGTTAGAATGTTGAGGGGGTCAACATACCGATTGAGCTATGAATATGAGACCTGTATATTTTTGTCATTATTTAATGTGTGACGAGCACAGTTAGAAATTTGTTATGTTTATTATTTAACCAAATCAAACAACATTTTTGGTTTGATCCAATTTTAAATGGTATGAGTTGATATTAAAAAACCCAAGAAGATTTTTCAAAGTGCAGGCTAGTTGGTCCTGATTTTGACCATAGCAGTATGTTGACCTTAGTAATAGTCACTTGTTGACCACAGACAATGTCTAGGCTTACCTTTATCTTTGTCTATGTATCTTTTAGGACTTGTTTGGTTTCTGTGACATAGGGACAACCTTTACCTAATTACTTGTATTGATATCAAATCTTAATCCTGAATCGTGTAGGCATAGGACAGTATACAAAAGGAAATGTATTGATTGTACTGATGACACTAGGTACGATATCTTTGACATATGGTACAACAATCAATTAATGTGAGAGCGTACTTGCTGTCTTTTCCGATCTTGGGCCCCTGGTAGAACAGTGGCATACGTGCATTTAATGTAATCAACACTTGAAGTTGCACATTAATTGATAGTTTCTGTATTGACATAGTTGCTTTATAGATAGTTTCTGTATTGAAACAATTGCTAATTAGATAGTTGCACGTTTGACATAACAGTTTTCAAGCTAGTCAATTGTCATTGTTTATGATTTGAAATTATAGCTCACAAATAATTTATGTTTGCTAGTTTAAAGGTACTATGTCCCTTTTGCAGCCAACCTCAAATTCTGTAGAACTTTGCAGGAATTTTGAATATGTCATGTATGTCCTATCTGTGAAATTTAAGCGTTAGCAGTGTCCTAATATTCAATTTATGCAAGGTGACCTATTTACTTGCTAGACTTAACTGTCAGACACTATTGAGTGACTGACTGGCTTTTTTTTTCTTCTTTGGTAATAACATACATAAAATGAGCTGTAAAGGGTACATGAGCATTTGTCTACATCAATAACCCACTTCTTGTGATGGCCAAAATTAAACTGATTGAATCTTTGCGCAGCATAAAACGTATGACCATTCGGTACAATTACTTATTGGCTCTATACACCGATTCGGGCGACTTCTGGTGGAAGTGCGCCCTCATAAGGTGACGCCATAACTGGGGGGCGTCTGACTGCAGCTAGCTAGCTTACATTGCAACGGGTATGCTATACCTATACCGAACCTCGCCCAGGCCGGCCAGGGTCGCCGCTCCGCTAGCTAGTAACCGCTCTCGAGCTCTCTGTACTGTCAGCTGGATCGGAGAAGCCCCCCAGTTATAGCGCCGCCACCGGCGGGCAGGTACATAAAACCCCAAAACCGAATCGGTGTATAGCCCCTAAGTCGATTTGACGACTAATAGTCATTATTTTCCTACTTGAAGACATTTTAAAGCCCCACCTTTTTTATGGAAGTTCTAAATTAGTATTATCTTTCAAATGCTGTTGGAATTTAACATTTTCATTTTTTTGGCCTGCAAATGGGACATAGTCCCTTTAATGAATATGAATTACATGCATGTAAAGTCACAATTGGATAGTAAACAAGACTTGTCAAGCTCATTATCCGGCCAATTGTGATTTAAAAAAAAAAACCAAGTGCAGTGCATATCACTAATACACAAGCTTCTTTAGAGCAGTGAAACGTAGACAAAAGGGTGAGAATCAGTGACTGTTAGGTGATTACGAAGCATGGGATGATCAATATTGGTTGATGCTGTGCATATAATTTGTTGTATAATTGAGAGATTGATGACATTGTTGAGAGTGATAAGATCGATAGGCGATTGGTCAGATTGATAAGAGAGCTATCAAGTATCTTTTCTTTCCTATTTACAGTGCTGCAATGATGTTCTTCAGGAGAGGTTCTCCACCGAGATGAAACCAGAGACTGTGATGCGGCTAGCATCCCTCCACATCCAGCAGCATCACTTAGCCAGCAAGCAAACCACCAAACTCTCTCTTAAAGTCATTGAGTAAGTTGTGTTGAGAACTAAAGGGTCAACTAAAAGGTCACTTTTCACCTTCATGGAGTGTTTTGGTCATCTGGAAAATTTGCAGAGCTGTCTGCAATTTTGATTTAGGTTGAGCTTCTTTATTTTTCAAATTATAGAAATATTCATGTGACTATGCAAACTTGACTTACCTGTACTTAGATAGTGGTATCATCTCAGCAAACAATTATTTGCGTATTTGCGTAAAATACTAAGTACAATTTAAGAAAATACATGTTGTATCTGTCACAATTTACATGTAGTTGATTATTGTTTTAGTCTAAAAAAAAAGTGTGATTTATTTCATAGCCAGACTTAGAAAACCCCAAAAAGCAGAAGTAGATATCTATTTAAAAGGACTTACCGGTACCTCTGTTATATGCTTGAAACTTAACACTTCTCTTTCAAGCGCCTGAAAGTGTACATAATTTATGCACACTTCAAGCACTTGATGTTTCTATTAACACAGTGCCATTGTGGCTATGTAGGGTAGCAAATATACATGTAGACTTGCCTTAGAAACAAACCTCAACCTTGCAAGCAAATTAAGTGTTGCTTCCAGCCTTTAAACACTTATCATTCTAATGACTTCTCTTTTGAATTTCATTGTTAGGAGAAGAAGATGGTCTTGATAAGAAACATCCTTTCCCTTGATGGTTATGATGGTGCCCCCATGAACTTCATACAATGCAAGCAAATCACATGTGGCTCTCCATCATAGGACACATTTCATCATCATCATCATCATCATCATCATGCTTTATCTATTTTGTTTGTGACTTGTAGGAAGGAAGATGGTCTAGGAAGATTCCTAGCACGGAACGTCCTTTTCATGATTGGTATGAATGATAGAAACTTAGGCTTGCCCCCATGAACTTCATGTGATGAAAGCAAATCACATGTGGCTCTCCATCTTAGGACACATTTCATCATCATCATCATGCTTTATCTATTTTCTTTGTGACTTGTAGGAAGGAAGATGGTCTAGGAAGTTTTCTACCCAGGAACATCCTGTCTCACTGGAAGGCCAAAGAACTCAGGAAGATGATCTCACAACACATGAAACAGAACCAAAACCTGGCCGCTCCAGGGCAGAAGGTAGGGAAGGGAATTCAAGGATATTGTGCAAGTGAATGATATTGTGCAAATATTTGAGAAGCACATCCTTGTGTCATATTAAAGGCATTGTTTTACAATGTTAAATTTGAGATGCACGGCCTACGTCTTATCGGTGTCTGTGATATGGTGTCATATTGAAGCTCTAAACAAATTGCGCTTCAAAATGCTCATGAATTGCCTCGAAAAATTACAAATCTTTGAGTGACCGGTTTTACCATACTCATTTTCAGGCTGTAGTGTTATAAAAACCGTTAGGAAAATGAAAAAATGAAATTTTGAATTCCAATCATAAATATCTTGATAATCAGACAGGCGATCGGCTTGTTAAAGTCATGGGATTCCTGACTGACGTAAAGGTTTATAATATAATATAAAAGGTATATATGATTGCAGCATGAACTAAATCCAGGGTTTTGTTTCAGAATCTGAGGCAATGTTACCGAGTCACTTTAAGACATTCAATGTTGTTGGGACTCTCTTCACTATTCCTTTATGTGATCGGCTGGATAAAGTAAATGGTTGCTAATATGTTGGAGAATTCATTCAAAGAATGAGGCATGGTGGCTCAGTGGTAGAGCATTGATCTCGTAACCTGGAGGGTCCCGGATTCTAAACCAAGTCGATGCACTAGTGCCCTTTGGTAAGACATTAATCCTCATTACCATGTCCCTCGGAGAGGACTTTAATCTGTTGGTCCCCTGATTGCTTACTTACAAGCATGCACATGCCCTCTTAGCAGTCAGGTAAAGCAAACCATCAAACCATGTATGTAATATCTTTCTAAATATTGATACCCATTTAGTATAAAGGGAGATCAAACCATATTCTCTCCTAGTGTTTTTTAGTTGTGACAATAAAACCTTTCATTGCTCTACATTTGCCACACTCAACCCAGGTGATGTAAATGGGTACCTGGCAGGAATTAATTCTTTAAATGCTAGAGCGCCGCAATGGCAGCACAGCTAAAGCCGGGTTAATAATCTCCAAGTTTGGAAGCACTTTAGTGATTCTAATAAGCACTATATAAAAACTGAGTATTATTATTATTATCATTATTTGATTCTTACCACAGCATCTGACCGAGTTGCAAGCCAAGCTTCACTACCTCAAGATCTTTGGGACGCTCAAGTCATTTGGGACTAGGACATTCCTCACAACCATACTGGTAGGTCACATTCTGTCCTTAGATAATGCTCATTTATTGTAATTTCATCTACAGGCGTTCTGTTTTGTTATGTTTTGTTGTTTTTGTTTGTTGATTTTTTTGGGGGAGAGATATGCAGCTTCCATGCTTTTTTACATATACTAAGTTTGACTTTGACAGAGATTAAGTTTAAATTCTCGTCTGTTGAATTGCTGATGGTGATTAACATATATATTATGAGTGCATCTCTCATTGACATAAATGAAAGAAAGTTACCAAGCTCCTGGGTGGATGTAGAGTAAATTCTGTGGAAGTATGATTATCTTCAGTATGAGACATGGGTGGTGTTTCACAAAGACTAAGATCAACTTCAATTATGATCTTTAGATAATATTTTTTCCTTCAGTAATGAAATATCAACAAATGGAAATTCTGTAGATTTGTGACTATGATTTGTTCGTCCTTTGAAAAAAGAATGCTTGGAATGGTAAGAGGAACTAGTGGCATGAACGGCCTGCCATAGTAAAGTCCAAATTAAATGTTGATCTTAGTCTTTGTAAAACACTCCCCAGGTATGTTTATTATGTCACTATCCTCTTCTATTCCCTGTTATGTAGGATTTCCCTGATGTAGACCAGCAGTCGGATGCGAGCGTGATCATAGGACCACACTGTGACATCAGTCTGTTAGCTAAGACCGGTGACTGGGCTCCGGTCCTAGAGTTCAACCACCTGACCCGTATCCTGCTGACCGTTGAGTGCGGGACGGAGGAAGGGGTTCATAGGCTAGAGCTGCATCAGAAAAGTGGACAGGTTTGTTTGTTTGTTTGTTTGTTTACATTTTAAGTTAAAGATAAAGACCAGTTACGGTCATGCGATTGCATTGTGAAAGAAACGTTGTGGAATCGATCAGAAAAGGTTGATCATCTAGCATATAAGTATTGGTGTGTACTGCAAGGTTCTGGAATCATCAAAATGATAAGAAATTTGGCCCAGTCTTCGTAAAGTTACAAGCACTGTACACAGAAAGATGTATATGGGACTACGCACACTTGCGCGACACGTGCGTTTATCTCTCCCAGTCCAATAGATAAACTAATTTACCAAATATATCAATTGGAAGGCGGTTTCCCGGCAAAATTCTTATCATCAAGTATTAGTCAAAACATATTCTTTCACATGATTGGTAATAAAGAGCTTCCATTTCATATTTTGAAATTGGGGCGTTTCCGATACTGGTCTTTACCTTTAAACAAAATAAATACACAGTGCAATACATGAAAATAGAGACATCTTGCTCTGACACAAAAGGGTTGTGAATTTGGTTTAGAAACATATGCAACATAATGAATTCAGGAATATGTTGGGTAATATGAAAATGAGAAAAAAAGAGAAACTTCAAACATACCACAGCGTCCTTTCCAAGTAATTCCTCTTGTATGTAGTTAATGGTACATGTACTTCCATCTAGCAGCAAAATGGAAATGATGCTGGCTGCAGACATCGCATCATTCCTCTTCCTCCAATTGATTTATTCCTTTCAATATAATTGATTTGATGAGACATTGAATAATGCAGACAGGGCTGGCAGCAGATACATGTAGGGAGTCTAGCCAATCTCCTCCCCGCACGCAGTGACTTTTGTAGATTTACTGAGTAACCATAAAGCCAGTGTTGCTATCATATACAATTCGGGACAAATATGAAGACTTGTGCTAGGCCAGTGCACCTGTTGTAAGAATTCGCATCTTTGCCTTGAGACTGCATTGGTGGCTCTGCTGTGAATGTAGTTTCCTACATGCCTATGATTGGTGCAATAGAATTGATGCATCATGTGCTGCCACCAGCTCTAATCACTGTTTTTAAGTTCATTCTTTCTTTATTTGTTCTTTAGTTTCAAAACATGATAAACATTGAAATATATACAAAAGCATTTCATTGTAAAATACAACGTTCATTAAATGAATTCATATAAAATAAGAAAAATAAAAGGGCCATCATTAAAAACCTATTGAGGTTTGACAGGTTGATCATGGTCCCAAGAATGATCAAGTTATAAGATTAATATTTTGGTGGAGAAAAAAAAATAACATGAAACCATGCAAAAATTGCACAATCCTCTTATCTAAATCATTTTGATGAAATTGTTAAATTGTAGTGGTGTGTAATGGTGAACTTACACTTAAGGTGTTTCAGATTCTGTTAGAGCTTTATGGTTTCTATTTTCCAATGGTCAAGACTAGGATTAGACATTGTGTCACAAGGATGAATAATTGTTGTCGTAAGAGAGCTCAACTTTATGTTTTGTTTTAATTATGCACTCTAAATAATATTGCATAATTTGTTATATTAATACAGGTAGGAGGAGACAAACATATTCTAAAATAAAAACAGACATGCAAAACAGAAGTGTTAAATACTTAGGGATCTTGTTGCTTTTGAGGTATTGATATATTATTGTCACAGTGATGATGATATATGCGGGACTTTTGTTTCTACATGCAGGCTATTATATTCCTGATGCAGAGTGAAGATGCCCAACAGATGGCGTCCTTTATCAATGGATACTACAGACTGTTGGTAAACAGGAGTAGAACACTCCTTACTGAAACCAGTCTTGGGATGCCAGCTGCCAAAACAGAAGGTACTTTACCATGCAATTCCTCTTTTTACTTTAGACAAAGATATGAAGTGGTCCTTCATTTTAGTTCACTGCAAATGATTATAAATGTACATAATTTTTATAATCATTTAACTGAAAGTCTGGTAATGCACAAATCTAACCCAGGCTTGAAATACCAAGTTACACCTGTAACAGTAGTTAGATGTATATGTTTATACCAGGGATGAGGTTCCTCTACCGATTGGCATATTTTCGCTGATTTTGAGATTTCAAGAAAAAAAAAACCCTGAAACTTCCAGATTATCATTAATTGTAAATCTATTATTGACCTCACTACTGTAGCAGTATTTTTCTTTCATCTGAAGAATGTTATAGAGTCCCTTTAAACAAGATGGGGTAACAAATGTTTCTCAAATTTTAGAATTTAAATGCAAGGAAAATGTGTCCTTTTAAGTAAATATATTGTAAGGCCCTTAACCCCTGGACCCCCATTTAATCTTCCTCCTCTCATCCCTATTATACAGAAGAACACAGATTTGCCAAATTTTTGCCATTACTTCTTAGCAGGAATGTATTAAGGGCATCAGTGGCAAAGAATATTCTGTATGTAATAGTTTTACCCTACCTACGGCTGCCATCATAGGCATCTATCCTCTGTCATTTGACACCATTTGATCAAAAGTGTGACAAAATTGTTAGGGTATGGGATGAAATTTGTAATGAATCTCTGTGAGCCAACTACTCCCCTTTGACCCGTCTATAAGTGAGGAAAAGCAAAGATGCGGTCTTGCATATAACTGATAGATTAATTTGAAATGAGAATTATAATGATGTTTCTTATTTTCATAATGTTAATTGCCTGTCCTATTCAAGTGTTCATTCCAGTTCTCTGAAGATTAATGTTGTTTTTAATTTTCACGCCACTGTCCTTATTTTCCCTTTTTCCACATAGCTCCACCATACTACGGGAAACACCATGTCTCGATCGCCAAATGGAACTACCCAGATGACCTTGTGTCGGAGGTCATATCGGAAGAGGTCAATAATGTAGATTCATCTGAGTTTGAGAAAGCACCAAAGAGAAGGAAAACAAGAGAGGGGGAGCAGTGGGTTGACCTGTCAGCGGGACCCCCTCCCTATCAACCTGATCTGACATATATCAGAAAGTAAGTTATGATGATGATGAGGATGAGGATGATGGTGATGGTAATGAGGATGATGGTGATGGTGATGGTGATGGTGATGATGATGGTGATGATAGTCTTGATATATACATATACAAATTAACCCTTACTGTAATGGGGGGGGGGCCTGGGAGGCCCCCCCCCTCGACATTTTCGGAGATTGCGCCGCAACCGCTTGAAATTTTGAATTGTCGTTTCATGACTTTTTTCCCTCAAGTCTTACGCACGTTTTGATACCATTTTCGTCGCAATCGGATATACCTGTGAGGTGTTACATAACAATTAGTATGCGCATGTCATCAAAAATATGCTATAATTGCATATATTCATGTACAAGCAGAAATGTGAATACAGGTTTAGATGTATTCCTTCCTAAGTGGGTGATATGAATTGATATGAATTGCTTTTATGTGTTTCTCAAAGTAACTTGATGTATTCCAGAACAAAAGAATACATAAGAAATAAAAACAATAGATATAATAAGAAATAAAAAAACAATAAAATACATAAGAAAATAATTATTTGAAAATCGCATCAAATTTGCATAAATTATCATTATTAATTACATCCAAATAAATATTTTGTGTTAGAAAAGAAGTTTCATATGAATAATGAGTTTCAACGTTCAAAAAGTGAAGTTTGACACGTTTTCTGTAAAATGCATAAAATTAGCATTTTGCATAATTAATTAGGCTATAACGACAAAAATTTGCATATTTGCAAAAAACTAATTACACCATCTTGTTCGTTACGTAAATATCTACAAACATGCAAATTTTCGTGTTCATCGGACATCCGACGGCCGAGATCATAGGGGGGGGGGCCTCCCAGGCCCCCCCCCCAGTCAGGAGGTGCTCAAAATAGCCCAGTACAGTAAGGGTTAAAGAATTACATGTGTGTGTTTGGGTCATTAACTTTAACCGTGACAGCAAGTTTTCCAAACAGGTATCATAACTATAAAATGATATCATAAAACAAATCTTAGACAGAGGAGGACAAGTGTGAAGCAGATATTCCATGTAGATATCTTATGAATATTATTTACTACTGTGTAAGACTCATGCTACATGTACATGTCCCAACATCAGGCTTTTAAATACTGAAGAAAGTCAGGCAATCAATATCATCCTTTTTATGAAGAGGTGTCATAGTCTAGCAGATACGTTGCTAGACTGTGGATCACATGGTTCACAGTTTTAATCTCTCCGGGGCACTAATGTCCTTTGGCAAGATATTAATCTACATTTGCTGATCTGTACCCAGATGCGGTAAATAGGTACCCTATATGAAGAAATCTCTTGAATGCTTGAGCACCTTATAGTAGCTCGGCTAAAACTTGGGTAATAATATGATTGCAGGGCCCTCAGGGAGAACAATATTAATACTGATGAGGGTACCTTGGTTAAACAAGACATATTATTATTCTGATTATTATTATTGTTGTTGTTGTTAATATTATTGAGTGGTATAATGTTCATTGTCTTCATCTTCTTCTTCACATTTACAGCTTGAAGATGCATGACCGTCTTCAAAACATTCCTGAGTTGGCAGAGGAGCACGATACCAAAGAAAATGTGGAGGACTCTCTTCCTGTTGAGCCCAAGACAGCAGCAGCAGAGCCAGAGGTCTCACCGGAGCAGCTGGACGATTCCAGTCCCCAGTCAGAAGACAGTCAGTTCTCTGAGGAGAAGGCAGACAGTGAGAAGGAGGAAGAGATTCTCTCCCTTCTGAGCAGCGGCGCATCCAGTCCAGAGAGCGATGGTAGCGTCTCAAGCGTAAGCGGTGCTGCTGCAATCGACAGCAACAGGAAGAGTGAAGCAAAGTCCAAGAAAACAGGCAAGAAGAGAGACAGGTCGCTGACCGAAGGAATCAGTAAAAAGATCTTTAGATCTATCACCGGGATGAAATTCAATGTGAAGGACACAGTGGCATCCAATGACTCTGAAAATGTGACAACCACTGAGGGAAAGTTTATTAGTGCTTCTCCCACACAGGACACAAGTTTGGAGAGTGAAAGCAATTCAGTCCATTCTGCTGAAGAAAGTTTTGTGAAGGATGAAGCAAGTGAGGAGAGGCCAAACTCAAGATTAAGAGCAAGGGATTCTATTTTGATTCAGCACAGGAAAATCAGTCCTAGGTTAGAGAGGCGTCGGGACAGCGAAGACAGCGAGGTGTCCTCTGAAAACACAGAGGGACAGTCAAATGACAGTGACATTATTGATTTGACAAACATTGGTGATTTTGATTTTGATTCGGATCTCTCACCCACGAAGAGTGTTGATGCTTACGATGATGTCTTTATGGATGATGATGAGGTTTCAGACAGAGTTTGTGAAATGCATCAAGTGGAGTTCCATGTAGGCTCAGAGCCAGATGATAATATCTCTCCTGGAGTGGAAGATGACAGTGAAATGCTAGCCCTGTGCAATGAAAGTGATGTAGAACTTGATTTACCAGGATTTGACAATGATGATGATGATGATGTTGATAAAAATAAACATAAGATGGATAACCACGGAGAAGGAGATTACCATGAAGAGGAAGTAGAAGATGAAGATGACATACCAGTATCAGTCATAGATACAGTCTCACCATCACCTTCATTAACATCACCTATGGATACTTCTGATGAGGCACATGGCATGCAGCTAGCAGCCCTGGTAGCGCTAAATGCCAGTCTGGAAGAACCTACAGAATCGCTCCAAGCAGCTGCAAAGAGTCCTGACAACGAATGTGAGTCAGACTCTGGAAACGAGACTATTTCTTCAGAAATTGACAATAATAACACAGAGCACACCAGCACATACCAATCCCCTAGAGACTATGCATCATTTGATACAGCATCTAATTTCACAGATTCCGTAGATTTAGTGGAGCCTGAATCGAGCAGTACTACTTCTCTCAAAGATGAGGATATTCATGAGCCTTACGGTTGTGCAGCGGGCTGTGCAACTAGCTCAGATACTGAAAGTACTTCAACTCTGCACGGTAGCAGTCCAAACCTGAGCGCGATCGACATGCATGTAGGAGATGACAGAGCTCCTTCAGTACACCATCAGAACATCGATGATGTTCTCCCCTCACTTGCAGCACCAGAAACCAGTGCAGGGGTAGGTGGCTATGTTGATGACATTGAAGCCCTCATCGCTACTTTGGCGGTACAGCCACCTCCGCTCTTGGACAGTGGAGAAATTGATGAAGAACTTCTCCAGGCCATCCTCCCTCCTCCACCCCTAGAAGGGTTTGACGAGGGTGCTATAGAAGGTGCATTTCCACAGATGAATCTGAGTGAAGATGATGAAGATGAGAAGAAAGAGATTGTTAATCCTAACATAGACTTCCTGAAAAATAAATCATGGGAACTTGATGAAGAGGAAGATAGAGCCGTCACAGAACTTGCAACCTCACTGGATTTGTTGAAGATGCCTTCACCAGGTGATGAGCCCGACATGTCGGAAGTATTGGATACCTCCACCAGTATTAAATCCAACAATGGGATGAACTTGAGATCTTCATTTCCTGATCCCCAAGATTGTGAAGGAACATTTGGTTGGAATGCAGAGCAAGATGGCAGAGATGATGATGATGAAGAAGACAAAGATCTTGATTCTGATATGGGAGATCTTGAGGAAGAGGCTGGTCTGAGGGAACTCCTAGAGCTCACCTTGTCAAATGCCATTGGTAGTATACATCATGCAGAACCAAGTGAGTTTAGTGAAGAAGGGTTTATCACTCCTTCCGAAGTTGTTCGGGACCACTTGGAATGGGAAAATAACAAGGATGTCATCAGTGAAATTGAGAGCTGTAATGAAACTGAAGAGGAACTTACACCTAGGCCTAAATCATTGAATCCAGATAATGCTGAAAGTGATGGAGAGGGTGAAGTTATAAAGGTTCAGTATGATAGTTATGGGCAGTTGAGAGGCCATGGATCTCCAGAAGAGAAAGTTGCAAATATATTAGATGCAATCATTTCAGGTGGCATATCTCCAAATGTATCAAGTTCATCAAATCGATCTACCCCAAGTTATGACAAACCTTTGAATTCTCCTCATGACTTGGATGCAAAGCCTCGTGGGATTCAACAGAGCAAGCTACAGGGTAGCGTGGACAGTGGATTCCATCAGCCCGATCAAGACCAGCTTTCAGTGACCTCTCCATCTGAGACATCGTCCGTGACTGGTATGGACAACAATTGCTCAGGAATCCTTGATGCCCTGGTAATGAGTGCCAGTGCTCACCCAAAAGATGGACTTGAAGACAAGACGATCCAAGAAAGTACCACAGAGAAGATGGAGGACAGTAACGCAGAGAAGCCTGTAGTCAGACCAAAGATTATGGGAGGCAAGCCTAATGTTCCTCCCAAACCACCCAAGCCGGCAAGACCCAAGGATCTTCAACTGAAGCTGGATGAGTACGCAGGTGACACAGCCCTGAGGAAAAGCAATAAGTATCCAGCTCCCCAGCCTCCCCAGCCTCCTCCTCGGAAGCGCTACAAAGCTCCAAGCATCGCAGCCAAAGCTTCCAGGTTTGAAAACACCAATGTATATAAATCTCATGAGAAAGGGAGCCCTGAAAGATTTGCAACTCTACCAAAGTCCTTTGCCCCTCCATGTGACATAGATGGTGATATTGATTCCTCTCAAAAGCCAGAGCTGACAAGATTTCATTCTGATATAGCCACCTATGGTTGTGAAGTCGATGTACAAGAAAAGCAGAAGAGTGGTAAACCTGTGACCCGCAGTCATACTTTTTCAGACTCTTCTCCAACAAAGGATTCCAGTATAAAGCCAGCTCCGCTTCGAAAAGCTCCTCCGGCTCCCCTTCCTAAACCAAAGAAAACCTCAGGTGCGTCACCTACTAGTTCAGGGACATCTTCTCCGAGACTTTCCCAAAGAAGTCCATCTGCAAGTAATTCTCCATCATTATCTAAGAAGCAGTCTTTTACTGGATCACTGTCAAGATTACTTACCCCAAAGAATAAAACTTGGGGACAGTTTAAAGATGCACTTCCGTTCAAGCAAGGATCATTCAAGGGAAACGGCAGCAGTCGCTCCAAGTCAAAGTCTAGGAAACCACTGAAGGCTCTTTGGCCATCGGCGACAATGGACACTCCAGGAGACATAGGCAATGCAACGAAAGAAGCGTCAGAAAATCGTAGCAACACATTGGAGAAAGGTGGATGGGGGATGTTTCAGAGGTCTGAGTCGGCAGAGTTCAACACAAAACCAGACTATAGCTTGGAAGTACGAGCAAGATCTTTCTCAATGAATTTGATGAGAAACAACAGTGAGGATTCAACTTCTGAGTCTGATATGGAAACGCCGAAGGGTTCACCGAACCTCAGACAGGGTGGTACCTTGAAGGAGCGTCCGTCATCCATGATTAGCCTGACAGAGAGCTTCCCTCCTCCGTTCTATCACCCAAGGAGGCCACCCCCTCCCAGACCTTCCAATCCTCCTGTCCTCAAGGCAGCAAGCCTTAGCAAACTCTCAACTAGAATGTATGTCCAGACAGGACCTATCTCACCAATACCTCCATCATCTCCTGTAGTATCCCCCGAGCCTGTACCAAGTCTCGATAGCAGCTTTGATACAGACACTGAAGTCTCTTCTCCAACACCACCTCCACTACCTTCGACAAATCCTCCAGATTTCTCTAAACCAGAAGGGGACATTTCACCAGTTGATGATCAGTACTGCAACGGTAACGACAATGCTGATCTTATAATGGATATCGAAAGCAGAGACTATGATGGGGAAGCAGCCATCAGTAGGGCCATCCAGGACATTGAACTACTTGCAGATGACATGAGGGATAGCATCTCCACGGTGGAGAGTCAGCCGAATTCACGGCAGTTCCGACAGACCAAGGAGAGCTTGTTGTCGGAGGTGCGGGAGTTCACCAGTAACACCAAGATGGTGGTGAGTGCAGCAGGTCAGCCTGGACAGCAGCTCAAGGATTGTACTAACAGCAGCATGCACACCCTGGCAAGGCTATGCTCAGCTACACAGGCATCCATGGATGTGATGTCCTCAACCCCTCAAGCAAAGAATCTCGGCAGAAAAGTAAGATTTGCTTGAGCATACTTGATTTCAAAGTTTAAGAAAACACGATTAATTCAATTCAATTCAATTCAATTTGTTTTATTAAACCATTTAAAATCAAAACAGTATACAAATTATGCGTGTATGAACATTATTGATACAGGTAAATGGTCAGGGTGCCCCTAAAAGCCAAGGCTTGATGAATGGGGCCCCCAATACATAAAGAAATAAACATAGCATAAACATGAGATACAAACAAACTTAGTTATAAAAAAACATTAAAACATTAATCACTAAACATACAGGTAAAGGGGAAAAGGAAAAGGCGAAATAAGAAAACGTAGGGAGGAGAGATGAAATTACATGTTTATTTGACATAGGTAGTTATTATTGAACAATTGAGTTTGGTTTTAAATGAAGTAACATTAGTGCTGGAGATTACATCAGAAGGGAGCGAATTCCATATTCGAGGGCCAGCAGATTTAATGCAATAAGAGTCGATTGATTATGTGCTAATGGAAAATGGAATTTGGAGTGGGAACGGGTATTATATTGATGGTAGTCTTTATTATACTGACATAGATTTGTTATATTAAGAGGTGCTAAATTATGTTTCACGTAATACATCAGGATCGCAATTTGGATTTCATGAATATCAAAAATTGTCAATGTGTTTAATCTTGCAAATATTGGGCGTGACGGAGCTAAGTAAGGGGAATTTGAACATATGCGTAAAGCCTTTTTTTGCAGTCTATATATAGGGTTCAATTTAGTAGTGCCACAACTTGCCCAAGAAATATTGCCATAATAAATATAGGGAAGTATTAACGAATTGTAAAGCATTAACAGGTGGTTTTCTGTAAGGGTACTGCGTAATTTAGATAATATACCTATGTTCTTTGACATCTTATTACTTATAAAAAAAACGGTGTTCCTTAAATGATAGATTATCATCAAGTATAAATCCTAGGAATTTGACAGAGTTAACAAAATTTAAAGTAACATCTTTCATTTTTATATAAAAATCTAAAGAATTGTGTGATACATGAGGTTTTCTAAAATACATAACATTAGTTTTCTCATAATTAACAATCAGTTTGTTAGCATCGAACCAATCGGCTATTTTACATAATTCATTATTGGTTTTTTCTAACAAAAAAATGAAATTGCTATGGGTTGAAATGATAGTTGTGTCGTCTGCAAATAAGACATAATCAAAAAAAGAAGACGCTGTACATAAATCATTAATATAAATTAGGAAGAGGAGCGGGCCCAGTATGGAGCCTCGGGGGACACCATACTGGGCTGTCGAGTATTGGGAATTATAATTATTAAATGAAGTATAGTTACGTCGATCAAGTAAGTAGCTCTGGAACCATTCCCACATTGCTCCCCTGATACCATAATGGGATAATTTATACAAAAGTATGTTGTGGTCTATGAGGTCGAAGGCTTTTGACAAGTCTAGAAATATACCAAATGAGTGAAAATTATTATGAATATTAGTTAAAAGAGTATTATTTAAATCAATTAATGCATGTTCAAACGAATGTCCTGCCCTGAAGCCATATTGACAATTATTTAATATTTTATTTCTATCCAAATAAGAAATTAATCTTTTATAAATTATTTTTTCTAGGATTTTGGAAAAACATGGTAATAATGTAATTGGTCGATAATTGGAAAATAAGTGTTTATCGCCTTTTTTAAATACAGGAATGATCTTTCCAATTTTCAGATTATTAGGTACTACTCCTGAACATAAATATAGGTTAACTATATGGACTAGAGGGGTTAATATGGAATAGATTACTTTTTTTACAACAAAAGTATTGATATCATCAAAGCCAGTGCTATAACTCATTTTCATATCTCTAACAATTTTGATGATTTCTAATTCATTGGTTGGATAAAAATACATGGAAGTTTGACATGGATTTTTAAGGTAGTGGCTAAATTGTTTTCTAGAACTATGACGAATTTGTTTTAAGGTATTTGCAGCAATATTAGAAAATAAATTGTTAAATTCATTTACTATATCTTCATTTTTATACACTTTTACATTATTTTTCATAAAATATAATGGAAAGTTTTTTTTATTTTTCTTACACATCAAATCGTTTATAATTTGCCAAACTTTTCTAAGGTTATACTTGTTCTTGGTTAACAAGTCACAATAATACTTTTTACGAGCCGTTCTTAGGATTTCATTTAATTTGTTTCGATATTTCTTATATTTAATTTCAACTGATTCAGTACGTTTTTGGCAAAATAATTTATGTAGACGACTTTTTCTATTAATACATTTTACTAATCCTTGAGTTACCCAAGGCTTTTTAGCTGAAGATCTAGATTTTTTCTTCTTTACCATTTTACAGTTAACATCAAACATTAGTTTGAATACCTCAAAGAAATTATTATATGCATCATCAATATTACGTAATGATAGTGTATCAATCCAATCAAATGAGAGTAAATCTTTATTAAAACTATTGATATTTTCTTGGCTAAAACATCTTTCAGTAAAATTTATATTGTCATCAGCTTTAGAATAGGACCTTGTATTATGGGTAACAGAAAAAATAGGTAAATGGTCAGTTGTATCATTATATAATATTCCAGAGGAAATTTGTTTTTCACAGACATTTGTTAATATATTGTCAGTAAGGGTTGTCGAGCCTCGTGTTATTCTCGTGGGTCTGTTAATTAGGGGTCGAAAAGAATTATTATATATAATATTTACAAAGTCATTAACATTTGCAATTGATGAGGCGTTCAGTAAGTTTATATTCCAGTCACCCATAATATAAATGTCCTTGTTTTCATTTGACATTTTATTAAGGCACGTATTTACATCATCATTAAAATCAGCTATATTTGAACTAGGATCACGATAAATAATTCAGACAATAACCTTTTTCCTATCACATATTTCAATTTCTAGAAAGAGAGACTGACATAAATTTTGCGCCAAAATTATGTCCGCTCTTTCTTTTACATTCAATAAATCATGAATTAACATGGCTACTCCACCACCTCTTTGTTCTCTCACGATGAAGAAAACTGTAATTTTCTACATGAAATAATTCTTTTGGTGTCAATGGGTGTATCCATGTTTCACTGAAACCATATATTGAAAAGTTTGTGTTTATATCTTTCGAAATAAAATCATGTATATTATCAAAGTTTTTGTTTAGGCTTCTTGCGTTAAAATGGAGTAAACTTAATGAATCATTATCAAAGTTCATTTCAGAATTAAAATCAGCTGGTAGCCAGTATCTATTTGGATTGTCAAGTACAGGACAGTTAACGTCAGGGTCTACATCCGATAAATTATCCTCTTCATTCGGGTTCATATTCGTACCATACATGTTATTTTTGTTATTATTATCAAACTCATTTTGCGTATCTTGGAATAAACAGTCAAATTCTAAGTTGGATAGGTTACTAAAAGGGAAAGGAGGGTCACAAACTACCATTATTTAACTATATACGTAAAGAAGCAAAAACAAAGACAAAATAAAGTAATGTAAAAAGGAATAAGGATAAAAAAAAAAGGATTATAAGTAAACAACTTTAAGTCTACGCCGAATGTAAAAGTTCATTCAGTCACTATCCAATTAAACAGACTAGAGTTCGACGACCAACATGTGCATTATGACGCCCACATAGAGTTTGATCCCTTTGTATGACATGGGTGAATGGTCCTGTTCAGTATGCACACAGCAAAAGAAAAGATAATGACGTGTACTAAAGATTTGGCCAATTAAAACGACGACCAACATGTGCATTATGACGCCCACATAGAGTTTGATCCCTTTGTATGACATGGGTGAATGGTCCTGTTCAGTATGCACACGGCAAAAGAAAAGATAATGACGTGTACTAAAGATTTGGCCAATTAAAACTGCTTAGGAACTCATAGTGGGCGGAGGCTTAAGAAGCGTAAAGAATAGCAGTTTTACTAAGTTGGCAGGTACAGTAATTATGGTATACATTCCGGAAATGTGTACTAAGAAGACGGTTTAATCTGCTTTAGGCGTTCTCTGTTTGTGAGCGTTATCCGTCGATCATCACTAGTTACAACCTTGATGCGGCCATCTTGAGTCCAAACATGCTTGATGTCATTTTTCAGTTTTGATTTGATTTCCCAGAATAAATCAGTCCTAAGTTTGGTGAGGTTTTCCTGGATGAAAATGGGAGGTCCTTGTTGATCATGTAAATTCCTCCTACTTTGGTAGACACGATTACGAATGTTGTAATTTGTGAATTTGGCTAATATTCCACGGGGTTTTGTTCTGTTCTTCCCCTTTGATTGACCCAAACGGTGTGATCTATCCAAATCCTTGGCGCTGATGTCAATATCCAGCCTATCCTTGCATAGGTCTTTCACTATAACATCTGTGATTTCTCCTTCTCTCTCATTAACACCATGAAAAATCAAACAATTTCTCCTGGAGTATTGCTCCATTTCATCCTGCTGACAGCGACATTCATGTAGCTCCTTCTGTAAAACAGATATCTTTTCATCTCTCTCTCAGCAAGATCAAACTCCATACTCTCCTTCATAGATTCAGCAACCTTGTCAGCAATAACATTTGTCAATTCATCAATGAAAATATCTTTGATCCTTAGCGTAAGAATGTCTACCAACTCACCGTTGATGTCAAGCACTTTACGCACTTCATCTTTTATATTCTCCGACATGTCCGTCATTGAAGACCGTGTTGTGCGTTTAGCCATATTTCACAGTGACTCACAAAACTTCAGGATAGTGAAAGTACAGGGTATTCAAAAATTCCCTAGAATCAGAAGCTTGTCAATATAAAATTCTTCTGAAGATCACCATATATACAATTCTAGCACAAATTCCAGGGAAAATATGAAGTTTAAGTCAATTTCGGCGTAGCATAGCGAAGGAAATTCAGAGCAGCAACGAAACACGTCTGCACTCCGTCACTTCGAATAGGGATAGCTATGACAGGACTAAACCAAAGGATTTTCAGTGTTTATCATGACTA